ATGACCCGTAAAAAACCGGCTACTAAACTCTGCTCGGTTTGCGTGTAATTCCTCCTTATATTACAAAGGCCTTGAGTTGTATTTGTTAAACAATGACCATTGTACATTGCGAATAGGCGTCGCTGGGTGTCAAATTCCAATTTTTCCTAAGGTCTCTGCTCTGAGATTATTCGTGCCGAACGCAGTCCCAACGTGGATGAAAACCCTTCAGTTTTCTCTACACAGCTGTCTTCTTTATCCTTTTTATTTCATCCACAATCGAACTGTATTGAACAAAAGGCCGCACGCAAAGCATTCGTAGGCGTATGATCTCAAATCAATAATACAGACACTGCTATAAACGTTGGTTTCCCGTGCAGATCGGGCGGACACGAGTGGGTGGGAAGGGCGAAAGCAAAAATAAAAGGTTCAGCTTGAATTTGCCAAGATACAATGAAAAGGATATGAAAAATTTAACAGGGCAGATTAGATATATAATCAAACATGATTAACGTGTTTGATTAAAATTTATACTGAATATATAGATATATAATAGTGTATAGATATATAATAGCATATATATATAGATAATGTTACTCTGTCCTTAAGGGAATTCTGAGTCTTTTTTTCTAATTTGACTGTTAAGTCTCTAGGATACTAGTTATAATAAAAAGAATAAATACGTGAAATACTAGGCCATACGGTGGAATGAAGCCAGGTTTTTTTATAGTCGTGTAAGTTTTCGATCAGCCACCTCATTCCCGAGGTCCCTAATTCGTGCTCGTTGTCTCCTCTAAAGGCACAAATTAAGGTCTCAGGGAAGAGGTGAACCGTCAGTTATGCTAGATTTTCATTGTGGTCTTTTTCTAATCCTCTTTTTTCATTCCGCCTTTGAAAAATAGAAGAGAAAGAGTAAAAGAAAAAAATGTGAAAGACATTGACACACTTAAAATGTAAATTAAGAAGTAGAGGTTCAAAAAAAGAGATAATTTCATCCTTTCAAATGAAAAGCTAGAGCTCTCGAAAAAATTGTACTGGTATAAATCTCTCTGGTGCTCTTTCACTAAATATCTAACTATCTCTCTATGTCTATCGTTGGCTAGCATACTCATTCTTCATATTTTCTAACGATGAGATGAATATCAGCACCGGATTCCCGCATTTACGAACTTGAATTAATCACAATTGTCTTGCAAGTTCGGATCTACGGGTTACAGGTGCCGATTAAATGAATCTTGATTAAAAGAATTCCATAGCATTTCTTATATTAGACGTTAACAGCGAGATATTAAAGTATAAACAAAATAAAAATAGATAAAATATATAAAGCAGTACGGTAGAAAAGTGAATCTGTCTGTTTCGTTCTTTTTTTATGCTCTCTCTCTCTCTCTTGCTTAATCTAATCCATCAATTTTGTACTTATTAACAGCGCCCAAGCCAAAAGAAATTCGAACGTTCAAGATGATTCTTGCGATACTTGCACTACAGAAACCGACTCAGTGGCATCAAATAGAAGAGGTTAGTAGAAATTTAAAAACAGATTTTTTGTCGGGTTTTTTTGTGAAAAAAATATTTTTTACCTTCAAATCTTTTACTTTTTATTACCTTAAAACATACCAAACTTATCGTTAATATTAGGATAAGTTTCGAAGATATTTCAACGATTTTTCATCTTCTCCATTTTTTTAATTGTCTCGTTTTTCTATATCCTCGACCTCCTCGTCTCGTTTCTGAAACGAATGAATGCAACCGTCTGCTCTCTGCCTGGGAATCGCCGGCTTAATAGCGAGATTCCCGGTGACGTCAGCCATGGTTGGCGCTCTCGTCGAGGTCAACGAATTCTTTTTATAGAGTTCCCTATAATATATAAGCAACGCCATCTAGAATGTGGTTATACTAGGTTTTTAAATACAATATTTGTAGAGAAAATGTAATAATTAGATAGTCCAAACGTTCATATTTTTCTATTAATTAACTATTCTAGTGTACAGCGGTTGCAAACCTTCAATTTTTTTAAAATAAGCCATTTTAAAAGAAATCAATTACTTTAAAAAAACAAAAAATATAAAGAACTTTAGCAATAATTACACATATTTTTCATTTATAAAAAAATCGATTGCGTGTTAAGAATGTCTGCTTGATTTCGTGCCAAAAAAATGTTGCCCACACACATAATTTTCACCGGCCTATTAAGTTTAAACAAAACTTGTCTGACTATACAGACTACTTACCTTTCTCCTTATCGCTTACTCGTTTTATTGATTGACTGCAAGGCAAAAATGTTCTTGTCTGCAGTCTTTCTTATTAATGGATAGAAAGGATGCTTCTTTTATATTTTACTTTATAATTTAATCATAAAAGGTTCCCTTTTTATCAACATTTATAAAAATTCTGTCGTTTGGTAATATTCCATGTGATATCCCAAGTGACCAATCAATTTGATAAATATATCATGTGCAGGACATTTTATTAAGTGACTAAATTATATTATTAATTTTATATGTGCCTTCTACTTGAACTGAAGCTATACGCATTCAAATCAATAGAAATATGAAAAAGAATTTATATATATATATATATATATAAATTAATATATACATTAAACTATAAATTCAGTTTCAGCGTATGCGCCTTTAAAAATTGTACTGTAGGAAATAATTACTGCCTTGTCTAAAATATTTTTATTATCTTATCGATTTATATATGTAAAAGAGATATATTTGTTCAAATGTCTTATACATATAGACATATATATAAATAAGTGTATTTCTTATGAATATCCAATACTATTAAAAATATGTCATCTCATCATTGAATAGGTAATATAGTTATGAACAAAAATATATTAAATATATATTTATTTTATATGAAATTACCTGGTTCACCTGCATGGAAAATAATAACTAATAATTAATGTTAGTTAGGCTTGTATGGCTTCTATTCTCCAAAAAAAAAAATATTATCTTGATAATTTTCTATTATATAATTTAGAAATATCCATACGGTATAGAATTCTAAAAGCTATATATTTAAATATGTATGTGTGGTTTTTCAAAAAAAAGTAGAACGAGATATCGAACACAGATGTAAAGTACAGTACTTTCAGGAAGAGAACATTTTTTTTAGCAAGCTGACGAACTGTGTGTAGAATAAAAGATTTTTTGGTTAGATTACAGCAAAACCTTGACTACTGTAAAAAAAAAAAACGAATATATATATATATATATATATATAGATCTCTCGTTTCTGTTGTTAATTGATATATAGAGAGTCTACCTTTAGTTTTAATTAATTATTTGCTTTCTTTCTTTATTTTATAGAGATTTGAGAGAAAAAAGTAATTAGTATCTTGTTTAAAATTTAATACAAATTTCATAAAAAATATGAATAGCGAGAAAGGAATATCTTTCATATCATGTCACTTAATTATTTAAACTTGTATAATAAATTACACGTTTATAGATAATTAATGAATTTCTGAACTAGTTTCAGTTTAATCAAATATTGAATGAACATCGTGGTAAAAATAGTCTGTAGTGGCATCTGGTTGAGAAATTATTTATTCAACCACAAGCTGATGTATTTAATAGTTTATTTCTTTTTAGGAATGGCAACTTTTTTAAAAAGGCCTAATTAGGGAGGAAAAGAATAATAGATAGATAGAAAGACCTTTATAATCTATCCATCTTAAGCTTTTTTTTACCGTCTTACCCTCCCCTTCTCTTTCTCTCTAAGGAAGTTTTAGACATCGCGTGCGCCTATCTCCATTTTCAGAATGTCGCTGCGGGCTATTTGTGCGTGTTGGAACGATTTTTGCTTGTTAACCGAGTCCTTTTTGTTGAGTGACACTGACACCGGCGCACCCTATTTAAAAAACAGAAATATTTGGTTCTACAAACCATTTAAACGACAGAGTTTGAGTGATAATGGTCAAAGTACAAGTACAGTTGAGAAGTAGGAAATATAACGCAGACTTGTGCATTTGCTTAGTTTTACAGAAAAAGGAAGAAGCTGAAATTATTTTTATTGGTCCCTAAGATTTCTTTTGTATACTGTGCTTTCAATTTCATTATATTTTTACTTATAAACCTTTTTAGTGTTGTGATACCTTATTGTAAATTTACTTTTATTTTATCCTTTTACCAATCTCCTATTATTAATTCCCCATATTATTTTCGTATTTTTTTTTCATTTATTACAGATAGAGGAGGTCCCCCAAGAGTGGCTGCTCAGAGGCATCGGGACGGTCATCACATGCATGATGGTATGTATCACTACCGTAGAAAATTGACGCAAGGGTGGAAAACGTGCTAATTTCCAACTACAATATCCGTTTTTCTCTCCTATTTCCTCCCCTCCCTTCCCCTCCACAATTTCTAATTTTTTTTTACGCTATGGTGAAGATTTCACTGCGATAATTGTCGTAAATTTATTTTGGAGAGGATAGAAAAGATCCCTTAACTACACTAGAAAGGCTGTCGTGCGAATATCTCGTTTATACGGTCTCTTAAGTAAAGTATTCCCTTTTACACAGGAATTTTTCACTAATTTCGCAATTAAATTCTTTGTAACGAAAAAAAAAGATCAAAAGCCTACAGATGAACTAAACTCTGTAATTACTATAGAGAAACAGGCACGTTAGAAATTTTATCTCTAACTATATACTACATACAAATCTTGTACTTTAGTATCTATATTGCTTGTAGAAAGAATTTAAGCATAGTTTACATATGAATTTTTAAATGTTTTAAAAGACAGAAAATACTATATTTTCTATATAATTGGTAATTAGAGGAAAATTTTATTCTATACTATGGATTTTGTACTTATCAATTGACGCAGAAGCAGGCACATATGACAATTGTCCCAAAGTAAAGTAGCTGCATTACCTAAATAGAATTCTATACTTTATTATTTTTTATTGTTAATATATAAAATATATTCTTTTCATAATTAGAAATAATTGATACAGAAAAAAAGTGTATATTACATTGATCTTCTTATATGAAGTGTAAAAATACTGATAATCTTTTACTTGGAAGATATTTTAAATATTTACTTTATATGTTATGGGGCGAAATTTATTTATTTATTTATTATGTTTTTGGATAGAAAAGAACCTCGTCTGGTTGGTTGTAGGCTGTGTTTTTTTTTCTTTTTACCTACAAACTATTTAAGTGTGTAGCAGACTAATTGATTATAAATAATATGTTATAAATACTTTGGAGAGCATTTAATCATTAGTTTTTACTTTATTTTGGGGTTGAAGAAAAGCTCTTATCAATTTTCTGTCCGATAAAGATTGATTAACAAAAATTTCAATTTGCTTAAATGAAGAAATATGAAAAGAAAGGGAATTCGTATAAAGATAGTCAGGCGGGAGACGTCTGGCGGCGATAAACCGAAACTCATTATTTCGCTAATAGGCCGCTCATTTGGATACAGTCCCAGAACGGGACAAACTGCTGTAAAACTCTCACAAAATGCAGTTCTTTAAGCGCTTTTTGTGTTCGAAGATTGAAGTTAAAAATAATTCAACTTTTACTTGCGTAAATTGTGGAGTGTTGATGGAAGGAATCGTTGAGAAAAAGAAGGGATTATGTAAAATATTCGACTTGTTTAAAAGGAAGGACAAAGTTTATAGTATGTTTTTATAAAGAAAAGGCAACTAGTTCCTATATATAATATTTCACCTTTTCATATTTACTATACCCTTTTAATATTCACGTGCAATAAAGAAAATTCATTAGGAGAAGAGTATAAAAGAATAGAAATAACCAAAAAGTATTTTGTGTGGTAGTTTAAAATGTCAAAGAGAATTAACGGATATATCACTTTTTGATTTGTTTCGTAATCGAAGAAAATGGAATCTCTTTTTTCTAGTTGCTATTCAGTCTCTATATAAAAAATTGAGGAATACTTAGGAAATGCATCGCTGAGAAGCGGAAAGGATTATGTAGATTATTCGATTTGTTTAGGAGGAATGCTATTACAGAAGGACGAATTGGGGTTTCTTTTTTTTTTACATTGATAATATTTTCGTGAGTTTATGCTTAGAAGCTAAAATTGGTTTGTTAGTACTCTTTTCTAAAGTTAAATAAGGAATATTTCAGATATTCAGATCGCTTCTCCACCAAGAAATGTGGGAATTAATCATTTAGATTAGTGATCATGACTTTGTCATTTACTTCCTTTTTCGACTTCCAAAATGTCGAATATATCCGATCAATTTGACTTTGATAGACGTGTTTATTTTTTAAAGGAAAAGATTGTGTAGAAGGTTTTTGTGGAAAGTTTCAGAATGGCTACAATTCTGATAGTCACAATTAATACTGTTTAAGAATCTCCGTATACCATTAATGTCAACTTAATTTATTAAAAAAATTCGTCCTTAGCAACGCTTCTAATTGTTGACTTGTTTTTTTTTAGTTATACGAATTAATGGACATAATAAGTTACCAAAACCTCATGGATTTGATGCTACCTCTAGTATATTGAGTTCAGACTTAGAAACGACGAGTTTTGTTGATTCAGAAGATGATGCCTACAGTCGGTTCTCTTCGGCCACTGATACAACGTGTTCAGCGTACATGCAACGATATCGCCAAAGGCGTCGACGGCGTCATCGACCGCCACCAATTAGTCGAGCCTCCTCCTTCTCGTCCATTACCGATTCAACTATGTCCCTTAACATAATTACCGTCACTTTGAATATGGGTAAGTTTTTTTTTTTACAGCCAAGTTTATGTTGTTGTAAAGTGATCAAGATTGGGAGATGGCCAGTATTGATCGGAAGCTTGGTGTCCGGGGGGTGTTTTTTAATTTCCTCTCTTAACGAAAATATCGATGAAAGCGTCAACCTTTCTTTTCCAATTTACTACAGATACCATCAACTTCCTTGGAATAAGTATAGTTGGACAGAGTAATAAAACAGGAGATGGTGGTATATATGTTGGCTCAATTATGAAAGGAGGAGCCGTAGCTCAAGATGGGCGAATTGAACCTGGTGATATGATATTGGAAGTCAACGGTGTCAGTTTTGAGAATATGAGTAACGACGATGCTGTTCGTACTCTTAGGGAATCCGTACTCAAACCTGGACCTATAACGCTAGTCGTGGCTAAATGCTGGGATCCCAATCCAAAAGGTTACTTTACAGTACCCAGACAAGAACCTGTCCGGCCAATAGATCCTGGTGCATGGATAGCACATACTACAAATGCTCTCCAGGGACGATATACTAGTACATCTTCCATGACATCGTCGAATCCCGATTCCGAACGGTCAATTCAGAATCTCACAGCAGATGCTGATATGACAACTGTAGTTAGAGCTATGGCCCAGCCTGATTCTGGTTTAGATATCAGAGATAGACAATGGCTAAAAATAACAATACCTAACGCTTTTATCGGTTCAGACCTAGTCGATTGGCTGAATACGCATGTTGAGGGATTCGCAAGTAAGAAAGATGCTAGGAAATATGCTTGCAACTTGCTTAAAGCAGGTTATATAAGGCATACAGTAAATAAATTAACGTTTTCGGAGCAGTGCTATTATGTATTTGGAGATATTTGTGGAGGTTTGTAAAATTATTATTAGCATTCATTATTCATATATAAGGGATATAGGATATTAGATGGGCATCTTTTACTTGATTTCTGAACATTTTCTATTTATTGATATTTTTTTTGCCATTTAATTAATTGTTCTTTCGATTTCATCTTTACTAGAATGTGATGAAATCGTAAAGAAAGAGAAAGCACATATCTCATATATATATATTTATATAAGATATATTTCATTCATTCATTAAACATTAATATCTTTTATGATTTTAGTTTCCATATTTTATTCTACCCAATTTATATCTTAATATATAAACATAATATCTCTTCCTTATATATGTAATTATTTTCTTGTTTTTTTTTATTACTATTATTCTTACCCTTAATTTATATGAGTTGAAAACAATTGAACAGCCTCGAGCAGAGATTTAGATTCCCAGACAAGTTTGACGTCGAGCGGGTCGAGCGTGTCTAATTTTATGCCGACTATGACTGGTAGTTAGTATAGACGGAGCTTTATTAGGATTTTTTTTTTAACTAGACAGAGACAATTAACGCTTTCGTTGTTTATAAATATATACAATATGTATATAAATATCTATATAAATGATAAAAAGACTTTATTTAGTTGAACAGTTTACTAGCTTATATATATTTTTTTCCCTCTTGATTCTTTCCTGAATTTTTTTGTTTACATTTTCCGTTTTTGGAAATTTCTATATTTGTTTATCTTTCTAATTAATCAGTTTTATTTTCAAGAAAATTCTGTACTTGTTAATTCTAAAACTAATAATGCTGCTTTTTTTCTACTTTTTACTTCTTCTTTTTAACTAGAGAGTAAGTAGAGAGATGATGAAGGAGAATATTTATTTACTATTTTAATACTAAACTATCTGATGGAAATATTCATTTATAATTATTATTCTCCTTCCCCTTTCACCCCTCTACGTACTAACTGGTCGTAACATAATCTTTTTCTATAAATATTCAATTCGTCGTTTGCTACCTCAGATTTATCATCCTTGACTCTGGGGGATATCGATTCTGTATCCGAGGTTAACAATGAAAGAGATACGCTTGGACCTTTACCTCCACCGCAATGGGCTCCCCACGGCTATACTCATAATCCTTACGGGCCCTCACCCTTTGTACCACCTAACCCACAAGCCCCTAACTTCCTACCTCCCCCACCAAATATCAGACCAGCTGCTCCAATGATGATGGGAGGATTAGGAGTGGTAAATACTGGTGGAGCGGACTCTGCCTCTTACGTTTCAATGCCTCCTCAAGCAAACGGTGCTGATGCTGCTACTAGCGTTTATAGTGGATCTGGTGCGTTTTTTTATTCAATTTTTTTTTTGTACATTACTGTCAATATTGTCATTCGTTGTTGCATTATTTGCATGGCCTTGACTTTTATAATTGGATTATCATTTACTTACTTTTTGTCAGAAAATTGTTGGCAAAAAAGTCCAAATATTTTATTAAACCAAGCTAGTTGTACGTAAAAACGTGGAGTAATTAGTTAAAAGGAAACTCATTTTCTATCTACTAGAGCCAAGAAACCAGGTTTCCATGGTAATAATATTTAGAAAAATTCGGCTGATCTAATTTAGCTGGGAGAAATTTGACAAGATCAACCTATTTATATATAAAAATTATATATATATATACATATCTATAGTTGTAGATTTAAACATAAAATTTTATATATATATATATATCTCTCTATATATATATATAAAAAAAACAAACGCACTAAAATAACATTTGCCAACAGTTTGCCTCTCTTTTTATTAGTTCTACCGAAATAGTCTTTTTTTTCTGTTTCTGCAACAGTTTGTTGTTTATTTTTTTATTCAGGTGGAAAAAACAATGCTTGTGCATGCTTCGTGTCTCATACTTATAAGCAGCTGAAAAAATTATGGATTGACAAGGGTAAACAACAACAACTGCAGTGTCCACACGGAAAAACTTACAAATTACCTTCCTACTTTGATCCGGATATTGATAGATCGACATCGTCTAGTTGCGGTTCGTGTTAGATATTTTATTTTCACCATCCCTCCTAATCATTTTTTTTACATTCTCATTTATACCTCTCTAATTTTGTTATTTTTTAATTATAACTTTAAATAACACTATAATCTGCGCCTTTTTTACACCTTCAATTTATTTTATATATTTATACCTACATCTCATTTTTCTACCAAATGTTAAAGCTATTTTTCTTCTTTACGTTGTTGTTTTGTTGTTGTTGTTGTTGTTGTTTTGACTTTGGCGGCAGTTCTGTTTTTCTTCAGGTCTTGAGAGACTTTACTTAGATGTTTTATTTATTAATTGAACATATAAACACCACACAAACACACAAAATTCAAAGGTTGCACAAATTACGTATACTATATAAATAACGGAAATATTAATGCATATTTAACCTCTGATGGGAAAAAAGAGTTAGTGAAGCGTTCTCAAGCAGATGGCAAAAATCGGAAAATTCAATTAGGTTCTTGCCATTGATTGAAAACGTTATTAGCTTGACCTTTTTTCAAAAGCAAACCCAATAATTTGATAAATTAGTGAACCTTTGGTTAACTTAAATTATAGCTTATTGAAATGGGGATTGTGTTGATAGGAGCAACCTATTAATTCTTTTCAAAAAAGAGAGTGAAAAAAAAACATCAATCTAACTTTGCCCTTTACGCTTCTACCATAAAAAAATCAAGCGTCAAAGTTTTTTTTGTACACGAAAGATAAAAGATACAGTCAGAATAGAAAAAAAAAGGCAAAGAGAAGGAAGTGGAGCGAGTACTGGGTGTGGGGAGAGATAGACAGCAGCACACAGAGTAAAGTGAGAGACAGAGAATAAAAAAATGGGAAAAGCTTGCATTTCTATGATAGACAGAGAGAAAACTGAGCAGGGATCCGTTTATTTCCAATAGAGTTTAACAATTTGTATAAAAAAAGGGGGAAAATATGCAGAGAATATGATAATGTCAAACAATGGGCCAAAAGCTGCTGAATATGAATGAAATATTATAAATTTTGAAGAGCTAAGATTTAAAACGTTATTAGAAAAAAAGGCGAATGAAATGTTTATTAGGTTATAGGATTTGAAGCTTAATAACGTTTAATTTCCGGTATAGAGTACTATAAATAGTTTGGATCGGATTCTTAAGAAGAATTTACTAATTTCTTACTAATGTACCTAAATATTATTAGGAAGCAGCGCATCGGATCGAAGCCAAAAGAAGATAGAAATAAAGGAGCAAATAAATGTTCCCGAAGAAAGTGATGGTAATAATAGCGTCGTTGAAAGGGCTTTACCCCCGCCTCCAAGGCAACTACAATTGCAGAATGATGATATATCGGCCAGCAGGCAAAGTTTTCGATTAGCTATGGGAAATCCTTGTAAGTTTATATATTATTAAATAAGACATTTTCTTTCTATTAATAAAAACTTTTCCGTTCCGCTAAATGTTTATAAAAACAGGCAGGTAAAGTATAAAAATGGGAGGGACCTATATTGTTAATTGCACCTATCTTATGCCTATACTTTTTTTTATCTACTAAATGTTATTTCTTGTACGTTAATCAATTAAAGCATGAATGTAAAGTGAACTTTAAAAGGTTATAGAAAATCGGTGTTTCTTCAACGGTATAAGGAAATAATGAACAACTATTACATTTCTGTGTTCTAAAATAGCCGATTTTCAAAAGCATTTAAATGAATAGTATTAGCAAAAAGTAATATAATTAGGACAAGAGAAAAAGAAAACATATATGAAATTTTGTTTTCCTTTTCTTTTCTCTCGCTCTCTTTTCTCTTTATCTCTCATTATCTCCACTTGTTAAAATCGTATTAACTTTTTATATTTTTTTGTACAAATAAGCATATTTACACAGCATCTCTATTTATATTTATTATATTTATTATATATATTTATTCATAAAATTGACACGCTTATTTTTTCCCTCTTCCAAAACTAAAACAATCAAACAAACCATTTAATTGTATTTATATATTAAATATTTATGTAAATTTATATATTAAAACAAAGCACTATTAACCTTAGAAGAACTCTCTAATTGACTAATTCTCTTTCTATTTCATTTTCAACAGGCGATGACTTTCAAGATATGGGCCGAATCTAGTCCACACAGTATTTAATACTATATTTAAAACTATTTAAAAACAAAAAAACAAATAAGCCTCTAAAAGAAACGAATGATGAAGAAAATAAGCCAAATTGACTTAGACTGACTTTTTTTTTGCCTGAAAATTATTTAACTTTATACTTTATACTGTTTGTTTTTTAAAAAAAAATTCATTTATCGACACTGTTCTCTCTCTATATATATATATCTATATATATCTATATATAACAAATATGTAAATCATTTTTTGTTTTCGATATATTTATAATATCATAGACAAAACTTTGAAAGGAAACAAAAGAAAACAAATGAAATTCAAAGATGAAGATGAAGATAGCTTTTTTTTTGTTACTATATTTTTTCTTTTTATTTTGATTTATATCATTTTACATATTTATATACATATAGAAAAAAGACAAAAACAATACTAAACCTTTTTTTGCTGCAGTTGTACAAGAGTTATAAAAGAAAATAATAATACAGGATTGTCGTGTGCATCTTTTTTTTATTTTGTTCTTTGGATAGAAATCATGCTCTACCAATATATATATATATATATACATATATACTAAAATATATATATATATGTGTATATATGTGCGTGGACAGTTTGTTATTTATATTTAATGTTTATATTTTTTTATCAAATAATTGGCTATATATTCGGATTTGAATAATTCCTTGAACATTTTATAACTATATAAATATTATTGAATTGAGTGTTCTATTCTCTAATTTATTTGTTTACACTTTTTCATTTATTTTTTTAAGAAAGTGAAAGTTAACATCATTTTTTATTAGTTGAATCTCAAAAAAGGAAAGAATAATCATTCTGAAACGAGAATAAAGTAAATAAAGAGAAGAAAACAATATTTTCCTATTATAGAATAATCGGAATTGATTTTAATAATTTAAAGACTAATTTCTTTAAAGAATCTTCTAACAAACCACATAAAGAATTTAATCTTTTTATAATAGTTTCGTTAAAATCCATCATTTCTTCTGTGCATTTAATTAGCTTCTTTGTCTCTAATCTAGCGAGTTCTATTTGCTGAATGATATCCTTGACAATAATGTTATACTTCTTTGTTCTTTGTAATAAATAGCAATAGCAAGTTAAATAATCAGCCCTATATAAAGTTATATAGCAAAATTGAAGGCTTTTTAGCGCATGTGCATATAAATCAGCGCTAAACGCTTGCCTTCTCCTATTATATTGAGGATTTTGAGATGAACACCGCCATCTATATGCTATAAATTTCGCTTTACATTTGACCACCTTAAAATTAAACCTCTTGAATGAATCGTACGCTTTTATTGCCTTCGATAAATTATCATCAACTGTAATCTCATCTTCCAATTGCCAATTATCAGATTCCTTGTACTCAATTCTTTGAATAATTTTCTCAAAGATGCTATTCTCTTTACAATTTAAAGGCCAATGACAATCAAGTTTACAAATACAGCAGAAAAATTCCCCGCAGTCGCATTCCAGAATTCCCATACTATTGTTACAGTTTTTAATAAAAACCATGCAGCATTCGTTATTCCTACATCTGGGTCCTAATTGATAAATTTTCTCTAAACTTCTCCTTTTCTTTGTTGTAAAATAATGATGGAAGCCATACATTGATATTAAGATTGGTAGTGGTATTTTCTCTTTACATTCAGTTAATATACATTCAGTATTATTAATATCGGAACGCATCCAACAGTCCTTGCAAAACCGATGTCCACATTTTAATCCATAACCATCATTTTTCGAGTAGCAAATTGCACAAATAAAAGTGAGATCTTTACTAAATTCTACTGGAGGTATTTTATCAAGTAACTTGAAATGTTCATCCTCCTTTTGATCATTTAAAAGTAACTGTTTAATACTAATAGATTCCTGAGTACAATTAATAAACGATAATAGCCAATTACTAATAATCTTATCTGTTTTGTTTCTAAATAGTATATTATCATTCGTATTGGTTTTTCCTATTAAATTATCGTCATCTCCAATTAGAGAAAATAGTTCCGATTGATGAATCCATTTTGAATATTTTCCAATGAGAAAACCTAATAGTTTTCGAAAGGATTTTACTTTTATTGTATCGGTAAATTGAATATTAGAATTAGGAAAACATTGAAGATTGGTACCATTCTCTAATTTAATAACAATATCTTTTGAACTGTTTGGACACTCTGTTAGTTCTAGCTTAGTCATAAATATAAAGTTGTTAATAATACATTCTGAAACGTTCTTTCTCTTAAAGCCTTTAGAAAGTCTCTTTGAAAAGTCAAGCATTATTGTTAATGGTTTAGTAGAATATTCATCTAAAATTGCAATATCTTCTGACCGACTATCTTTAATAAATGAACTAAGAGCTTCCTTAGGAATTATAGCAAATGGTTTATTCAATATATTCTCCTTCCTTTTCTCCTTTTCTCCTATTTCTATTTGTTGGCATAATCTTAAATTTCTTAAAATTCTTATCTGTCTTTCCGATTCTTTATCGAGCGAATTTTCATTAATAAAAGAATCTATAATAGTTAATTAATAACAATATTATAAGATAACATCAATTAATTAACTTACCAATCAAATGTTTGAATACGGGAAGACATCTACGTTTTCGTTTAGGTTTCTTTTGCAGTTTTTTAGTTGATTGATAAGAAGTAATAGGACTTTTACGATACATTTCGTAGAGTATTTCGAAATCATAAGTACCACGAAATTCTTGAATATGAGGATCATCTCCACAAAGATAATCTACATATAAGTCTTTATCGTGGGAAAACGTTTTTACCGCAGATCTAGATAATCCTTTTGAATTAGTGTAGGAAAAGGTCTGACCCCGTCTCCTAAAATCTACGGTAGTCTTGTCTATCATACCAATACTATAGCTATTTCCACATAGATACTTATTCTTTAAATGAGCGTCTAGCAACCATCTTTTCTGCTTGTTTAACGAATAGAAAAAGGGGTCTGAATGACCATATTCCTCTGGATTTCGAGCAATATTTAATACTAAACTATCATGAATTATAAAATGATTCCCTTCAATATTATTGAGAGATTCGTCTACAGTTATATCATTATTATTGAAGACAATCCATTTTCTTACAAGTTCTTTGTTAGATAAACGATCTGCATCACTACTCTTTCCAGTCCTTATAGTATTGCCGGTTCTAATGTTGCAGCGATGTTTTTTATGAGGATATGCTCTAGTAGGTTTTTCGAAGAAATTCTCGTCGCACCCATCATTATCGAGCATAATCAGGATACTCTTCTATATGCAAAAGTATATAGCGCTGTTATAATTATCTTGCAGGTATAAGCTTTAAAATAATTGCCCATTCAGTAAATTTTTCATTCAATAACAATATGCCTCAACGTACATAGTTACTGTTGTAATGGCAACACGTGATATTTGGCGGGAAATATGAAATTAACAAAGTACTGTTGTAGCATATTGTTTAAAGAAACTAATTAATTAATTATTAGTTGAATTTAAAACTTGTTTATTAAGAACTTATTAAATATTAGATAATTGAAAGAAATATCAAAGAAATTTATATGAAAAAGTGATAGAAGAGTCTTTAAATTAAGCTTTTTAGATAATCCTTTTAAAATGTATATTAAATATTCTTTTTAATATTTTTTAATAATCTATAAAGATTATAAAAAAAGTTAATATAATCATATGTTAAGATGAATTTAAATCATTGAGCCTAGGTAGAATGACTCAGCTCCATTTTAACCATGAGCGGTGTCCACATTGAGATGATATTTGCACACGCTCGTGTAGGGTTAAAACCAGCCTGCCTTACCTCCTCACCTCTCTGCCTATCTGTACAGCACCGCCTTTCACTCCCTCTCTTTCTATATATATATATATATATATATGTGTGTGTGTGTGCACTTGCGTGTTCTCGTTTATACTTTTTTGTACTCAAGAGTAGGATAATTCTGCTAAATCGGCTGATTACTACTATTTCTATATGGCTTCCGCAAATTCAAGAGAACCAACTGTTTGTATGTAAAAGCTAAAAGTTTATATGATCTATAAATGACATTTTACTGATGATTTTTTTGGATATTTTGTAGATGAAAGGCCTCATAAGGACGATACCACTGCTATAATTGTTCTAAGTCTTCCTAATTATAAACCACAGCGTTCAGGTATTTTTGGCAAAAAGGAATCAAATGCAAAAGAGCCAACGATAACTTTTACTGAAAAGTACGTATATCAAGTACAGAATAGATAAATAATTTAAGTCATATTAAAGAGTATTAATTACGGAAAATTTCAAATAAATGAGGCAAATTTATGACCACTAGAGGGCATTCTATTTCCTGTGAAAACAAAAGTGTTTTAATAGTATAATTTTTTATGTATCTATTTATTATATTGTTGTTTTTTTCTTGAAATTTAGTTCATTCGAATTTCAACTGGAATTTAAAGATAATAAATATACACCGTTTTATCTAGAGAAGAGTTTGCCTTATAAAATACTTCCAGACCAGTGTAAATGGACTCCGGTTAGATTTGCACTTTATCTAATTACTTGTCGTTTATATACCAATTTCTTTTGAATAACAGGTTCTAGCTAAGGGTAAAGAGCCGAATGCAATAGAAATAACGTTAAAAAAGGCAGAATAATAATTGATTTGTTATTTTTGATACAATAAATAGAAAATTGATAACAAGAAACATGGGAATTTCTACAATTGTATATTATATAAACATTATATAAGCATAGGTACTTTCTATATTATACAGTACATGAAAAAAATTCAACATTAATTGAATTGTTCCATAAATGCGTTCTTGGTAAAACAAAGAAATTCAAAAATGAAAATTTAAGTTTCTTTAATTGTTGTACATTTACAAAAATTTATCTGTATACACCAACATATTAGGCGTAGACACGTAAAGAGATTCATTACAGTTAGAAAATGAAATGAAACAGAGAATATAAACATTTAATGATAAACAACATGAGCATAATATTTTGCAGGTATATAAATTAATAATTAACTGGTGGAGGGGGGGAATTGATAAATTTTTTGAACATATTAATATGTGAACCTTTATAAGCATTCTTATAACTTTACAGATTGAATTTCGAATGGATGAGAAACTCATTAAAACCACTGTAAATAAAACACTGTAAGAGTTAGAATAACTTTATAAATGAACATAAATGCTTTCTATTAATTTTAAATCTATTTTCAAAAATCTATTCAAGTTTTTTTAAAGCTATCTTAACTATTCTTTTCTTTCACTTTAAAAAATGTTTTAAAACGTCTTCACTTGAATCTCTAGAGAAAAAGAAATCATATTAAACATATATCTAAGTTTCAATATATATCTCTCTTTAAATATAAAAAAATCTTTATATTAAATAATAATTATAGCAAGAAAATAATTATGATATTTAATATAATTCAAGAATAATTTAATGCTTATAGAATTCAGTCCTAATTTTATGCTAGAATTCTTAAAAGCCAATTACTTTAAAAGTGCAGAATCAGTAAGTAAATTATTCATTTCTCTCACTCTTTACTCCCATAGTTTCTCATCCGTCGAAACTCTATTACAAAGTTTTAGAATGTGAACAAAGAAATATTAATCTCTCTTCACCCTCTTAACAATAGTCTTCTAAACTCGTGGTGCAACATCGTCGTCTTTATCATCGTCCACTTCTGTTTCTTCTGTATCGCTATCGTTTGGGACCAATCTATTATTGTGTATATTAGCATATTCTTCTGCTAGAACATCGTTTGATACCAGATCTAAACAATCCTCTGCTTCTCTTCTACTATGTTGTTGATAGGGAGGTGGTAATTCAAAAGTTGAACTGTTTCTGACACTACTAGCGTCAATCTCCTCTTGATAAAGGGGGGGAGGCTCCCAAAATGGGGCTATTATAGCCGGTGTGACTAAAACATTCTCTGCAATTGAGGCTCTTTCTACTTGAGTATTTTGACTATTTTCCCTCCTCGATGAATTAGAATTAGTTAATCTAGTATTAATAAGTATTCCAAGTATATTTTACTAATAGTAAAGTAATATATATTTAAAATCTTACTTTGATCTTTGAATACAGACTATTCCCAGCCATAAAACAGCTACAAGAAGAATAAATATAGCTACGATGCAACCGAGTACTAAACCAATATCTATAGATCTATAGGTCTTTTGATATTGTTTCCTCCCTAAATTCAACAAGCTTGTTAAACCATATTCGATAGTTAAGTATCTCTAAATATCGATTACTGACCTGGTATATCGCTAGTGTCACAATTTTCATTGTTTGAGTTATCTTCTAATCCACAATGCATGTAACCGTCGCACAAAAGATTTCTTGATATGCATATTCCAGATAATCTACACAAGAATTCACCTTCTTGACACATTTTGACTTCATAGTTTGGTATTGAGAAGGCTGTTACAATTGCTATAAAGCCTGTAAACTCTGAAGTGATTTTTCCTTGAAAAAACAATGCTAAGTCTGAAGAGGGAAAACTGGCATATTCCATTAAAACATCTTCACTTCCTTTCCATTTCCTTCCTATTCTATCATAATTACCGTAAACTCCATAATGACTTTTAGTAAGACGTTTTTGCTTTGAAAACCCGGCATATATTTCAACACCATCGTTTGTTTGCGTTCGATCATCAATTCTGACTTTTTCAAAGTACATTCGAAGATGACGTTTACTGTGAGTTTGATTTTGATGGGCTTGTAAAATTGAATAGCATGCGATCATTTCATTCGGAATTTGTTCAACTAATTCCAATTTAATAGAGTCAATAACATGTATAACACCTGGATTTTCTGTATAGCTATTTGGATCTCTACAATTGTTTTTATACATATAAACCGTTCTTAGACCTGTAAGGGAAGAAATGCGTCATTGAATAGTAAACAAATAAAATGGTCTGACAAAATACCTTCAGCAACATATGACAATTGTAGGCAAAATAGTGGCAAAAGTAAATATCCAACGAACATGTTTTTATCAAGTATTTTAGTATCTAAGAAAGGAAAAAATATACACAAATTGGAGATAGTTAATCTGTCATCATAGTACCGGAAGCGGAATAGATATAATGTACAGCGCCGTCTACAGGGACTAATTTTACCAGACAGACGGCGCAGAATCCTATAAAAGGCTTACAAACTTCCTTGTTTAATTTCTCCAACAAAAAACCCTTAAGAAAAAGTTATCAAAATAAACGTACTTTTACAATGAATTAAATAGCCAGAAATCTATGCATAGAATATTAATATAATAGTCATATACTGTATAATATTGCATAGAAGGAAGAAAGGGGTATGACGTAGTTTAAATAATTATCCTATTAATTTAATCAAATTTTTACAACCGAAATAAGCTATTAATCCAGAATAATCTTTAAATCCAATAAAAGGTGCTCTAAATTTTTTCATATAATTTTCTCTACTCTAGAAGAAGAAACAAGGGAACATTTTAAATCTATAAAGTTTCCTCTTTCTAATTAATTTCCTTATACAATTCAACGATTGATATATACAGTAAACAAATACATTATACGCATTTGTTTATATATACATATTACATTAAGGAAAAACGGAACCTTAAGCGCTATAATTGTAATAATTCCCATTACACTAAGTTAATTTCTACTATATTATCTATAAATAAAGATCGTATCACAAAAATAGGACAGTAAACTTAATTTATTTTTAAAATCTCGGTTAGAAATTGCCATTAACTTTATTTTTTTAGTGAAGACCGTCTTATACTATTGTAGTTTAATGACCGTTCATACATTGTAACATACTATACAAAATTTAGGTCATACAGGATGGCGTTCTCTTTATTAACTTTATTAAATGTAGTGTCTTTGATTAACATTCAAAATATTAAAAATAATATTTTGTCGAATTCTTATTTAAAGCTCCTTAGAAAGATAAATTAATAAGAACATGTAAATAAATGACAAATGGCTTTAGTGTTCCTTTCAGAACGTTTTTTTTCTCTTTTCTGCTAATTTCTTTTATAGATCAAAAGGTTTAATATTTAAGATAAAACTTACTTGTTTCTCCTATTTTTTAAGTTAAATATTACAAATACAGCAACTTATTTTTCGAGGTTAATTGTCACTATTAACTGATTCTTTTCCAATTTGATCGTCAAATACAGAATTTTCGATAGAGGGAGCTTCGAATGTTTACATTGATGGTCTGGTTATATTATCGCTCACATGTGCTCTGATTGATCTCGTAAGAAGCTCTTAAAAGATGCCTAATCAAAACAAAAATAAACGAAAGAGTGAAACTGCATTAGTAACGAAAGCTGCCGTGTCAAGTCGATTGATGAAAACGTTTAATAAACGAAATAAAACAGAATTAAATAGTAAGATGTTAAACAACCTTTAAATAATAAATTGGCCGTTACTTATATGAACTGAATTCGTAATGTGTAATATATTAAGTACATTTTACAGATGAGCCTCTCTTCCAAAATAATTCTTCCGATAATGACGATTCTGAGTCAGAACTTGCTCTACCGGAAATAAAATTCGTAGTGTCAAATGAACCAACATCTCCAAAAGAAGTATTTTTACGAATGTGTAAAGATAACAATATCAAAGTAGAATTTTTGAACGAAGAAATCATAGAGAAAGCGGTCAAGAAGAAAAAGACTAAGAGAAGAAGTAAACAGAAAAATAGAAAAAGAGATAGTAGACCGAGGAATGAAGATGGAAGTTTAGTAGGATAAAACACGTTCATATAATATTTATATGTATATATTGTTTATTTTATTGATATATTTCGTTTAAAATAAATTCTCTATATATAATAAGTTCAGACTGTTCGTAAAATAATGGTAAAAAGTTCAACTATTAAAAAACAGATAGGTGGATTCTATAATAGAGTCCAACTAAAACTTTACTAAAACAAATGTACGAAAAATTCAAGCTTTCTACTTCTCTCAAAGCCTTCTGTATTTATATTAATATATGTTTTTCTTGTTATTGTTATTATTTTATAATTGCTTTTTGAGCTTTTCTGACGTTCCAATTAAGGCAACCAGCCAGGGATTCAAACCAATCAGACATTTGATCGCTAGCGCAAATACTTGGAACTGGATAAATTGAAGTCGTTACTCTTACTGAATCTCCAACGTTTAACTCCTGTCTATTTCGACCATCGAAGGAAACCCATGCCGAAGTTCTCGATTGAGGGGAAACCGATAGACGTATTTCAACACCAGCCGGCACTACAATAGGCCTGAAAGATAGTGAATGGGGGCAGATTGGCGTTATTAGTATTGCAGGAATGTTCGGATGAAGCATACTGGCTCCAGCAGCGGCAGCATAAGCCGTACTTCCTGTTGGCGTTGCAATAATGATTCCATCACCCTGAACTGAAGTCACGAGTTTTCCTTCAATGTATAAGTCAATATTTCCCAAATAAGATGAGGGTCCTCTATCCAGGACAACTTCATTTAGCACCTTATCGTATAAAAAACATACTTAAATTTATGAAATTTATAGACTTGTTTATGTCTAGTCTACAAAATGTTTCATTGATCCTTTCAATACATTATCAAAAGAAACAACTATATTCATTCAAAATCGGCCGTAAAAAAAGTTTATTTTATTTTAGACTAGGCAAAATAATCTTGGGAACGTATCTGCAGTTTGAAAGAGTTCAATTCATTTAAAAAATAGCCCTATTCATTAACTATAAGGAATTTATATATCTTATTGGCTGGATAAAGCTAGGCTTTGAATGAAACCTATAACATACTGTAACGATTTAACATAGTAAGATTGTAAGGGTAATTGGTGATTTAATAGCTTACAACAAATACATTTTTAATGTTAGGAATAGCAGGTTGTTTAATAAGCGATCGTAATAAAAACTTACCAGAATGTCTTTGCTCGTGTCAACCGTTTTGAAATCATGATTATTAATGTCGCAATGCTTTTCCTCATTTCCATCTTTACAGATTACACACTTTAGGCGAGTTCTTAACGTCAAGGCAGCGTTCCCTGAAAAGAAATACGTTAACAATATAGAGTATGAGTATTCAACAAAAACTAGAATAAATAATAACTACCTTCAAGAACCGAAGATACTCTCTCTTTAAAATCAGAAAAGTCAAAGGGAATAAGGAAACCCAATGATCCTAAATGAAATGCCATAACTGGTGGAACACTTTGCTGTTTGAATTATTGAAAATGATATAAAAGTCTCTAATTAATCTATTTGTAATACTTGGAATAATGACGAGACGTAGAGTAGAGTGCCATCTCCTCCAAGGCAAATTACGAAATCAATTCGATTGGTCAAATTATCTTTTTCTTCTTCAAAAGTCTTGACATTGTGCTATTTTAAATAAAAGTTTAAAACAAATACCTCTCAAATTGAACGACATAAAAATATATCTTACGCAAATGTAGTTGTAGTGTTCATGTTCCATCAGGTGATCATCGTTTAAAGCTTTCTTTTCAACGTGAACTACCATCTTCTTTACGGAAATTAACCATCTAACCAAGTCAACAAAAGGCTGAATAACTGATGCATCAAAGATTTTCTTGATAACGAGTACGGCGAATGGAGGTTTTGACCAAGCTAAACGTTGACTACTTGGATCCTGAATTGTGCTTTAAGAATGCAATATAAATCAATAATACATACACACAAAAACAGCACCATTACTTTCGATTAATAAAAAATTCATTATATACTTACAGGACGGCTGATTGTGTATGAACAATGCAGGCTTTAGGACCGAAATTAACGTTTTGGGATGCGCCATAAAGTGATTTAGTTCGTCTGAAAATACACAATATAGAAAAAAACTTAATTATTTCAGTTACTATTTTTCAAAGTTAGCTTTTCTACTAAATAAATTATATTAAATAAGAGCGTTTTAATATATTTAAATAATTAAACAGTTTACTAATTGATTATCGCTATTGGTTTTATTTATTTTGGTAAACCTTTTATAACTATTAAAATGTATATTCTTTTTATCCTCTTCCTCTGTAAAAACATCCGAATAGTCGTTAATCTTCGATAAAATCATCATATCTTTACGACTCTTGCTGCAGAATTAATGAATGCAAACAGCGTCCAGTAAATTATGATTAAAGAAAGTAGAGTAAAGAGCGAAATGAGATGCTTTTACTATAGGTGGTCTTTCCGTCATTATACTCAGGGAGTATCCTTAAAAAAAGACGACGCTCTGTTTAAAGATTTTTTTTTCGAATAGGTATGTTCTATGTGAAATAACTTCAGATACCCTAGAGAATTCAATATAGAATTTTTCAATAGTAAAAAATACCTAACGATTCACAAAAGGGCTGTTCAATTCGATACTGGACATAGTTAATACTTAAATTAAAAAGAGCCTTTATTTTCTTCCCATATTTTTTCTTCTACTCGGATGAATAACAACTATTTTGTAAAAAAGTTATCTATGAGAAAAACGAGCTAATAATTCTCATATTCTCAATGACTGACAGTTATTAGTATACTAACAAAGAACTGCTGTATAATATTTTGAAAAAAATTCAAAGAAAACCTAAAAATGAGAGATTTTCAATTATTCCAAGTACAGTAAACAGACGTGTATAAATGTTTTTAAACGAAAATTTGTATACAATCAGCCTGAACAGGCGAATTAATTTATCGAAAACAAGAAAGGAACCTGTTCTTTGACCCATTGGAAAATACCCAAAATTTGAAAGCGAAGACAAAAGAACACTGGTTATAGTTAACAAGACAGATATATAAATAGCAGTGCCACGATAAACCCTCTGTTTTGTTTTACTACCTTTTGAATAGCCCGGAAAAACTGTTACGATAATGAAGAATGAAAAATTAGAGCCATTAACAACTATCACAATTAATAAAAGTTAATTAATATAACATATTATAGCTGTTCCGTTAACTTAGAATGCTTGTTTAAAGCGCTATTGTTTTGATGGACAACACATGATGTTTTCGCAATAAAAGTACATTATTTTTATTAAATAGAAAAACCATAGGTATCTTATTAGCAATATAACAGTCTTGTTATTATTACCATTATAATATTATAAATAGCTCTTTAAGAAGCCTAAATCTTCTTTTTTAAATATTCTAACAAACATTCTTTATGATATTGTTAAAATGATTATTTATAAAGGGACTATTAATGGATAATTTACAAAGCACTCTCGGATAAATGATTTAATTATCAAAAGAATATCTATACCTGAGAAAATTTTTCAATCTTATAACGCAGCCATCTTTCAAAACTGTTTTAATATCATCTATATCTTTATTTTCTTCAATTGCTACCATCCTTGGCCAAGTATTACTACTTTCTAATCCCTGACAGTCAATTTCTTGACTGTCAATATTGAGTTCTTCTCCTTGTTTCAATATATGCAGTTCAGATTCTTCGAAAAGATATGAGGTTCTCTTTCTTACTTTGTTTGGCATGTTGCATTCAACAGGTCGTTTGAAACAGTCAGTTCTACTCTGGACAGCCATTCATGTAGATTCATTAACCTTGGTAACACATGTTTTTTGTCAGATCCCACTAATGCAACAATAAACTTTAAATTTCAGCTTTTGTATGCTGCATTGATAGCTAAAATTATCATGCGCCCCACATTCGATATTCAGTGTTTTTACTATAATTACGCTGTAATATTCGTCTGGTGTTGACAATAATTTCAACAACACATGAAAGAGGCCAAGAATATCGATCTTAATAAATGGACAACTTTCAAAGAGATTATTATATGCAAGAATGTAATTCCTAGTTAACCAAAATATCCAATAAGAGTAGACTGTCCCAAATATTGAGATCAGGTGAGGTGAAATAGATATTTCTCAACTGAAAGATAAGATGCTCTACGGTTTTTTTTTGTCTCCAATAATCAGTTAAAAGAAGGTGTAAGGCTTATTTTAAGCAGCAGAATATCAACTTATATAATAACCTTTGAATTGTTACTGATTGTGTAAATACTACACTCGCTCCATCTATTGAAAAAGGTTTCAAAAAATTTCAAGCTTTTTGCAGAAGGTTTTTTAAAGTTTGAATATATTAGTATGTATAGGCATATACGCAAAAATGCATCTTGAAATACCTTTTACCATGCAAATATATCTAATTTTCATAATATAAACCATATGAGACCTAATTCTTACACTTTGGATTGAACCTGTCCCACTTTTGAACTTAGAAAATTTTGCTTCGAGTAATTACAACATACTATACAGCATACTGTAAAGTACATGTACAGTTTATTTATATAATAAATTTTTATCTTACCCGCAAAGATGGAGACTTTCGTTTCTATTATATCTTGAGTCCCAACAATTTGCTTTGAAACTATTTCTCATTGCTGCAGATGAATCGAGTATATCAGATTCTGAGATGCTTCTACTGGTTGATTCCCTTGTAGGACGAACATCTTTGTGGTGGTCATTTTCAAAGGAATTATCAGCGAATTTTACACAGTTATTCGGCTTTGATTTTAATCCTTTACTGTTACAGTTAATCATCGTGGGTTGGAATTCTTCGATGGAATGATAATATCTTGATGATTCGAAACCAAAAATGAGATGATTAAGAGAATTAGAGTTGCATCATCTATGATACTCGTTCTCTGATTTGATAAACCGTAAAATCCATTATTAAATACATCCTGATTGCAATAATATGATTTGTCATAATTGGAAAGTAAGCAGTATAAATGATAAACTTTAAAACATTACTGCTTCCGGTTTTTACATAGTACAATTCGAATCGGAAAAATTACTCCAAGGTTAAGGTGAAGGTTCTTTAAAGGACAAAATGGCGTTATCAACACTTCGGTGAGATATTTTTTCAATGATTTTCAATGATAAGTCCCTTTAAAATATTCGTTTTTTAATTTAGAAGGCTTTAAAAATTATAAAAAATAAAAATTTATATTTGATTTTCAAAATTGTGTAATAATCTTATTATTATCTGGGTTTTTTCAGTGCTGCAAGATGTTCTTCTCTTTTCTTAAAGCAGAGCTCCTTCCTGATGAAGAAGTAAATAGTTTTTTTCATATTCACAATTGTCTCTTTTTCTATTTAAACGTAGTAATGATGCATAGTAAGAATTATCTTAAAATTATATTTTCTTAACCTTAATATGCAAATGAGTTGTGAAGCAACTTTCTCCTTGCCATTTATGAAGGATATATAAAGGATAGCAGTACTATATATGCATAGGTTTGGCGTAAAAGCTCGCATCAGAGGTCACAGACAGGTACTTGTTACCTAATAAAGGCCTGTGGGAAGGTCTGAGAAGGCCGATTTCTAGGCTCTAGAAGGGTCCCAACTGTAAAGTTGGGTGAGGGAACCAGAAAATGACCGGCTGGACGCGAATATGACGCGAGACGTCTAATCCCCCTGAAAAGGGATAGACGGATGTCCGCGTTGCAGTTAGGTTGGAAGCTCTCACGGCCGGCTATGTGAGTCCGATTTGCGAGGTGAACTTGGTTCATAACTCGATTCAGACTACTCTTACGCCAACCTTTTTTTTTTAAATTTTTTGTTCAACTTTTAAGTATTTTTGTTTCCCCAGCTCTGCTGCTCCGATGGCTCTATCTGCACACGATCAAATGAAAGAGTTTTGGAAAAAAAATGAAAAGTTAAATAGACCATCATCACCATGGATTATCTATTGGCCACATTTACCCATGATGACATCTCTCGGTCATAGAACTACTGGGATTGTTTTAGGAACTGGCTTGTATGGAATTTCCATCGGTGTATTTTTAGCACCTGGTGATTTTAACTCAATAATACAAGGTATTCAATCGTTGGAAATAGCAGCACCAATTATGTGCGCTCTCAAATCAATTGTTGCTTTTCCTTTGGTTTACCATTACATAAATGGGTTAAGACATTTGGTTAGTAAAATTAAATATGCAATTATGCAATCAAAATCTTTATTAATATATAAATATTAACAGTCTTGGGACGCTGGATATGGATTTAAACTTAACACGCAATACAAAACTGGAATCTTGGCATACGGATCAGCAGCAGCTATTGCTCTTCTTTTGGGGTCTCTATCCTACTGGTGAGAGAAGTGTTAACGAAGAAACCGTTTTCATTAGACTGAACGCTTGATAACATGAAAGATGATAATATTGTATTAAACTTGTATTTATAACAGAAATATTATCAAATGATCCAACAAGATAAACAAAAAGATTTGAATATTTTTGATGTTAAAAAGATGTAGTTCACTTTTTTCCCTTTTCAATTTACATATTCAATTTTTCCACAGAAATGAACACAACTTTTAATTTGAATATTCAGGCATTAGCGGTATTTTTTAAGTTTAAGTAATCACAACTGAAATGAATGAAATAGAAAATCTATTTTGATCATTCTGTTCTATATTCTATTTTTAAATAGAACAAATAATGTCCAACTAGATATTTTGATGCTTCTTAATGAAATACTTGTAGATACGCACTCTTAAGGAATGATAATATACAAGTAAATATACAGTATATATACAGTATATAGAAATTTATACTATAAAGTATACATAGATGATGTTTTCATAAGATTATTTTGTTAGGACAAAACAAATTTATGAATAATTAATATTCATAATTAAATTAATTAACATAGTAGGAGATCTTTATTTAGTGAAAGCGCTCTCGAATGCCATTGAATTGAACAAACAATTAAAAGGACCGTATCCTTTGTAAGGAAATTTTCCATTGCACAACTCAAAACGGCGCCAACCATCTTGGCGCCAAAAGCAGCCGACGATCGGCACCCCAAGTCAATTAGGCTACATTGAAATCTCCATTACTTGAACAGCATCTGGCGTAAGTTGAAATCATTTTCGCTGAATAAATACAACATAATTGTATAAAATTATATATCAGATAGAGAAAAAAATGAATTTAATAAAGATTATGAGCATTTTCCTTTTTCAATTATTGGTTAGAACAGGTTAGTATAAAGATTAGAATCAGCTTTTGTTCGCAATTCAAAAAAACTAGAGAGAAAAATGGCCTATGTATGAATATATGTGTAATATATCTTTTGCAAACAAGAGAAAATTCATTTCGTTAATTCCTTTACTTGTTAAAAGAAAGAAAACGAAGATAAAACTCTTAAATATTTCTCTCTTCTTAGATTCAAAGAAATGTAAATTTAAGGATACTGATTACCAAATTGGAGAAAGTTGGCGATCGTCATTTATATCTATGAATAAAATTTGGTGTATAGAGTGTGAATGTTTAAAGGTTAGTTAGTACGATTTAATAAATTAAATAGATATTGTTACATAAAATTACAGAAAATTGGGATAAAATGTTCAAGTAAACTATGTTCAAAGCTAAATTGTAAACGAAACGAATTATTTTACAAAAGCCAAGAATCTTGTTGTTCACTTTGCTTAAGTAAGTAAAAAAAAAAGCTTTCATTTATTTTATTATATATATATACTGTATATATCTAATATTTATGAAAGAATTATTCTATAAATCAATACAGTAGATATATCTTTTCTATATTATTAAAGAAGAGTTTACTTTAAAAAATAATATACTAACTTTTACATTCAATTGATATAATATAAGCTTTTCATATGCATTGTTAACCTCATAATCATTTCCCGCAATTGTAACAATGTAAAAAGTTGAATGATGACGTAAGAGCAAAGGGGGGCTACTTTGTAACAATTTGGCCTAATTTGCATTTTAAAGTCTTGTCTTTAAACAATTATCAATGTAGTAAAAGATTATTAATTTTTATAGATACTAAATCTAAGAGAAAAACTTTTGAACAATATCCTGCGAATCAACCGAAAGTAGAAGTAAATTCTACTAAATTTGAAAAAATAAAACATCAATCAACGTGCCAGATTATTAATAAAAATGGGAGAAGGATTAGAGATTGGACAGCTGAAATCTCATTTACAAATCCTTTCCAATGTAAATTGTGCTCTTGCGTTGTAAGTATCTTTTTCATTTTTTATTATTTCGTATCTCAAAGGATATTTACCTTGTTATGCCATCTGCCGACTATCTTTACAATTAGACTGTAACAAACTATTTTGCTATCTCTCATTAATTAAACAGTTATATTACTTTATGTAATCAAACAGATAAAATTAGATAAGAAAACTTGATTTAATCGAAAGTTCTTTTATAATTAAACGTTCTTTTATTTTTACTTTTTAAATAAAACAGGGCAGTTTCCAATATTGTTTCATTCAGTCATGTCCGAATTTAGACTGTCACAGAACCTCTAATAATGTCAGAATTTGCTGCCTAAATTGCCTAAAAAGAGGTAAATTTTATTATATAAATAAAATAAGAGAATTTAATAAAAATAGATTTTCATTCTAGAAATCAGATTAGAGAAATGTGAATCAAGATTATATACAGTTAGTAGCCATAAAGAAATGAATGGATCGAAAATATCATTGAAAGTTCTATTCGAAAACTTAAGGAGGAGGAAATCGGTCCTTTTTATATGGTCATTTCAATATGGTAAGTCCTTCAGCGACTAATCTATAAAGCACAAAAGATCTCAAAAAAAGTGTACGCGTTTAATTCACTTCAATAATCCATAAATCTGATAGATGAATTAACTTTTAGAGTATCAAGGTGGCGCTACGCAACCTTAATCTCTTTTAGTACGCTTCAGAGCGATTCTTAAGGGATTACTATACTATTTTTACATTCTTGGTATTATTTTTCTCCATCAGTTATTGGTAAATCTTTCCGAGTGAAGAAGATTACTTTAAAAGATCGTACTCGTTTACCTAATTCAATAAAATATGGCCTTACCACTAAGGACCAATTGAGAACCTTTAAAAGGCAAATGAACCGAATGTGGAGATCGAAACCCGTGACTCTACTAAGCTCAATTTATAACAAACTCAATCAATTACGCTTCTTGAGAGAAACCTACTGTTAAATTTAGGCGTCTAGGCGCCTTTTCTTCTTAAATTTTCTCGGCTAATCACTTTGTACCCTTAAGAACTGCTTTGCACTGAAAAGAAAAGAAAAAAAGAAAATACTCTTTATTAAAGTTTTTTTTTACACCTTCAAAAGAGGTCCAATATTCTAAGTGAAGGCGCCATCTCTAGGTGTTGTACACGACTTCACCTACACTTTAATTATCATGTGTAAAATGTACTATGTATGCACGCGTGTGCGTGCTTGTTTTCATCATTGATTTTCTTTTTGTAAAAGTAGGAAAGATATCATTTTACATAAATTTCAGCGCCACCTGGAACAATAGGTGTTGAGATCTTTTTCCCCTTAATTTCATCTTATATTAAGTTGATTGCTGAGGAAATTGTTTAAAAAGATGGAAAAATTGGGAGGGGGCGCGGAAAGAAACGAATATAAGCTGAAAAAATATAGAAAATAAGATACTTGAAAGAAAATATTTCAAAGTAAAAATTCTAATCACGCAACTCGTGATAGTTCGACTCCGCCTATCAAAGCCTGTGCTCGTTAGGCGCTAGTAAAGGTAATTATTCGACCGCCATATTAGCCAAAAGCTAAGCTGAGAAATAAGAAGCTTAACAGCTAGTGAAAATTACCTTGAGAGCAAATACACGCCTTTTTTAATGTCAACAATAGTAGAAAAAAACGCACACATTCGACAACTTATTTCTTTCTTTCCCCTTTCTTTTCTTTTCTTTTTTGCAGTATAGTGTATATATAAACACATATAGGCCACGTGACCTTTCTTATTTAACTAATAGACTCTAGTCTATCGGGAGAAAGAGGGCCTTAGGCTACCTGTAAGCAGCTGTCGCACCTGTTCGCATTACATAGGCCTATGTGGGGCTTAAAAATAAGTATAGAGACAACAAGAGTCATTTAGTAAGGTTGTCACGACAACATATCTGCAAATGACTAATCGATGCAAAGTGTATAGTCAAAATGGCTGTAATTGCCGCTGTTTCGCATTACTAATGCATCGAGTCTTCCAACGATCGCAGATGTTTATTATGGGCTATGTACAAAATATACTGTATATATGCATATATTTATACACGCACGTGTGCTCATAAGGTATGAAGAGAGAAAGAAGAGGGGAAAGGTAATATGACAGAACGGTTGAATGGTTTAATATAGCTTTTATACCCTTGTTCTCCTTTATAAAATAAGTTACGTCGGCTGGGCGAAGAAGTGATAAAGTTAGGGTAAGAGGAGTTAAAGATGGGAGGTAAAAAAGAAAAAATGGTGTTTCACAGAACATTAATCACAGATAGGCAGAGAGGTCAAGCGAAACGGAGAGTGAGTGAGTTTTGGGAAAGTAAATGCAAAAACGATGTCCGTTAGTAAAGCCATCCGCAGTGTAGGAAATCACGAAAGGATCTAGGGAAAACGAGATGTATCGATTCCGGGCTAAAATTCCTCTACAAAACTCCCTTTACCCTTCTTCCCTTTTTCTTATCCATATTTCAAGTACACGTCTTCTATCTTTTCTTCCCTTTCTATCGACCTTTTCTTCGTACATTTCTTTTCACCTATCCCTCTCGATTAAGCTCAATTTTTTCTCTCTTTTATGCTTACAAGTTATTTATTTCCTTTCCTTTCGCTACAGTCTTCTTTGGCCTTTTTTATTAACTAGATACTTGCAATAAATAACCTTTTATAAATTAAACTAATGTCAACCGAACAATTTAATATTTTGACTTATGATACAACTCCTCCCATACACTTCATTACTCTTTTATCCCCCTGCGTTATAGTCTCCACCTCTTTTTATGTCCGAGCACAAATCCGCACAACTTCTAACAATAATAAACAACAATAACAACAAAAAACCCGACAGCTATCGCTACTCGGCTACGCACAATAGAACGTGCGTCCTTTTACCGAAGATTAATTGGCCGACTAAGGGATACTAATGTTTGGGCCCATTTTAAATACGATAGTTAGATTTGTTTGTAAATAAAAAGTCAAGTTTTCTCCAAGATGAATAAGTATTTTCTCTTTCGTTACAACAAACTGTACAAACTAAAAATCTGCTGTTATAATAACTTTCGTTTGCTTATTTTTCATTATAAGTTCTTGGTAGACTGCAGAGTAAACCATCCCTCACGGTAATGGACCATTGGCTTATCACCTATTGTCTTATTTACTCTAGAGATAAAAGAGAAAAACGTATACGGATTAGGGGAGAAAGGTATTCTCTACTTTATTTATCCTTCCCGCGGCTCAGGATGCTCTCGCTAACTCTTTTTCTTTCCGCAAACTGATAAGCCTATCATGTAGTTTAAGCAAACGAACTTTACCGTATTTATTTATTTATTTGGTCTGTTCATTCTTTAGTGTTCTCTCTAGATTTGGAATCTGAATAGAAGAGAAAATCCATGTTTTTTTGGGCCAAATACTTCTTCAAACCGTTCCGGTAAAGGGACAAGGGGGTAAAAGAGGGGCGGATTATTTTTCGGTTGGAGGAACTGCAGGGGGTTACTGTATGTTTAAGGCAAAATGACGAGAGCGGAAACGAAACGGTTGAATGATAGCGGAACGAGAGAGTAGGCCTATTTTTCTTTATGGAAACGCTCGAATTCTTATACGAATTATTCATTGCTATTCATCTTATTTCATTTCAAAGCCATCTAACAGTCCTCATAGCACCTCATACTCTCTTCTTACCTAATCAGTTATCGAATGTTTCTTTTAGAAGCGTAACTTAAGCTGCTAACGATCGAAATCGAATACGAGCCCTTATCTGCACGACTGTAGGAGGGTGGCGAGGTAAAAGAAAAAAATTTCGACAAGGGGAAGGGCGTGACGAGATATACGATTCTTTGTCTCCCTAGGAAGATAGACGCGGAAAAAGAGATTAAAGCAGTCGCGTATAGAATGTCCCTCTTCCTCTTATCCATAAATATACAAGTATACACATTTAGAAAGTATAGTTAATACAAAATATAGAAGATAGACGATAAATGACAGAATTTACTGCGAATGAGGTTTATTATAAGTGAAAAGTAATCTCTGAACAATTTCAACAACAACGCTTGCCTGTACAAATATACACAACAAAAAAGAAAAACATAAACGGAACAGCGTAGCCGCCTTTCTCCCCCTCCGTTTCCTCCCCTCACTCCCCCCTCGCTGTTGTACATAAAGGACAAGAGAAGAATGTTGAGTGAGGGGTAAACGGTTATAACGTTTGAGAGAGAGAGCGAGAGAGAGATTGAAATAACCCTGAAAAACGGGGTGGAGTTGACGTAATTTCTCACACCGCCCCCTTTTTACATCATTTGTCATTATTAAAAAATACAAGTAGATAAAGATCATTCATGTTTTTCTAAGACCAGCCAAAATTCCTACCAGTCATTCTGTAGAATCGTTCGTTAAACGGTCGGAAAAAAGCTCTTAATCTCTCGACTACTTCCTCGGAAATGGTTGGATGAATTCGGCCCTTTGTTTTGCCCAGGCACTGAATACTTTCTCCAGATTTTCGAAGGCATGGGAAGCCTTTCGTTTCATTATAATAAAAATTACTAGGTTTGATTATAGGCCTTAAGCCCAAAAAGCTTTCTACTTTAGCCAGTTGACCAGCAGGATCGGTAACAAGGCGTTCACCGTTAACAAAATGAATTTGGGCCAATGAAAAGTAATCGAGCCATCTGCGAAGGTGTTTAGCATATATGCCTATGCGGATAGCGGCCCATGAAGAGTTAATCACTTTACTTTGATCGTCGACAAAGACAAACTTTTCAAATGACTGAATGTTTGGACGTTTTGATAACTGTTGCGTATAATCACTTATAGCTCTCGTTACGGGATCCCGTACTACTACAATCAACTTGACAGATGGCGACATTTCATAAACACGTCTCGGTACGTCCTTCATTACGAAGTAACTGGGCGTCTTTTCGATGGTCAGCTGATCGGAAAGAGTTGACGGCATCTGTTGCCTGTAGAGAGATAAAAGAGAAAAAACCGGATTAGTTTACTAAAAAGTACTAGTAATTGAAGTAAATCATATAAATCAAACATATTTTAATAACAAGCAATCTATTTTACCTAAGAAAGGAAAAATAATTAAGAAGCTCATCTGATGTTTTACTTCAACCTAGAAATTTATCTTCACCTTTAGCCCGTTAATTATTTTTTTAAGATAAAATCGAATAAATGGAAACAACAAGTCAACAGTTGCCGAAATAAGTAGACATATTGCTTTTTAGCCTAAGGGATGAGATTATACTGCATGATATTTATCGCATTAAGTCGAGTAATAAAATCAAATAGTTTTGAATCAGTCATGTGTAAATCTAAGATTTCTTTGGCAAATCATGTAAGGGTATTCCCTTTTTATACAAGTATATATACAGTATAAATGTATATATATACATACATATTTTATAAAATCACTTGAAAGTCCCATAAATAATAATAACTTAATAATATTTCCATCGATTAACTTTCCGTTATAATTACAAACTTATTGAGGCGTAATTATCGTTAATAAGAGACTAGTTTAATCGAATATTACACAGAAGGTTTTGCAGTGTCAGAAGGTAGGGGCAGGGAGGGGGTACAGGGAAGAAAAAATGTCATATTATGTAATAAATTGATAAAGTAGTAGGGTTGTTAATCATTGTAATGTTATTCATTCTTCTTTTTGTCTTGTTCGTTTCTAACGTTAGCATTCGCCTCTGGCAAGTTTCACTATTGATCATTAAGGACGGACTCTACGACTACGCGCATCTATTTTTCTCTTTCACGTCTCTTACGTAACCCTACTCATTGAATGAAAACTCTTTTTCACCTTCCGAAACTGAGAGCAATAGGAGGATAAGTGAAGAACAATTCGCCTAGGGTGGTCTCCATTAATTTTCCTACAGTTTGGAATATTGTAGATAGGCCTACAAAATTAAACACGTAATATCTCAAATACTGTATTTATAGATCGGACTTTGCAATATGCTCCGAAAATAAAACAAAGAGCTATGGGAAATTTCTGAAAGAACAGATTTTCGCTATTCTTTTGTCTTTTCATTTTTTATCATCAAACTCATTTGTATTCTTTGGAATAAAAGAGAAAATGAGAGTAAAACGAAAAGAAAGGGTGAAAAGGACATAAACAAAAGAATAGAGAGAGGAGAGCAAACGTCTATCAAGTACAAGTGTATGGGTAGAGCGAAAAGAGAAAGATATATATACATTTAGTCTGTATATAAATATATATATATATATATATATATATATTGTATACGGAGTGCTAGGCGTCAAACGAGAGAAAATTGGAAATCGAATTTTTTTCACCCGACAGTCTTGGGAATTGAGTGTTTTGGCGAGAATGAGTGGGTCGTCGAGAATATGGAAAGTGGTCTATCACAAACCACCTTTCCCCCTTCCTACTTAGTCTCCTTTGACTCACTTTTGCGACCGTTTCCCTTCACCTTCTACTCACAGTGAAGAACTTATAGAGAGCAATTAACGGCTTATTGACTAATAATAGTCCGAGTGCGCCCCTTTCTTGTTAGACGAGTGTCTAGCAATTGTTCGCTAAATTGTTATACAGTTGTACACTTGGTTGTTACCTCCTTTGTTGAAGACGAGCGCCCCCTTCTTAAGTAAATCCCTCAGCCGTCATTGACGACGGAAGTCAAAAAAAAACGGAAGTTGAGGAAAAACTTGGGTAAAATGTCAAAAGGAGAATATGTAAAGGGTTTTTCTAAACGAGTAGAAGAGTATGCACTTAGGATTATTGTTACAAGTTAGCCTTTTACAAGTTGTCCTCTCCTACCCTTAAGGTCACATGACTTGTAAAAAGTTATTACATTTACCCGAAGAGGAGCGGAGGACAACAATGTTATCAGTCGAAAGTATATAACACGTCCGAACGAATTTAGCATAAACAAGGTCCTATTTGTTTTAGCTTAATTAAATCCAGACAATCCAAACTTCAACTTATTTCTTAATATATACAAACCATATAAACGTATAGATTTGTTCAATATGCATTATATGCATTTTCGACGTTTATGGTAATTACATCCGTTGCGCAATTCATTCTAATCGTTTCCCATTTCGTCGTTTGAACTATTGATGACTTTTTAATGAAAGTAAATGTAATCGAATTCCAACCTATTTACATTTTTAAACACCCAGCTGTCCATTATTTATAAAGCCATATTATTACATATTTGACTAATATAAATATATATATGGATATACACAAAAGGTTTACAGGATATATAAGTTTATTCCAATATTTTCTAATATTAAAAGGTATGGTAAAAAATGATTTAAAGATGATTAAAACATTGTAAATCATAGCCAAAAGCGATTGAATATATTTATATACACGACATATATATATATATATCAAGGCCTCATTATTGCTCTCCTATATAGGCTTTACATATTAATGAAGGCTTTATCACAAATACAATCCGTATATGTTATAGGCTTTCTGACAATAGAATTAGTGAGAAGCTCATCAGGTGACCCATGCTATATATTGCAATTAACTATAGTCACTATAGTCGATAAATTACCATCGACCGCGGCATTCACAGCTTAGTCAATACCGGCGTTTAGATAGTAATTAAGCAAGCGGACCGAGTGTATAGAGAAACAAATCGCGGCGACAAATTTTTCACGAACACGTGATAACTATTATTAAGATAAGAGTTGGGGATTAAGGAAGAGGGTGGAGTATGGTGCATCCTCTTTTTTTCTTTCGTCACAAAAGATTGTAGCTTTAACTTTTACTAATGCCTCTACACCCTCTCCTACATTTCCCCCACCCCCTCTTTTACCCGCCCTCCATTCTGACAAAGACATAATTAGGGACAAAGCTCAAGCTGCACGGATTCTTTGTGACGTGCACCTGCACGGCGTGTCGTCTAATTAAGAAAGCGACGCCCCGCTGAGCTTTTTCGCGCGACGTTTTTTTTGTAACTCTTCTCTTTTATACCTTTTTTTATCGTAAAAAACTAACAAGGGTAACAAAATAAATAAATAAAAGCTTATAAAGGGGGGACAATCAGTCAATAGGCCTACTTTATATACAGTTTTAAACGGCATTACCGAATTGGAACGAGAGTTAATCGTAGTCAGCACGCAACGATCTCATTTATCCCTCTTTACGCACGCGTTTCGCGTACAGCTTAGCCCTGGGCCGTTGTATTATGTAATAAGAGTCGAAGATCACGTGACACCATTTTTTCGGTGTTTAACAGGAACAGTTGGAAGCGTTTATTAGTTTAAAATTTAGGGAGTTTTAAAAGGCTTTGAACGCCTGTTGCTAAGCAAAACAAAGATGGTGGTATTATTTAAAATGAAGTACTATTGTATATATAGCTTAAACGATGCAGTCAAAAATAAAGAAAGAACTCGAGGCTAAACGATATAGAATTTTCTATGAGTTTTGATAACGGAAGCCGGAATTGTTGTATTTCTTATGAGTGAATGTTTTTCTAAGGAGCAGTTTTTATTACCCTTGATATCACATACATGTAAACATCCCTTATTCAGAATGGTAAACGATAAAGAAATCATCTCGTTTTCTCTCTCTCTAGCCTTCCTTTTACCTTTTTTCTTTTCTTCTTTCTACAATTTTCCTTTCCTTTTTCCTTATTATTTTTAAATAAATTATTAACAGCCACGTCTTTTTTTCTTCTTCTATTTTTCACTCTCTTTTTTCTTTTTAATTGCAGTTTTATTTCATTCAGAACGCATGCGCCTTGCTATTAGCATCTCGTCTATTATAGCGTTAGATATTTTCTGGATGAACGACTAAGCGAAAGTCCAGCCACGCCTTTCGATTCTTTTACCTTGAACTTTAGGGTTGAAGGGACAAAAGAAATTGGATTGGGGTTACCGAAAAGGTCATTAGTATTGCTGACTAGCCTTCAAAAAATGAAGAATTAGGTGGAAATTTTAAGCGACTATAAAAAGGAAAATAATCTTGACCCGATGAAAGCTAAGTCTTTGTGGTAGTCAGATGTGTGTTTAAGAATAACTGGTTGATAATAACACTTCAACACTGAGAAGGTGGCACATCGAAGGTTTATGGCTCTACATGCGTTCTTTGACGTTTTCTGTTGAAGACTTTTTTTATGGTCACGTGATTCTTTACCTTGTTTTGTTAGGGAAAATGAGTCAATAGGAGACAGAACGTTGGTTGTATCCGGCCGGCGTTAAAGCATACACTAATACGGATGTGAAGCGGAATGGGTTAACATTTTGCAAAAAAGGCGTCTAACGCTTACAGGGTTGATAAAAGATTGTATCAGCGTACCCCAGAGGATGCGGCGTCTAACAAAACGATAGTGGATCCGCTCCTCACGCTGCACACGCGAATGCATGAGTGTTACCTATAGCAACTGAGGGTATATTGGGCTTCATAACTGATAAGTTTGATTACCTGTACCATTCCAGTCCGTTCCCGTATCGCTTGTCAAAGAAATGTACTTCCGGTCCAGGAGCTCCGACGTCTGGATGAATACGTAAGAATTCCAATAAAGCTCTCGTGCCGCCTTTTTTTACACCTATTACTATAGCATGAGGAAGTTTCTTCTGCAACCTTAGGTTTTCCGAGTACTCCCTAGTCCTATCTGCTTTTTGGCGGGAGAGAAAGGATGAGAAAAACATAAAAAAGAAGAAAACTGATGAAATCAACATGGCGGCGTTAAATCCAATCTTGAACATAATCGTTCAACATTTTTTTTTCAACGCTGCAGCACTCGATCACACTCCTTGAAAAATCTAGCGGCACAATGAAAAACGTAAGCGGATCACGTGACTTTATAGCGGAGACGGGGAGAGATGATTGGCTGGCGATTTTGTTGGCAGCTTTGAAAAACTGACAAATGACATAGCATAGAATTTCGTTTTTTTGTTTGCCGTTATAGGCTGCAATCGATTTCTGTTGAAGAATATTAAAAAAGAAGGTAAAGAGTCAGATTTATATATGAGAATGATCATAAAAAGAAAAAGAGTATTTATTTTTTTTTCATAGTCTTTTAACTAATTTCCCGAGAGAGAGATAAAAATTTCATAAGTGTGGAAATCGCTAAAGTAAATTTAATTCAATATTGCACACTATAGTACGCTTTGAAGGTGGCGCGGGATATTAATAATAGGCCTAAGAAGCCCCTGAGGTGAAAGAGTATATTTATTAAAGAACTCCGCCGTAGGCCTGTATACGTCCGCCGCTAATGGGGATGACCGCGTGAAAATAAACCAGTCATAAAATAGTGAATGCGATAGGTTGTTGATAAACCATATAAGAATATATATATGTCTATATATATATATATATATACATATAAAATGTAATAAGTTTTCTTTTACATTGGATTATGCAACACATATTACAGTTATTTGATTTGAGATGCAGAATTGAGCAAACTACCTGAAATATGTACTTAATTTCCGTCTATATGCCTTTTTATTACATATTATCTGTCTTATTTATTTTATGGATCATTCATTGCTATTTCACTTAGCATAATTGCTATTTCTGTTACAAAGTTCCTTGTACTATTGTAAACTTAAGAGGAAAGATTTTATTTATTGCTAAACAACAGATTTGGGTAAGTATAAGTTTCTTTTCTTCCCTTCTCTGTCTCTTTCTCTCTCTATCTCTCTCTCTCCCAGTTTCCCTATCATTCACCCTCTCTCCCCCTCTCCTGCCCCCCTTTTTTTGTATTTATTTTTAGGGACAAAAAACAGTGCTGACATCTTGTTTCAGTTTATTCGGAAAAGAGATGAGAAAAGATATATAGATTTATGAGAGGAAATGAAGAAGAAAGAAAAAATCTATTAGATGCTTTTGATCAATTTCTACTAGATTTATTGGTGAACTTTGAAAATCATGTGATAATATCGTCATAAATTCATTAATAGGCATTGAAAAAGACAGAAGAAAAACATTTAATATTTAGCAGATTTCTCTTTATTTACATGATACCACGATATATAACAATATATCTTATAAATAGCATCGCCTAATTTGGGCCTATACTGAAAAGAGTCTTTAATAATTAAATTCAAACCAAATATATACTTTTTTCGGTCTCTTGACGAATTAAAAAAGATCTCTGCAAGAGGTGCCAAATGTCCGTCCAACTGAGATTTTTCAATATTTCAAGTGTCTTGGGAAATTCTTTCTAGTTTCCAAACAATTCATTAAGAATAATAGAGGCTTTATCATAGGTAGTTTTATTTCAATCATATGAGGCTTATTAGTTTCTTACAATTTTATTTTTACTTTAACGAGGAGCGAGAGAGAGAAGGAGAGAGAGATAAATAAATTAGGAGATAGATAAAGAGTGTAAAACAATGCATGAAATATGAGAGACAGAGAGGCAGATAGAGGCAGAGGGAGGGAGAAAGGGAGGGAGGGAGAGGGGGAAATAAAGAGGAAAGAGAAAAAAGATCGATATTTAGCAATCAGATCAATTCCAATCAAGCGATATTGCCGCTCGCTTGCCTCGTATATTCATATTTATTTGCGACATTTCATTTATAGGAAGAGTCGCTTCCAGTTAGTATTTTTAGCGGTCAATTTTTCTCCTCTATTCATTTTTCTTGTTTTTCTTTCTCTCTGCCTGTCTCTTTCCCTCTTAAGCTTCTCTTTCTCTATTTTTTCTCTTTACCCCCATGCTCTTGCTCTTTTATACTAATGTCCGACGATCGCAAAAGGCGTCACGTGCTCTATAATGTAAATATATTTACTTATTCGACACGCTTTCTTTTGTGAGACGTGATTAAATTTATAAAATAGAGAAAAAGAGCGGGAGTGCTAGAGCCAAATAGTAGAGAGAGAGAGAGAGAGAGAGAGAGAGAGAGAGACAAAAGAAAAGGACAGAAGAACAATGAGAAAAAATCTGTACGTACGTGTACGAGAAAGAGAAAAAGAGACAGAGATCGGTAGATGATTTCTAGGGTTTATACCAATTGTTTTCTATCATACAAGAGGTGCTTTTTTTCTCCCGCTACCATCTGTTTTAAATACGCATCTGGAGTTGGCTCCGGGCAAGATTGTGTATCTTATCGTCTATCAGTGATTTTTGATAAAATCGACATGTCCAAGTTGTCTTTTGAAGGTGGCGCTGTTGAACACCCCTAATTAACGTCTGCCGCATTGATTTCGCTTCTGGCAAGGTGATATCTCGCGAAATTATAATTGGCAGAAAAGAGCGAAAAAATTATATCTGTCACCCGTATAGAATAATTTTATACAGGCTTAATAATTTATACATGAGCTCTATTCATTTTGAGAATAAATTGTAAAATCTTTCAAAGGATGCAGCCGTGTAAATTTTTCACACTTTATAGCCTTTCAACACTATTCAGCTGTAGTTTTTTCTCCCTTTATCAACTGAATTATTCAAAGCCAAAGGGACTAGTAAAAGAGATACATTTTCTCCCACCTCCGTCGTTTATCGAAACCCCGAAAGATTACGAGATGCTAATGCAAATCGCCTTTGTATGAATATATACATGCTGTGGGGATTAAATATAATTTCGGACACGTGAATTTCATTAGGAGCCGTCAGGACGGTTGGTAGGAGAAATTGATTAAGGTGGCTGCAGGAAAATTGATAGAGTATTTACATCATAAATGTAAACTTTGCAATTGGTAAACGTATGCTTTTTTCCCTTCGTGTAATAAGATACGCGTGCATTTTATAAAAAGGAAATTACTGAACGAAATTTATACAGAAACGCCATCTATCTCCATAAATTTAGATAAATTCAATAAAGCGTTTAATATGTAAAATAAAAGGAGAACGAAGAATGATAATGGAATGAAAATTGACTAGATTTATCCCTTTGTTTGATAGACAGTTACACAAACAGCTAATGAGTTAAAACTCTTTTATTGTACTGGTTTTCCGATGGAAAAATCCAAAGGGAAAGGCACGTGATTTTTCTTTTCAAGTACATAAGAAATATATAAACAGAAATTCGCGTTAAACAGCCAATTTTAGAAGTTTTCCTTTGTAGTTTTATCAAGGTGTCACTTATCGATTTTGACCCTATTTGACCCTCCGACTACACTAAATAATCAGGAAACTCATTTCCTAAAATTTGCTTATTCAAGCTTACACTCTTCAGTTTTCAATGCTTTGTAGAGAATCGATAAGAAATGGGGAGGAAGTTCATTTTTCCACCATATAATGAAGGCATATTTTTTGTGTAACTTTTATATAACAGTTTTTATATTTTTAACGATTTCAATAACAGTCTACGCTTTTTTTTATAACATTCTTTATACAACGAAGAATGAAAATATTATATATATAGATATAGATATATCTTTTGTTTTTCTTTGTTTATATCACATTTATCAACCCAAATGATATTCACTTTGACGATTAGCTTGAGTAGGTTCAAGGGATTCTTCGAATTTACGAACATCTTTTGATGACATTTTTGAACAGACAGTTGCCCAAATGATTCCTATTACTGCCCCACCAAACACGTCTGACCAGTGGTGTTTATGGTCACTTATTCTACTTAAGCCGACGATAAAGGGCCAAAGTAAAAAGGCAATTTGTGCGGCTCTGATTAAGGTATCACGAATAGAGCCAAATTGTGTCCTATATTCCAGATAAATCTGTAAATGAAAAAACTGTAATAAATATACAATAAAAGGCGAAAAAGAGATTATCGTCTAGTTCTCGCTTTTTTTGGACGAATAACGCCACCTACAGCTTGTTTTCGTTGACAAAAGAGCTAAAAACGGGATATGAGAGATAAAGAATAAAAGAGAAATAAAGGAAAAGCGTCAGCCCATACCCTTTCCCCCCCATCATATCCGGTATTATTTACGGTCAACAAACCGAAAATTTCTTCCCTCATCAATTTTCACTTTGCTGTTTTTAACATAGCGTTTTCAACCAGTGTTTTTAGCAGGGGTTAAAAAAAGGTTAATTAATCTGAATTGACAAAAGATCTAATAATTTCGAATTCGCTTTCACCTAAAATAAACGAAAGCTTACACTATACTATGTTTTTCTTATTTGTTCAATAATGCATACTTTGACAATATTTACAGTTATTCTATATTATTCTATGTATTAAATAACTATTTTTTGAAGGGAACGAAGAGTTAGAGAGAGAGGAAAAGAAAGAAAGAAAGAAGGAGAGAGAGAGAGAGACAAAGAAAAGGGGAGAAAAGCTCTCTTTCCACCTCTCTCTATTTAATTATCACTGGTACTGATAGCCTATGTCTGGAAAAATATCAATAAAACTATGTCCTCTATCTAAATAATCTGCTTTTTAGAATCTATAAATTAATATAATGATTTTTTTATAATAATAAAAACTTACTACTAAAAAAAGCATACAGAATGTTGAATATGATGTATGACCAGATGGAAACGATACTCTCCTTTCTTTTTCTTGTTCGTGGCTTGTACAAAATTCTCTTTCAGTTACGTAACGATAACTTTCAGCAGGTTGTGTCAAATTTTCAAAACAATATCTTTGTATTGTTTGACTAGAGGGTTTACAAAGACTCCAATAGTTTGGCCTCAATCTTCCTACCATAACTTTTCCAATTTGTGTGAAGCTCATTGTAACAAATAATCCAAAGAGAAAAGCGGCAATCAACTTTTGGATAATAATAATATAGGATTTCAATCCTATTGAACGGTACTTTACAGCTTCATTTAAACAAATCAAAAGAATAGGTATTATTCCTCCAATTGTTATATAGACTATAAGGAATATGATTGAAGATAAGATATGAGCTATAAGCTGTAAATATGATATAATCTTGACTAGGTAAAAATAAAATTTATAGATTTTTAATGATTTTGTTCTCCAATTCAAATATATAACTTTAAATGATATGATTGAATAAATAGGAATTTTGTCAAGTGTCCTACAACTCAGTTATCTTCAATAACATTCCTGGTGTAGTTATAGTGCTTTTTTTGAATGGCAGTTTAATCGATTCATCGTTACAAAACATTCCTCTTTGGTAGGGATTTATTTTTCCTGCTCGAATAATTATCCAGGGGAGCCAAGCTATAAAAATACAACATAAAGCATATTAATCACGGAAATGATAAGAGGATGGTAATAAATATAGGATATTTTACCTATAATAACGCAAACCACATTTATTATCGAAGACACTAGTAGGCCTCTGTTAGTTATATTTATCCTCTCCATTCCTATTTCCCTCGATTACCTATGATAAAGCCATAAAATTACGATTTTTGATCGGAGGTGACTACCACTAGATCTAACTAGTAACCAGTCTAATTTAGAATACAAACCATTCTTCGAACCGAAACGTTTTTTGGCGCCAAAGTTTCAAAGAGATGCTTTAGTTATACTGTATTATTATAGTGTTATTGTAAAAAAATATGCTAAATAACAACTACTACAATAATATATAATATGCGATTGTTTAGAAAATTTTCAGCTATCCTATTTCTCCCATCCATCCATCCGTTCATTAATCCATATATTCGCTCCCTTATTTTATAAAAGTTTACTACTTGAAACGCTCTGACAATATATAAAAAACAATTAGAATGATAAACAATGATTACATCTTTTTACATTGAACACTCTTTTAGATGAAAAAGGCAAAAACCCATGAACATAGAGTTTTCTATTGATATATTCTTGTCTATTAATCATTTTGTAAATTGGATATAATTTAGATGTTATTTTTGGCGCCAAAATTTAAAATTACAAGATAGAATTTAGAGCACGATTATATTGTAAATATAACTTAGTTAAACAATGAGCTAGATCAATTATGCAAATGCAAACATTCGAACGTAGAAATGTTTGTACAAGTTGACAGTCAGCTAACGGTGAATGAGAAATACTTAAAAAAAGAAAGAAAAAATTGGAATAGGATAAGAAACAGGGAAAAAGACAAGTTAAGCTAGTCTGTCAGTGTAGTTTAAATAGGATTGTTGTACAAGGAAATTGAGTCGTTAATTCATACGTTTAATTAGCATAATCAAGTGCTTTGAAAGAGTTTGCCGTGTGACGTCAGGGGTTGCTCATCTGACACGTGCGGTTATTCGTTGTTTCGTTGCTGTTGGAATAAAACCTCTCACTAATTTGCCATAAGGATTAATGAAAATTGAACTTCCTCCTATTAATGGAAAATGTTTTTATACTACCTTTTTTATATATTTTGTAAAATACTATGGATTACGTGTATGAATATTCAATCAGAGTGTACATGGAGGTATGTAATCAATTAGTTAAAAGACAGATAGATAGATAGACAGATAGGTAACAGCTATACATTTGTATCTCACTAAGTAATCTTTATCTTGTCTTTTTAATATAAAGTTATAGATAAAATTAACAATTTTTGACATTAATTGAAAATAGAGGAAAAAGGGAGATAAATCTTTAAGAATAATGTTTTTCTTATATTTGCTTGCTCTTTAAATAAGTGTTTACATATAAAGAGAGATTTAAGAAAGAGAGAGAGAGAGAGAGAGAGAGAGAGAGAGAGAGAGAGAGAGAGAGAGAGAGGGAAAACCCAATTTTACTGACAAATAGTTTTTAGCTTTTCAATGTATCCTCATTGTAAATTATCGTCTTTATACTTTTCTTCCGACTTAGGATACTTAATTAGTTAGGATAAAAGAGACAAAAACCTTATATAATAGGAATTCTATTTATATAAATAATAAGACTTATATAAAAAGTTAAGAAATTGCAATTTCTGTTTCTATTCTTATAATATATTGCCTGAGTTGACTATACATAATTTAACTTTGATTAAATGGCGGTTTATATAAAAACGGCAAACATTTAAGTATTTATTATTAGGCTTAACAAACATTTGTATAAATCTAGCGCTTTAATCCTCTTCTTTATCCTTTGAAAGACTTGTTAAAATTGAAGTTCTGGTTGAAAGTATTTTTTTTATAACGAAAAATTGTATGGAGAAAGTAACAATTTATTACGTTATTTATAAGTGATAGCCTTCGGGCCTAGGAATAATAAAATCTTTTAAATCTTTCATTAATATTCTTATGAAAAGCTTATAGGTTTTTCCTTCTCAACTTTAGAAAGTCTTTTTAGAAAAATTTCTAACAATTAATCACTTTATTTCTTCTTCTTTTTTTTTAATAGAACATCCATGTCAGCTAATATGCCAGAAATACAAGAAATAACAACCTATTCACACTGCAAAATTGGTTCAATATACTGGAATAATCCAAGAAATACAACGTTAAAATTGACATTTCAAATTCGCCGTGGAAATTATAAAACATGTATCGAATTGAATCCGAACTACCTTCGAAAGATGTTCATAGAATATTCAGATGATAAAGTTCAACGATTTAAAAATCGTATAAAATGTTTTAAAGATGGAGATAACCATCGATCATTGATATATTTTTATCCAAATGCTGTTTTGTCACCTTCAGTTATTCATATAAAATTTCGAAGATATTAAAATAACAGTCTATTTTTGACTTTCTAACTTTTACTTTTTTTTTTAAATATAACCACACAATTCTTATCTTTTTTACCAAAAAGAAGTTTACCTTAAATGAATGAGTAACATGTGAAGAAAAACAAGAAGCTACTTAAGAAAAACCAAGAAAATTGTATTTTATTAAAAAGATAATAGTATTGTTAATAAAACATATGTCAATAAATTTATATTTGGTATCTTTGAAAACGACATCTAGAGGGTAAATCATGAATGAAAAGTATAATAAAAAAAAGAAATATCATAAGAAGTGTAAATAATAATTCTTTGCTGCTTACTTTAATCGACGATATTTCTTTTACTGCTCTAGTAGAATGGGAAATTCGCAAAGAGTACTAGGTTTACCCTTTTTATTGCGAAACCTCTACCGGTTTGAAATGTTATGGTTTTTTTTCTTTTCTTTTTCCAATTGAGTAATAACCGTGTTTACTTTTTGGTTCTTCGATACCTGTTTTATAGATATATACAAATCAATCTTTAATAAATTGTTGATTAACCATCAGCCTAAGTTCTAATTTATTTTAAATTATTTAAAAGATGATAAAGCCATCTAAAATTATATACAATAAAGAACCGTTACCCTCGAATGTTTGAGCAGAAATTATTTATATAAACGGGAAGGTTGAAGATATCGGTTGTCATAGGGAAAATAGTAAATTGACCGAATCGCATAATTTTTTGTCATCAAAGAGAAGTTTCTTGGTGAAAGCAGGGTATTTTTTCGTTAATGTTATAACTGAACTATATTTAGCCGGTTGGATTAGATATTTAACTGCTATCAAAGACGTCACGGAATTTCCACACGAAGAGTATAAATACGGTTAATAATTCAAGTTGATCTCAAAACCAAATTTACTATCAAACAGAGAGGGTTATATAACCGACCATTAACAAACTGTTTTAGACATATTAATTTATCTCAGGTAAGTTATTATAACATATATTCATAGATAAATTATTAAAATGATGTTTTTTATCCTTCAGAATTATGAATATGATTTTTCAATTATTGTCTTTTCTTCTATTTCTTCAACAAGTTCTTCTTGTTCCTATTGGAAATAGTTCAGATTGTCTTGATCCGCCTAATTTAAAAGGAAAACTCATTCAATATCGTCTAGAAAATGAACCCTATCCCACTACACACAGTGAAAGACATTCGGCTAATTTTGGCAATCTCTTGAAGGATATTGGCGAAAATTCTACTTGTCCTGCCTCTCTTAACGAATTAATTGAAACGCTACGAATTAAGAAAGCTTTATACAAATCTTTAGGAAGTAATAATTTCGATACAAAAGTTTCAACCTGCCCAACTTATCCCGCAGTTAGTTTTAATAAGAATCGATATCCAAAGGCAATTAAGCAAGTTATGTGCCGTTGTACATCTTCCGAAGGAAGTGGGTGTCTTAGAAAGAACGGGAGAACCAATTTAAGATTCGAGTGCGTACCTGTAGTTGCAAAAATATTGGTTCTAAATAAGATAGGCTGTAAAGGTCATTACGCTGAATACGTTCCGGAATGGGAAGAACAAAGAATCGGATGTAGCTGTCGTGCCTCCTCACTCTTTGCTTATATAGGAAACAACTAAAGGTAAAAAGTCAAAATGAAGAAATATTGTTTTAATATTTCTAGTCTTGTCATATACAGTATATATTAATATTTATGAATATTTATGATTTATATGTTACTCTCTCGTAAAATGCTATATTTTATTGTTATAATGAATACAACTATAAACAAAATGTGATACAATTTATTAAATTAAATTGATTTTATTGAAAAATTTGAGGAAAGCCAATTTATTCTCATTAAATTAGTTAATTGATAATTCTCTGATTATTATATTCCTGCCTATACAGTTACTTTCTTTCTCATTTTATTTTGTACATATATCATATCTTATAGTATTTAGACCTATATACTCAGTTTCCTGTTTATTGTTATACCTACTTTCATTTTAAATGTAGGTTTTTTATGTGTAAAATATTGTCTAATTAGCAAATTAATGAACGATGGTGAATAATAAAACGTTTATCCTTATAAATAACCTTATTAAATACTTAGGATGAAATGTATCGTTAAGTAACGTTATACTAGAAAATACTTTTATAAAATTTGTAGATGTCGCTACTTTACAGTACAATTACTATTTATAAACGAAATTTCATTTTATAAAGTGCAACAAACTTTTTAAGCCTATACTGGAAATTTAGTGCATCACAACATATATGCTATTTTGCAATACAGACGAATAGATAATTAAAAGTAGATACGAACGGAGATAAGACAAATTTACTTATTATTTGTAAAGCATGATATCATTATATAGAAAATTACTTTATTCTATAATTGTCTTACTGTTCGTAACGAGTTTATCGATTAGTTTACTGATGACGTTTATGCACGAAAAATTATTAAAAACTGGATATATCTCCTCTAAAGCCGAAACATCGTCTGTAGCCGGATTCAAGTTAACAGATAAAATAGAATTAAATAAAATAAACAAGAAATACGAAGAATCTTGTGGAAGATTTTTAAAAGATATACAAATATTGGATAGTTGCCCTTGTCTATCGAATAAATTAGGTAAGTGAAAACAGAGATATCTTGGAGTTAAACTGTAGCATTGTAAATAGAAAGATAATCAATTAGTAACATATGCTATTAAAGTTAGATATCTCATCAATTAAATAAACAATAATAGTCGTTTCACTACATAGTATTGCTGTTATGTTTGTAGTTGGCAGAAGAAAAGCGCTTGTTGTTCCCAGAAACTGGTCAGATATAGAGATCGCATTTAAAGGAACTCTCCAAACAAATGGCGAATTTAGGCCCCATTGCAACAAATGGCAGACTATCGCTATAATAATACCTTTTATGAAAAGAGAAATGCATTTACGATTGTTCATCGATCATATTCATCCGATATTACAAGCCCAACAAATACATTATAGAATATTTGTTATTGAACAAAATCAACCAAATATATTCAACAAAGGTACATTGATGAATAGTGGATATTTAGAAGCTAAGAAACATTTTCAATTTGATTGTGTGATCTTTCATGACGTTGATATGTTATCTGAAGATGACAGGAATATTTATAATTGTATAGATTCTCCTAGGCATATTGGAAGTCACGTAGATATTTTTCAATATAGATTGTTTTATGATAAATTGGTGGGTGGCGCTTTGGCCTTTGAGATAAAAGAATTTGAGAATATTAATGGGTATTCTACAAAATTTTTCGGTTGGGGAGGAGAAGATGATGATATGTACAATAGGTAAAGAGAATATACTTTTCACAACACTCTAAAGTTCTAATAAAACATTCCTTGATAAGGCTCTTTTACAAAGGACTCAAAATAACCAGATACGATGAACAGTTTTCAAAATTTCGTATGATTCAACATAATAGGGATGCTCAAAATCCTAATAATATTTATAAGTAAGTAATAGTGCAGAGATAAATAACTGTTAAAGGAAATTTTCCATTCTCTCTATTTTCTTCCTCAATCCCGCCAATTGCTCTGCTTATAGGTTTAATTCATTTTATCCGAATCCGTCCCATTACAACACCGACGGATTGTCATCAACGTATTACAAAGTTGTTTCCGTTAAAGAGGGTCCTCTATTTACAAGTATTAAATTAAACTTAGGTAGTAGTATAAATACAAACACGTGACCATTAATTATTAAGTTTATGCAATCGTTTTTGTATACAAAACAGAAGTTGCTCAAAATACCGAATATACAAACGAAGAATTCGAAATATCAAGGAAGCCAATTGAAAGAAATACAAGTGTTGAGAATGAAGAACAATGCGCTGTTGATTGCTACAGAAAGCCGATTTGTTATGGTTATAATTTTATGGGCAAAAAATGTTATTTATGGAGTAATCATATTCTCAATTCAACTAAAACTCAGTTTAAGACTTTAAAACGGAAGATAGCGAATGGTATAGCAATTTCGTAAAATATGTATAACATTCTCCTATTTGATTTTTATTTGTTTCTTAGAACAACTGCTATTAGTGGACTATCAAAGATTTGACGGTTTATGCAAAGGAGAGTCATCTATTTATCGGCAGATGTCGCCAACAGAGTGCTCTAGGACTTGTAAAAATGACGCTACCTGTCGGCTATTTTCTTACAACTATAACGAGGACGCAGTAGAACCTTGTTTAAAGATTGATAATTCAAATTGTTCGAAGTCTAATTTGCATAAGTTAGATAATATATTCACCTACTTTAAAAAGAATTTAAGTTAATATTTTATTGATTTTTGCTCAAACTACATCAATTAGTGTTGTTCTTTTATTATTATCTTTAGATAAAGTTAGATTTAATGACGTGAACTTTTCGATAAAAAATGGTGATTGTTTTCAAGAGGATATAGCTTCCATCAGAGATTTTCCAGCAGATGAATGTTCAGGTGAAAAGAAAAAAAACAGCAGACCTCTAAAAATATGAATATTATATGTCATACTGTTTTCAAGCTATATTTAAATAAAGTATACACGTTTCTTTTTTTTTTCTTTCCAGTAAAATGTAAAGAAACTAAAGAATGTGAAGGATACGTTATATCCTATCAGAGTTGTTATCTAAAGAAGAAAATCCGAGAATGTGTACCAAAATCCTCTACATTCTCTTATGTAATGAAAAACTCGACACTCGAAGAAATAGATATGAATAAAATATTATCTCAAGGGGATTAAAACAAGAAGTATTGTAGATATTGTTGAAGAAAACGGCAAGAAGAGAAGATTGAGAGAAAGAAAGAAAGAAAAAAGGAAAAAAGAAATTTTTATCCCTTGTATAGAAATAAAAAAACGAAAAGAGACTGTATCAAATGAACGAGTTATTCGTTGTTATTAAATTTATTTCTTATTATTATCATTATGACAAAGCTTTGCTTTGGTTAGCTTTAACCTTATTAATTAATTAAGTATATAAATAGTTAGCAATTAGTCATCTTTCCATGTTAAAAATAGCTTATATAAACATTTGAAGTAAAACATTTCGATTATTCTAAACCTTTCGGGAATTTTAGTAAGGTTCATTTAACTTGAAATTCTCTACAGTATCCTTTTCTTGTTGACTCTGCAGCTTTTCTAGTAATAACTAATTAATTAGCAATAATTCTAAGCAGTTGGATGTTTTTGTAGAATGATTATAATAATCATCCTTATTACAATTATGTATAAATTGTTAATATGATATATCATGTTGTAAGATAAATATTATCTTTCCTCTCATTTTGTGTATACTATTTAACAGTATGCACGTTATATTCAAGTGTATATTTAATTTTGACGTATTTGCTTTATACACTATCTGAACAGCTAAGAAGTCATTATGGATTAAAAAGTTTGATAGAGTATCATCTACTTAAATTTGATGTATTGCATAAAATATCTTTATAAAAAAGTATGTCAAATATTTAAAAAGCAGTTAAAAATAGAATAAAATCGTTGGGGGAGTTTTCTTTTCAGTCCCCTGTTGCTTTTACTAATAGCATAAAGTATAAATAAGTTTTAGAGTATATGCTTAAATTTCTTCGAAAACTGCATTCATCATGAATATTTAATGTGGAAATGATTTTAACAAGGTGAAGTATCATGTGAAGGAAGCTAAATAAAGAAGTTGAAACATTCTTTTTAACTGATAATTGAGACAAAGAGAGAAGCTAGGATGGAGGGAAGAAGGAGTAGAGGATAGGGAAAGACAAGAATAATAATAAATTAAAATAGAATATAGAATTATTGCCTCATTTTCAGTAATCATTAGTATTATAACTATTTATTAGTAGAATTCATTTAACGTATATTTCTTAGAGTCCAACTAAACAAACCTATTTAGTCTATAATTTTACTAAAAGGGTTTCTTGAAAAGCTAAATGTCGTAAGATAACATATTTTTATCATTCATGTCCAAAATATTCCTTAATTATACTATGTAGAGAAATAATTCTTTTTAAGTATCTCTTAGGCTCGAGAATCTGATTGCAATTGCTGTACATAATTATAAATTATATCTCCGGAAATCTGTATGCAATCAAATAAAGGTATTTATTAAGTAAATTAGCTAAACGTTGCTATTTTGGTAAATATCATGCTTACTCTAATATTATTTCTACAGCAAATTGCTGAGCAGCAGAAAGACGAGGATATAATCCCCAAAATACCTTCTATTATAGCTGAGAGTAACATAATTGAATACATAGCCATGACGATGTCCTTCAAGGAAAAAAAGGGGAGATAAAATGGAGTAACCACATATTAATCGGAAACATGTTTACAATTATTCATATACATACGTAATTTTCATTTTTTGAAAAATAATCATAAGTACGCGTTGAGTTGGTGATATGTCTTGTCTCTCTGTCCATGCTGTCAGGTCCAACGACTGACAAACCAATTATACCCATTGATACTACAACGGTTGAAAAAGCAGCGGAGATAATAGACATAATTAAATAGGCAATCACCTAAACAATACAAAAAGAATTTTATCTGATTGATTTCATTTCTAAATGATTCTCGAGCTATCTTACTAAGGTTTTTTGCTTATTTCTAGAAGATAGTAAGCCAATAAAGGCACATGTCATGAATATTATTCCGCACCAATAGGCCGAACCAACAAAAGCTGGAAAGCCCCACATCTCGTAATTATTGTCATCCGTAGGACTTCGATTATTTAAAACGGCTATTATAACTGTGTTTGCAAATATTGCTAATAAAGCGAAACTTAATTGAAGTAGTCCAACAAGTTTGGAAGCTGATGAATTATAATGAGTTATCACTGAATTATCGATCTGATTTGGTGGAAGGATGATTCTCTAAAAAGATTATTAAACGTTTATAATGTATTGAATATATTTAGTTTTTAATTATTTATTGCATAATCGAGAATGACTTACATTCGATTGATTCGGAGATCGATATTGAATATTTTGATAATCCATTGCGCTACTTTAATAATTTTATTCTCCTTTTCGATTAGCTTTAAACATTTTCCTAAATGATTTTACCAAGAGTTTCTTTTTTTTTGTAAGCGTATGGTTTCTATGCAAATAAAAATCAATAGAACTTTCAATGTTCATCCATACGTTACCAATTAATAAAAGGCCTATTAATAATTATTCAATTGTTAAAGTATTTTATTGTTGTTATCATTTTTTGTATATAATATACCCAATGCAAAGTATATACTCCAGGTGCTGTATATATATATATACAACATACATATACATATAGCAGATCTAAGCAAGGAGAAAGGGAACTGAAAGGCAGGATAGAAGAGAAAAAGAAAGAAAGAGAGAGAGAGAGAGAGAGAGAGAGAGAAAGCGAGGGACCGAGAGTGTAAAAAAATCACCAAAATAGATTAATTTAAATCTATTCATAGTTTAAAAAATAGAAACTAGGTTTCTACAATACAAGTAAAACATCTGTTACTTTTTATTATATTTTAGATAACATATTGTTTTAAAAATAGATTAATAAAAAAATGCTCTATTGAAACTGAAAATGCGATTTATAGTCTAAAAAGGAACAAAACCTTTAACATCTTGAATAGATAATTTATAGTGTAAAATCCGAAGAATATTTATATCGTAATTAGTCTAATATTAAAAAAGGATAGGAAATACCGGTATTCGTATATAATTTGGCAAGATGAAATATCGACAGTATTCCCTTGTTACAACCTCCAATTAGCATTTAATGAAGGAGGAACCAAAGGCGGAGATGCTTCTAAAAACAGTTTATAAATAGCTACCCAAAATTTTAACTGGCTGGTTTCAATATTCTCCGATATATAATTTATACAGACTTTCATGATTACAATAGACTAATATCCTAAAAACTAGTAAGATAAGGAGAGAGAAGGGAGGTGTTAAACAGCATTAAAATAAATGACATTGTCTATAAATCATGACTTTTCGTTTTGTTAATAAACTGCATAATTTTGAAAAATGGAGCTTATTTTTTCATTTAATTTCTGAGAGAAGGCAAACGAAAGAAATTTTTTACTATGTATTTATATTTTATGTTTCTTATTTTGTCTTTCTCTATCTGTCTGTCCTTTTCTCAGATGACCTTCTCTGTCTCTGTCTTGTTACTCTCCCTCTCTTCTACTACAAAACAATGCACACACACTCCCTCCTTCCCCCTCTCTCTTTCTCTCTCTCTCTCTTTCTTTTCTATACATTTTATTTCGTTGCAAATAATAAAAGTAAATGGACATGCTGTTTTCTAAAACTTTTCCTTCTTTTGGAAAGTCACTTTTACCCAAGTTTTTTTTCTAAATATCAACCTTTAGATGTAATAAGCGGTTTAACTTCAAAAAGAGTGACTATAAATCCCTGTAGATCTTGAAAACGTTTCGGTTCTAATACTTTAGAGTGTTGATTGCCATCGCTTTACAGCCATAGCATAAAAAAAGAAATACTAGATCTCTTTTTATTCTTCTAGACTATTCAATGCTTATGAATAATATTATAATGTATTAGATATCAGCGTAGTTCATATAGAGTTTTTTTCATAAGTAAATTTTTAATGATTACTTATAATATCCTCCCCATAAAATATAATAACTCCTTTTATATTTTCTAAATGGCAGTAGGTTGTTTAAACGATACTTTATAATATTATATTGTCATGGCTACAAAAAGATAAAACATTATAATTATATTCCCAAGTTTATCTTCAACCGTTAAAAATACTTAAGTAGCTAGAGCACGCTGATATACAGTATATATAACGTATATTTTATTACGTATTACTTAATATATTATAAAAAAATGAATTGGATTTTACAAGTGTTACATTAGTAGAGTATTTAGAAAAACTAATACATTTTGATAGAGAATACTGTATATCGTACTGTATCTATTAGTGAAAAAAAGATCTTCATTATCTACAAATAGAGAATATTAATATTAAAAAGAAACTTTTTTTCTGTTAAGCACTTTTCACTTAGTCTATAATTTTCATGTAGATTGATAATTGTATAAAAGACATTGAAGTATTGAGTATAAGAAATAGATGGGTATTACGTAAAAATTACTTTGCTACTTGTGGAAAAAGGATACATGATGGATAAAAGACAATTTGAAGCGTTAGTGAGAATTGTTGCAAACATTTAATCAATTCAAAGGGCCTTTTATATAGTAATACCAATTATAATTTCCGTTGTATAATTAGGTTTATTTTCAATTTCAAAAATAAAGGCACGAAGTATTGCTTTTCTTACGACAACATTTTATTCATTAATTTTTATAATATGGTTATTGACATACAAGAAAGAGAGAAAGAGAGAGAGAGATAACGTCTGAACTATATAGTTTCAATATAAGTTATACTGCTAATGGGTTTCAAACTATGAAAAGTTATTAGCAACTTTATTTATACCTCAAAAAAAGTAACCTAAAGAGTTGGATAAGAATCGTATTATCTATATTACGTCTTCCTTTCTGAAAATAAAACTTTAGTATAAAATAGAGTAGGAGCTGTATGTTGTTTTGCAAGAATAAAAACATGATTACAAGAATTGATGGAGTTTCATATAAGTCAAATGAAATATAATCCTTCAGTAAGCAAAAAAAAGGAAAAATAGAAAAAAAAACTCTATCATAATTTCTTTGGGGAATTTATATAAACTTTTTTATAACTTACATATTTTGATCTTTTTTTTGTTGTAATTAGGAAAGTCATGTTTAAAGTAATTCAATGTCATATAATACATTAAATGAATATACGGAATATTGAAAGAAGAGAAGGATACTTTCAATATATATACAGTATATGTCTATATAAAAGAAAAACACTGAGATAATCGATTTAGATACTTTCGGAAATTCTCTTCCTTATTCTATTTTCATACAGTTAGGAAGATGTTTAAAATTACTTTTCATGCTTTATGTTTTACTGTATAAGAATATTAAAAAAATTGAATGAGTGTATCTAAGATATCTATGTTTAAATAAAGGTTGTCAGCTTGGATAAAGTCATCCGAATTAAATTTCAAACATTACAAAGATGTTCATCTGTATTACGACGTAATATTTATGCATTAAAAAAATATTACATTGAATATGTAATCATAATATAAAAAAAGGAGAAATGAACTAAATGATTTTTTTATAATGCTTATTTGTCTTAATATTTTTCCTGCAAGGGAAAGCAACTTGATAATTGTTATTGAGCTTTTTACATATTTTTTTATAGATTTTTTTCCCTCCCTCGTTTATTTCTCCTATTAATATCTGTGATACGCTTATTCTTTTCTTTCCTTTCTTTCCTTTCTTTCCTCTAATGTTTTTATTGTATTTTCGCTATTTTTCATAGAAAATATTTTAAGGTGAAAAACAAAAAAAACGGTTGAAAGCTTTGGTTTTACTTTAAAAATTATATTACTATGTTTTTCTGTTATTCTATTTCTTCCAATTTTCTTTAAAACTTCTAATGAGATTTCTTTTGGTTTCTTGTCCTTTAAATGGCATACTTCTCTTGTCTTTATTTACGTACTTGATTATTGTAATTAGATAATTATTTCCTTTAACATTTTTACCCTCAACCTTAGAGAATTATTTTATAAAAAGTACACTTCATTCATTTCCGGTTAGCTATTCTTCTCTTTGTTTTTCTTTCAGAAATGTGTCATAAGGTTGGATTTATATTTCATCTTTGCATCACTTGGACTATCCAATTGTTCCCTCAACATCGACCCTTTAGATATAGTTTGGTAAAATAACAATTAATTTCTCCCACACGTTTTCATAGCTCCTATAAAATTAGTATAAGACAAACATCGTGAAATAGGCCTGAGTATCGTATTTATTAATATATTTTTGTGTACTATACTATATAAAAACAATATGTAAATAATATACAGAATACTAGGTTAACATACATATTAAAACTTTTACGAAAGAGAGAATTCTAATTAAATTCTTTGATTAAAGAAACTTAATTTAAAAGTAAAAAAGAAAAAAAAAACACTTTAATTGAGTAGGACGAGGGTGATTTTATTCTTGGATTTAAAAGGAAAAACGTGACTATTACGTTGGAGAATACTAAGATACAACTCTTAAAAGTAATGAACTTCCGGTCATTCAAACTGACAATCTATAAAATAAATCACTATTGTAACATTAACAACATTAAGAATAATATTTATTTTAAGAAAAAAAAAATATTCTAAGAAAGGTTGAATCAATGTTAAAGTAGGATTATCTGCATTATCTACGTCGTTTGTCGTTTCCTTTCCATGGTAAGTATTATACTTAATTGACTGAGATATATGATATGATAAATATTTCATCATAGAAAGACATCAACCCGATAAAGAATTCTGCTTTAATATCTTTTATTACAAGTGGATTTGTATATAACCTATAATATTTATATTAACCAAGTTATATATATACATTTGTATATGAATATAAAACGTATACAGCATATACAGTATATATTAGCTTGTATTTATCATTCTATAATAATTCGGAGAAGGATGAAAAAATACATTTATCCTTGATAATTTATGTTTTCAACTTATTATAACTATTAAATTTATGAATGTCTTTAGGTATTGTCATCAATATCGTATTTGTAAACCAATCTATAAAACTTAAATAGAAAGATAAATGATGATGCCTCCAATTAGGAATATGACGCCTTATGTAGTGGGAATGTTTACCATATGAGTATACTTTTCATTTCAGTGCTGTGAGCTCTACCACCCTTTGCCTTTACTTATATTACCATATTTCCCCTCCACTTCACAATAAATAAATAATTTTACGAACTTTATTAATGAAGTATAGTTGACTTTTAGTTTTCTTTTAAGGAGCATCCGTTCTATATTAGCGAAATGTCATAAGGTGTGAAAAGAAAAGAGATTGTTGTCGGAATTGTTATAGACTAGTTAGTATTATTTTTAGATTTAATATGTTTATTAGTATTACATTACACATGAATAATTGTATATCAATAAATATTTTTATTTTTTTCGCAAACTATTAAGATAAACTAGATAAAAAGAGATAAAACTGTTGCCAGCTATTGATTTTTTTTATTTCGTTATTGTTTGTCTCCTTTTGTTTCATCTAAAAGTATTGTAATACATATATATATATATACAGTATATAGATATCTATATGCATATTTAAAAAGAATAAAGCACTATTACCAATTACTTTTTCATGACTATTTTAAATAATTTTCATCAGATGTGTTATGTAATTACAAAATAATAATTTTTTCAATTTTTTATTTTTTTTTAAAAAGAAAAATATTACTTATATTTCTTCCATTCATAAATGAATAATATAGTTACGGTATGGTATATTTTCTCATTTTTCTCTATTTCCTTCAATTCCGTTTCTCTAACTTTCGAATAAATGATTAAAACCCGAGAGATTAAACTAAAATGAAGAAATTTTTAATAAATGATATTTATGCGTAAGAGAAAATACATTTATTAAGCCTTATTTTTACTAGCAGTTTATGCATGAGGTGAGAGATGACTAGAATATTAGTTGAGTCATTATTGCATATCATTCATATTAATTAGGAATGGAAAAGAGAGATTGACCGAATTAGGAAACAGTCTCACAGATATTTATCACATTTCCCAATAGTTATTTTATTACAGTAAAAAAAAAGCTGCATGTAGGACATAATCTTAGTAGATGGAAGAGGAGTGGAGTGGAGATATAGAGGGACCGATTTAGACAGTTACACAAACATACATGTATAATAAGGGGGGATAGGAGAAAGAGAGAGATAAACATCTATATGTCTATATATATATATACTCAGATAGAGAGAGAGAGAGAGAAAGCGATAGATGGATAGATATAGAGATAGATAGAAAAACAGTAAGAAAAGGAGAGAAGGAAGGGAAAAAAGTTTGTTTTCATTTTTTTCTTGCATGCTTTTTTTTCTTTAGCATATTATTTTAATGATTTTGTCCATCAGCAGAACTAAGAGAACACTAGAGTAGGTTGGATAGAAAACATTAAATATCATTAAATAGATGTATAAAACACTGCAACTATAACGATAATAATAGTAACAGTATATAGAAATTGTTTGCTTTCAAGTTTTGGTATATTTAGATATAAATTTTGAAAAAAATTACATAAGTAATTTTATTATTATAGATAATAATTGTAGAAACTGGTAGTATATAAAGACTTAAAGAAAGAAAAGTAAGGTGTATATTGTAAAAAAGACGTCAAATAAAAATCGTGACTACTAGCGACTTAAATATATAAATTTTCCAGTAGCCAACGCCACTCGGCAGCTTCTCGTTATGTTAGATAAGCTAACGAATTCCTGTTTTACCCATACTCTTACTGACAATAAAAACTATAGTTCTGTTCCGGATTCGGAAGGATACTTAACAAGTGGATTTAATTCGGTTGAGAATTATGAAATTACAAAGCATATACTTAAGATCTATGTTACACCAGTTATATGCTTCGTAGGAATAATTGGTAATGTATTAAACCTGTTAGTGTTAACAAGGAGGCGGATGCAGACAGGCATTGACTCGATGAAGAAATCCGCTCATTTGGGATTAATTGCCCTAGCTGTTGCAGATCTTCTCTATTGTACATTCTTAATAATCCTTACCTTTACGGATTCTAATCTAGTAATATATGGTTCTTTTTCAATATTTCTGTTTTCTAAAATGTTTGGAATGGCAATTAAGAATATTTTGAGCATGTTTTCAACTTACATAACTGTCATGATTGCTGTTGGAAGGTATGCGGCAATTTGCTACCCTTTACACGCTAAGCAGTTTGTCAATGTAACTGCAACTAGAATGTTTATTTTGGCCTGTTTCTTATTATCAGTCATAATTTTTACACCGAATTTTTGGCTTTTCCGATTACACACCTACTCTTGTTATGGGGAACATGGAATAGAATATAGATATTCTTTGGATACAGGTTTCTTATCAGAGAGGCCAGTAGCTAAGAAATCAATTGATTCAATTCAATTAATAATCAATTTCATAATTCCTTTTATCATTCTCTCATTCTGTAACTTTAAGTTAATAATGGCTCTAAAAGCGTCATGGAAATTTCGACAGGCTCAAAGCGTTCCCGTTAGTCAGAATCAATCGAAGCCAATTACACCTACACTTATTGCAACTATATTCTTATTTTTATTATTATCGTCACCCTCTGAGTTCATAAATTTATATTCTAATGTTGCAGCAAAAGATAAAACTGAACTTGTATTAGTTATATTAGAATTTGCTAATGTGTTGCAAACATGTAACTTTGCCGTCAATTTTATTTTGTACTGTGTAGTTAACGTTCATTTTAGAGCTACGTTGGCTGATAGTTTAAGAAGAAAGCGTGGTTATAATGAGATAGAGGGACAAAGATTACAAAATATGACAACAACAACAAACGTTAATATGTCAACCAAAGCGGTGCCATGTGCATAGTTCAAAGAAAACTGTTTAGTCTTATCTTGCTATAGTTGTGTATATACAGTCTATATATATATATATATATATATATATATATATATATAAACTATGTAATGTACTATCTTTTATAAAGCTATAAAAGAGACCTTTGAAATTAAATGGGATTGTATATTTCACTGGTATAATGATATTTGTTGTGTCAGAATCAAACAGAAAATTAGTGACAACATGCAATCATACTTATGTTTTCATACCCTTTGTTTCTATACAAAAAGTGTAAAGGCATTTCAATTTTAAATAAATCCTCAGCAATTGTATGTAAATATATTAGTGTTATACTGTATATACAGCATATATTTATATTGTAAAGAAAAACAGAAAAAAGGATCGGTGTATAGTAAATTTCAAAACGAAAAAAGAATAACATTTTTAGCATTCATAGGCTAAATATGATTTGTATTATTCGATTTGGCTGATTTGCTTGATTTATTTAGGAAAAAAGTGACACTTATAGACGAGGTATTTACAATTCCTATCTTTAAGACAGCTGTATATATATATACTCTATATATATATCTTTATGATATCATTTGGTATATTTACTCCTTTTCACCATGTATCAATCTGATGTTTGTATTTGTAAACAATCTCTTTTGGTATCACTTTCTTTTTAATATGTAAGATATTAAAAGCTGATGAATTACTTTCTGTCTGAAATTTATTCTTATTATATAATCTCCGTCCTATATTTACTGTTGAAATGATACAATATATTACCATTTGAAATGAATGATTTTCAATAACTTATAATTTAAATCACGTTCTCCTCCTCCTCTCAATATCTCTAAAAGGGCAATCGTTAAAGACTTGTATGCAATAATTTATTTATTGATATTACTTCCAAGCGAAATAGCAATGTTTACGCCTATATGTATATATCATTTTCTATCAAAAAGTTCCCTACCCCTTCAGTACTCTTTATTTTGGAGACGGAACAAGCTTTTTCGCTTTGTCATATTTTATATTGCGAATTAAATGCCCTAATTTAAGACTGATGACTGGTTGAAGTCGCATAATACCATGACAAGGGGGAATACATACAATACCTACTTCCTTCGCTTTAGGCATTATTTCTATCTCTTTTTCCTATCTCTTTAAAATAGTGTCTTAATACTTCGTTTTTTTTTCAGAACTGTTTTAAACTCTGACAAGAGATGTTTTAGAAATAGTTGTAGAATAAAAGTTTTATGTTAAAAGTGCTTTCTAATCATTTTTTTTCATAATTAATCCTGTCTCTCTTTTACCCCTTGTTCTCCATATTTATTATTAATAATTCATTAATTAACCTTTCATTTAACAGATTTAAAAATAGGGTCTTTTACATCATTCTTTTAAGAGGGAGAAAGAGAATGAGAAAGTGAGAGAGAGAAAGCTATAAAAAGAAGCCTACACATAGAGAGATAGGGAAATGGTGAGAAAAATGTCTGTAATAAATTATTAAACATTCGCAAAGAAACAGAAACGCCAAAAGTAAAACAAGACTACTGACCTAAAAGAAAAAGTATATCAAAAAGAATTATTATGTACACTGCTTCTCCCCTTTCACATCTTTACTGAAGATAACAATAACTCGGTATTATTCATTTTGAAAATATTAAAAAGAGTAAATTAATTTCTTGATAAAGCCTTTTAACCTATTTATATTATTAAATAATAGACAGATTATATTTTAAGATTGTATTTAAATAGACGTATTTGGCTTTGATTAAAGATCATTCTTTTAGCTTAATTAATATATATCTAAATCAAAGTTACAAAATTGTGGATAAAGTGTAAGAGTATATATATATCAAAGAAGCTTAGTTACATTTATAGTGTAAATGAATGGCTAAAACATATAAATATTTATGTATTTAAAGTATTTTTAATGGCGGAAAAATGATGCAGATTCTAGAGAATCTATTAGAAATATGGTATACAATAACTTGTTTTTTTCTCTCAAAGGCAGTGGGTGTGTATGGCGGGGCGGAGGTGCTAGAGGAAGGCTGAACAAAGCATATATACTACACATTTCTTTTTGTTGTATAAATTTGATGACAATAGTAATGTAATGTTATTGTCTATTTACTGTTTTTCATGTTTGTCATGATATACTATAGATAAATATAGAAATATATATTGTTTTTTAATAATATGTTCTATAAAAAGGAAAAATAAAACTGTAAAAAACTAATTAAAATGATATGAATGTTTCAGGAATATATATTGTATCGGAGGTGGAAATGTCACTATTTCTTATCATTTTTCTCATCAAATGTTTTAGATGTGTTTGTTTGTTTGTTTGTTTGTTTTTTGTTCTATAAAAAAATAAAAATTAGTTTAAATTATATAAAAATAAATTAAATAAATATATAAAAATTGTTTGCTAGTTTATTCGATGCACAGAATAAATTGAAAGGTGTATTTCACTTTTCTAACTAATATAAAGTGATCTAAAACTATAAAATATTAGATTAATGCTTCTTTTTTTTTTTAAAAAAAAAAGACATTATTCCTTTTATATTATTTATTTGACATATATATTACTTCGAATATCTTCTTTCCATATTGATATCCATGCAGACTTTCTGAACGCCATGTATTCTGACGCACCAATGGGTTTCCCCGCAGCATTCAGAGTCCTCATTACAGTGGTAGGTGGCGCAAGCAGGCTTTCTGGAAGTTTAGAAAATTCGACATAGTGGATATGGATGAATGGTATTTTCATGGTTAGAAGCAAAAAGACATTGCAATATTTAGCTTAGGAGAAATAATAGAAAAGAAGGGAGAGGGATGGGGATGGAGGGGGTGGGCTGGAAGTAGGAGTAGAATTGTAAATGAGATAAATATAATAATTATATTCCATATAACAGAAAAAAGATAGTTGATTGTTTCTTACCTCACTCTTTGACTATTTATTAACGTCAGAAGTTGGTATAATGCATATGACATTTGGGGTCTTTCACCCCGAGACGGCGACCGAACTTCTGCTAAAAATAAATAGAATTCCTCTTACTTCATTTTTCTTTTCGTTCCTATTTTACTCTCTAAGTACTTAGTAAAATATTCATATCAATCAAAGCGCTTTAATTAATAGCTATAATGAAAAGTCAAAAGTCATGCATAATATGTTGTTGAATCTATTTAAAAAATAGCCAATAGATGGCGTAATCGGACAAGAAGTTTTTTTCCAAAACTTGCAATAGATGTCGTTTAGATATCATTGAATACCATTTCTCATTTCTATTTCTTATCGTGGTCAAAAAATTTTACTTTTGGCATAGCACGACAATAGTCCAATTAGTTCTATAAAACTCTAATTAAATAGGAAGACTCACGCCGTGAAAGAATCCGAAAACATGCCGATGTTGTAAAAAGGGCGAAGAGTAGACATTGGAATGCAAACAAGTGACGCTTCTCCATTCATTCGCTTTTTTCGACGCAATGACGATTCAGCCTAAAAATAGATAGAGAAAGGGGCGTAAGTCAGGCGAGAACAAATTCAATTCGCTCCTAAACGCCCTGAATAACAGCGCCCATACCTATTTGCCTATTTAGCCTCTGGCATTTTTAATTATGAGATGATTGCTGTTTTTTTTCACAAATTAGATTCTTTTATTCCAAGCTTTATATTAGTTAAATAACAAAAGATTGTCAACTTTTATAGCTCGATCCTCGTACCCTTTTGTATTAGAGAATAATACCCAATTCAGACTGAGAGCCTTATATAAACACGTATTGCTGTATTTAATTAAAGAAGTGATGGTAGGAGAGGTCGTCTTATATACACATATAAGAGAAGAAAAAGAAAGAGAAGAGCAGGAAAAGTGGAAAAGTCTGCCTAGTTGAATATTTGAAGAAAACGTGACATTTTCTACATATTTTCTATTAATTTACAAAGCTCTTAAAAGTATTTTCTAAGGATTGACTATTTGAATAGTAATAATCATAATTATTATTATATAAGTTATAAATTATACACATCTCTTTTTCAACTTTTACTTAAAAAAATACTTACTTTTTTCTTTTAAAAGTAACTTTTTGTCTTTTTTTTTCTTTTTACTTTTTCAGATTTTCTCTTCAATACTTTGCATTGAGATAAACAGACTAAATACGAGATTTAAAGCCGGGATAACAGAGATAGATATTCTTCCAGTTAAGTCTATAAGAATAGGTGTTAAATATAATCTTTTTCAATCTCATCACTTAATATTTATATTTGTTTTATAAACATTATAAAAGGTTTAGCAACTGCTCAAATGTCAGTTTTTCCATTTTTATAAATTGATTATGGCATGGTAAAATATACTACTAGTCAGTTTAATTTCATACAATCGCTTCCCCTTTTTCTCTTAATGCTTTTTATTTCTCCTAATTATAATCTATTTTCTTCAAAAGTGTCAAATGAGTACTTTCTATACTTTCCACTCGATACGATCACACAAGCTTTATATATATATATAAAGTATATGAAATTCTCTTTGTTTAAAATGAGACTATTTAATTCAAAGCCACAACTAGTTGTTTACAGTTAAAAAAAGATACAAAATCATCAATATATCAGAAGATAGGGTTGATAATTAATGGAAAGAAAGAGAGGAAGAGAGAGAGATTATTTCATAATAATAGTAATTAAAACAATGTTTCATTTTATCGCGTAGAAAGTTATGGATTAGTATAAAAAAATAACAAACGTGAAACATATCACTATTTCGTCTACGTACAGGGAATTTGAAAGATAGAGAGACGGATAGAGAGAGCAGAGGGAGAAGGCTGAAAGAGAGTGGAAAAGAGAGAGAGAGAGAGAGTAAAAAAAGTTTCCATTTTAGCATCAATGATGCTCAATCTCCATAAATTGACTATTTAAATGTAAAAATTTGCAATTTTATAGTAAATCTCTTCAAAAGTATTTAAACTAATTGAATATTCTCTTTTTTACTTTTAAGAAGGTATAAATAAATAGGTTTTGCTTTATAAATAAAGATTTATTAACTGCTTATACTTTGATTGGAACGACATGGGTAAAATTTTTAATTTAGCAACTACAGAGTTTTAATTAATTACATAACTATATATATATATATAATCTGTATATATATAAAGACAGCTTTTGCGAAAATACTCATTAGATAATATAGCAAAATGTATAAAATCAAGATCGTTACTTTATATAAATCTATTAATGGATATTTTTAGCAACTTGTTGGCCTCTTTTTATAACTTTTATAATAGAAATGGGGGAAAAAAACATTTAAGTTATAAAGTAGAATAATTGAGGTGGAAAACTTACATTCAAAGAATTAAAAGCTACTTCTGTTGATAAAAATCCATAAAAGTCTCTAAAAGATTACCATACATCTATCAATTTCTACTTTATATATACTTTGTTTGAGTTTACTTGACAAAGTTTTAAAAATATAGAAATATATGTAGTTATCGTTATAAATATACATAAATAAGGGTGAATAGATTATAAATGAGAGAGTAAAGACTTATTGACATACACAATTACGTAAATAGTCACTATATCCGCTGCTTACTGAAATTGCGGGTTTCTTTTTTGCTGGTGCAGCAATACTACAGTGATATAATCTATTTAAATTGGAAAGGAAAATGATACGGTTCAGCCTCTAATGACGTACCCATCATCATATATAAAAACAAACTTCTATGAAATAGAAGGAATGTGGTATTTGGATAATTTATTCTCTTTTCAACGTCTTACTCTCTCCGTCCCTTTTCTATTTGAAAGACATACTACCCCACGGGTCTAATACGTTAATCGACCAATCCAAACCTTCTCTATAACATGCCTAAAACCTCTAATTTTTTTTCTCTCTCTCTTTCTATCCTCCCATTTCCTCTTTTCTCCCCATCTCTCTTTCCCTTTACCCGTCACTCTCTCTCTCTCTCTCTAACTTTGTCTGTGTTGTCTTCCTGTTTTCTCTCTTTCTCTCTCTCTAATTTACTTATTGTCCTTTATTTCACTGTCTCCTCCACTCGTTTATCAATCGTCTATCTTATTTTATATGTCTGCTTTGTGTCCAAATATATTAACTATTTCCTTCTTATCATGTATACTACAGAAATTAAAGTTCCTAATCTTGTGTTTTTCAGTTCCTTCCTTATAGTGAAGGAGATAGTAAAGATAGGAATAAAAGGAAGAATATGACAGAAATTAACTAGCAAGTTTAATTATTCCATAGTTATTTACATGTAATGAAATTGTAAATGTAAGCTAGAATGTTCATCGTGAAATGTTACAATTGCTCCAATATTTTTTTTCAGTTTTTTAATGAGATATGACTTTTCCTCGCTTTCGCTCTTTATTTTCCCTCCCTCTCCCTCTCCGTCTCCATCTCCGTCTGCATCTCCGTCGTCTTCTCTCTCTCTCTCTTTCTCTCAATCTATCTGTCTGTATATTTATCTTCCAATCTACCCACCTCTCGTATTCCCCTTTCTTCTCTCATCTGCTTGCACTATATTTAGTTAACTCTTTTGTAATCTTTTAACAATATTTTAATTATTTAATTACAAGTAAAAGATATATTGGCATTTCTAATTATCTCTTTCTATCTTTTATGTATGCAAAAAAAAAAACAGGAAAAAAGGAAAGTAAGAGAAAATATAGAAAAAAAGGAGGGTAATTAATTGTATGAGACTTGAAAGATCTTGTCTTGAATAATACTTTGACTTTAATTTTTCATTAGCTAAGTAATACTTTATTATAATTATTATAATTTTATTCTTTTATATCGTTACAAGCCGAAAAGTAAATATATATATTTTACGACTGGTATTTTATTGCAGATTTTCGACTTTATGATGAAGCTTTAATTACGTATCTGATTATGAAAAGTAGGAAACTGTAATGGAGAAGAGATTTAAAAAGTAAAATAGAAAAGAGACTTAAACGATTCTCTTCGCTATCTTTCTGATCCTCTTTCTTTTTTTAACTGAATATGAACATGAATTGATATCATCAAGTACTTACAATGTTAAGCTTCCTGTTATATTTTCTTTCTATTCTGTGTACTTGGATTACTAACCCTTATTAATTAGACGTAACAGTATGGAAATATATGGTAAGCTTACAACCATACAAAAGCTGGTACTTTGTCAGATTACTGTTTGTATATTGCAGTTGGATGCACCCGACAATAGAATTGAGCAATAGTATAACTTATTACAGAATGTTTCTAGTTTTTGGAGGATTAAAAATCCTAATCTATAAAGCAGTTATGTCTGGTGATAGTGATAGTGAAGTATTCAATACTAAACAAAGACATTATTTCAAAGGTTTATCTGATAATTTTTTTCCACAAAATTCCCAAGTTAATATCCGGTAAGGAACAAATACAATAGATATTTGATTTTTTTTAACAAACGTTCAATGATTATCATGATAAAGGAACCTTTCAAAAAGGCAGAGATATAAACTTTTTTTAACCGTATCCTAAGAATACTTAATTGTTAATTGTTTATTTTTCATGAATTTATAGCTATTTTACTTGTATTAGGAATACTTTTATTACGCTATGGAAGTTATATCAGACAGATACTATATACATATTCAAGCTAAATTTGAAAATGGCTAATATATCACTTAAATTTTTATCTTATTAAGCAGTAATTATAAGTAAAATAACTATGTGGGCGTTATTTTTAGATTCCATAGAGCTTTATGTTTTGTAAGAATACAATAAAAACAGGTATATTTCTAATTTAAAGTCTTAAAATAAAATGATAAATTCCATATTATATTAAAAATATATGTAATTGATTAATTTTCTTTAATTTTCCTATATAGAATAATATTATTTGGGGTTAAAACAAGTAAAATAAAACTCACCAAAGTTCTCAGTCCTTTATATCATCACGTACGTTAAGAATATACGCTAAACTCTACCAAAGGGTGGCGCTTTCTGTAAAATTTTCAGCGGAACATTAGTTAATATCAATCGTGTGGAACAAATTTTTTCCTGTTTTTTTTTTTTAGACAGTGTAAAACAATAACGGAACAAGGGGAAGAGATGCATATAATATATCAATAAATAATATACATCCTGTATATAGAATATATTATATTTTTCTTTTTCGTTCCTGCCTTTTCTGTTATATCTATGGATATGTATTTATAGTCATAGAATAAACTGCATATGTAATATAAGCCGATTTTCAAATAAAGATCATATTCATAGAAATAGAATTACAAAAATATGCAGTTTATATAAAGTTTATTTTTATATATAAATATGTATTTATTACATTCACAGTAAAGAGAGAAAGAATAAATGGACAAGATAATTCATTATCCTCCTTCTATTTCCTTCCCTCTCTTTTCTACTTAAAGCAATGTTTCGTCCTTGAAACTACCTTTTTTTTTCTTTTCACCAAGATAATTGACTTCTTTTAGTCAAATAATGAAAATGAATGATTCTGAAATTTTCTTTTTTCTCTTTTTCATTCTATTCAATAGATGGCGCATTTTTTGCCGTTTTTTAAAAGTGACTGTAATTGATTCGTAATCCTTCCTATTTGACTCATTTTTTTATTGTTAATTCTACTCCGCTTACACTTAATTATTACATCTATTTATAATATTGCATCACTAATCAATTAAATCTTTTATTCGCTTTTTTAAAAGCCTATTTTTAACATATGACGTCTAAGCGTTACTAACTAAATGAGTGCTCGGTTTTGCGCACTAAGAAAGCAAGTACGTCAGACACTAAATGTGTCATCTTTATCTCTACCCTTGAAATATGAAAAATAATCTTGTCAGCTACTAAAGTTAATTAAAGATCTTCAATTTGTGAAATACGAAACAGGTAGATCGAGACTCGTATTGTTTATATTGCTTATATACTCAAATTTATTTAATGCATCCTATACACGAAATAAACAATGACAGAGAGAATTATTTCTTAAAAAGAAAAAATGAAAAAAAGCTTCATTTTCTGTTTTTTTTTTCTATGTGAATAACATTAATTTTTAAGACGAGGAAATAGGAAAGAAGATCTAAGATTTGAGAAAAAAAAACTTATTAAAGATCTACTTAGTGTTATATATTTAATAATGATAGATATTTAAAAATACTTATAATTTTATCCTTGTTCCCATTTTACGCGTAGACTTTAGAAAATATAAATAAAAAATAAATTTGTCCGATCTGGCGGAAGAAGAGAATTATTTGCATCGATGAATCTTAATTATGTACTAAAGCATATTTTATATTCTTATTACTATTTCTATCAATTTTTCTATCTATCTCTCATTCCCTCCTACATTCTTTTTGTTCCCTCCTTTTTTTTGTCCTCCTTGTCTATATACTTTCTCTTGTCCTCTTACTCCCCTTGCCCCCACCGCCGTTCCACTTACCAGTGCTCTTATTCTCGTTTTCTCTTTTTCTGCCATATCGTCGGTATCTGTCTGTGTGACGGTCGGTCGCCTGTTTTTCTTTCCCTCTCCCCTACCTCCCTCCGTCTATCTGTATATATATATATATTTATTTATGTGCGTGTGTCTCTCCCTCTCTGTAAGTGTCTCTCGTCTATACCCTCAATTTTCCTTTATGAATAATGAAACAATATAAAAGCTTAAAAATACTTATGGGATAGGTTAAACTGATTTAAACAGTAATTACCTTTAACTAGCCATTTTTATTACGTATTATAAGTTATACGCATTCAAGCTGTCTATCAACAATTTTTATTAATTAATTACAAACATCTTTATAATTGACAAATGTGCCGAACTAAATACGTAAAGTGTATTGTATATTGCATACAATATGCTTGTTAAACATCAAATGAGGTATTGTATATGGCTTTAAAAGTTGATGAGTTTGCTGTCTTTTACCACTTTTTCTTCTTCACTTTCTTCTTCTACTTCGTAAACATCCTCTTTCAAAAGTTTATTGTAGGCTATAATGAATTCAGAACGAATCGATTCGGGGTTAAGTTTTAAATCGATTTGGTGTGTTGGGAGCATTTTCAAGGTTCCTGCTAAAAGATTCTCGTCAAAGGTTTTCCTCTCTAAAGTTTTAAGTTTATATCTTATAAAACATATTTAACATTGATAAATGATATTAAATGACTATACGTCGTTTTTGACTCGTATCTTTCACTTAATATTTTATATACCTGTTGTTTTGTTAACGACAAATAATGAGCATTGTACAGGTTTTTTGGCCCATAATAAAGATTTTTCTATATTAATCCAGATTTGATGTAACTCATTGTAATCGCCGTCTAGAAAATCGAAAACTATGATAACGCCGTCTGCATTACGAAATATGCTCTTCATAAATTCTGTTTTGGGCTCTCCAACATCCCAAAGTTCAATATCACATTTCCTTTTTCCGACTCTCAAAAGGACGTCTTTTGCATCGAATTCGATTATTCGAACGCCCTTCGTAGGTTTAAGACCTCGTTTATGTATTGAATAGGGTTCTATGGCGGCAATATAATTCGCTATTGTCGATTTTCCCGAATTTCTAGGACCAAAGAGAACAATCTTCATGACTATTTTCGAATAGAATAAATTACGTAATCAATATATTCAATTTTTTCATATTTTTGAATGTTAATAAGGATAAAGGAGGAATAATGATATATATAAATATTTTTGATTTTTCCTTTTTTTTCTCTGTCTGTCCGACTGTCTATTGGTCTGTCCTTTTTATTTTGCTATCTCTCTCTCTCTCTCTCTCTCTGTCTGTCTGTCTGCCTCTCTGTCTCTCTGTCTCTCGGTCTCTCTCTCTCTCTCTCATGTCTGTCTGTCTGTCTGTATGCCTGTTTCTCTTTTTTCTTATATTGTGATGTCTATAAAAAAAGCCTTACTAAAACATAATCAAATATTTACTAGTTTCTTTCTTTTAATTCTTTTTATCGCCTACTTTATACAATAGTAGAATTTGTTGTTTTTTTTTATAATCTTAAGTCCTATTATATCTCTTTGCTTATTTTTACGTTATTATTAAATTATTGATAGTTTCACATTATGTGTTATACATTTATTCATTGTTTTAAAAACGACATAATAAAACTGTCAAGTAATTTAGGAGAGTCATTAGTCATGGCTAATTAATATTGTTATCCCTTCTCGGAACGTTTAATCTGAATATTTAGTATAATTGAAATCTTTCCATTAAGCGTTTAGAACTCTACAAAAAAAGGGTCAGATTAGCTTTACTTCCGTCAAAGAAAGAAAGTACCACTTTCTTAAAGATTGTTTATTGTGTCCTAATTTGAAATTTTGACAATATTATTGTTGAAATGTAAGAATGGATCTATGAATTGAACGTATAGCATTGTAAGGTTATATAAGTATATACTAATGTCATATCATATATCATTTTTTCCGAGTGAATATATAACGATGTCGCAAATTCAATTTAAAATGAAAATTAATACTGTTAATACTTTAATTAACATTCTTATAAGCCATCTCTCGTTATTTTTTTATCATATATTACTGGTTCTTTAAAAAACTAAGGCTATCAAATAAGAGCGCCATCTTCATTCTAACTATGATTTTAATATTTATATTTAGATAATTGTTAGACGAGCTTCTTTAAATAGTTTTTTCTTTGTAAAAAATATTATTGTAAGCAAAAATTTGTTCCTAATTAACATTTGGTACAAATTCTAAATAGCGATTCACGTAAGAGTTTCCATTCTGTAATCGAGCCAAAAAAATAATAATATAGAAATTCCTTCTTTTTATCAATTCGTAAAAGTATTTCAGTGATAATATGGAAATGATGGGAAGTAGACTCAGATAAGCTATAAAATTTAATTTATTATTAATTGCTAATGACTAATCTATTAATTCATCCATATTTTCTTCTACATGAAAGCAATATGTAAACAAGTTGATTGAAAAAAAAGAAAACAATACTTGTAAATAGTATAGAAATAAATGAACTTTTATTGAAATGAAGGTTAAAACTGACAAAATCTCCACGTTTATCTTCGATTTTTGGAATTAGTTTCTAATCGACTTTGTTCCTTATTATCGTACGTTATTGTTCAATACATATGAAGGTTAGAGCTATTTCAAAGACTTTTATCACATTTTGATTAATATAAAGATATTAAATTATGATAATTCAACAATGAGAACATTTGTTTTTAAAGCAAAAGTTTTATACTTTTCTTTTTTTTATACGAAAAGTTATTGTTAATATTTTAATTTATTTGTTTAGTACTATTTGAAAGTCTGTCATACAATACCTATAGTTTTACGTTTATAGTTATATTTTATTCAGACTTTGGATCTTGGACCAAAGAGTACTTTTAGGTCACCCGACCCTTGTTATCATACAATAAAACATGGTCTAGATTTCCATTTTAAAGATGGGAATGAAAAACTAGGTCTATTTTTTTAAAAATAGTGGTATATACAGTATAAACTTATAAATGTTAAATAAGGGAGCGTCAGATCATACGAAAGTCGTCTAGTATCTTTCCATAAGCAAGTTGAAAACATTATTAACTAATTTCGTAATTATTCTATTAAAATTCATGACCATAAACCTCTTTTTTCTCATTTGTACAACATTTCTAAAAGAATTTGAGCAAAAGTGATTTCTGTACTTTTTAAAATCTGTCATAAGTGATTATCGAGTGAAACATTATAGAAGCATGAGAGGTACTACTTTTTTGGTAAATTAAGCAGTGTATACGAGAAAGTCTTTCGTAAGATGTAATAATGAATATAGACAATACAATGTATAGAATAAGTTGACAGCGAGAGGAAAAAAAAAGTTAAAAAAAGAAAAAACAATTTATCTATCTATGTAAATGTTGTTGTTTAGTAGATTCGAAATCGTCAGATTATCGGACCATACAATAGTTCAGAAATCAGTTCAGAAGGGAATGAAAATGAGGTCATTCTGAAAAAACAGATACAAAAATCTACTCGAACTTTTAATGAACTTTTTTACATTTAGAATGTGAAATTTCAATCTTTTACTTGTAGAGTAATATAGACAATATATATATATATTAGGCGACAGATATGAGTAATATGTACTTATCAATCAGCTGTTCGTTGTACTAAAGAGCTCACTTTGTAAATAGCAGATATATTCGATAATTCCAGTGATCAATAGAATAAATACGGTATATACTGTATAAATAAATTTATATAAATAAATAGTATAAAACTCTAAATATATTGTTTTTTCTAAAAAAAGCATATAATATGTTGTATTAAATATGTTGTTTTGAACAATTGAGTAGTAATATATTGTATACAATTTGAAAAAAGTTTTTCACAGAAATTTGAAAGCATCACAATAAGATTCACTATCATTTTCGTCTTTTGTTACAATCCTCCGTTACATTTCGTTCATCTTCTTTGTACATACAAATTTTTTGTTACAGATAAATAATAGTTAATTTATCAGATTCAAAACAATAATAGAAAAATAAATAAATTAAGAGATACAACTCATTTTCTTGAGGCAAAATTCAATTGAAAAGGTTTAGGTTTTTGAACAAGGCCAAATATTGGTGTAGAATTGATTTCTGATACCTGATTTACGTTCAACTTCTGTAAGATGTTGACCACGTATAAAAATAACTCAGTTTTGCCTAATTTTTCACCCACACAACGCCTTCGACCAATCCCACATGGAATAAATCTATTAAGAACATCCGCATTTAAATTGCCATTATCAATAAATCGATTTGGGTTGAAAACTTCCGGTTCCGGAAAAACTTTAATGTCTCTTGTCATCGAAAATAAATTTACCAAGACAAACGTATCTTTTGGTATTCTATAGCCTTGTAGTGTTGTATCTCTTACAGTTGAATGAGGTAGAGCAAAAGGTACAACACAAGCATGACGAAGAACTTCGTATATGAATGACATAGTTTTCGGCATCGAAGGTTGATCCAATGGGGTTACTGGTCTTCCCTCTAATACTTGATCAATTTCGTCTTGAACCAATTTTTGGAAATTAGGATATTTAGCCATGTATTGGAGACACCAATTTATAGAAATGTACGTAATATCAAGTCCAGCCCCAATAAAATCTTGAACTGTGTGAAGAATTCTATCTCTTTCTAAAGGTGATCTACCCTCGTCAATACCAATTTTGATTAAAGCGTCCATAGCATCTTCAATTTTATCTCTATTGTATTCAGCCAAATGTTTTTCTTCGCTTATTTTTGTCATATCCATCATTTTATCGCATGTTTCTTTTAATTCTCTTTCTCTCTTCTTGAAAATTGTTCTTGCCAAGGGAATAAAATTCAGAAAGTTACCAGTATTATGTAATTCTAAGACTTTAAGAACTGCATTGATCATTTTATGAAAGTGGTCCAGATTTTTTTTATAATTGCCATAGCATAAGGTATATTTAACCTTGGCCATTGACCATAGTACCTGTTCTCGTGGGTCCAATGTATTATCAGTAAACATTTCAGCCAAATTTCTAGCCTCTTCAGAGGCCAAATTCAAAGTGGATTCCATCACTGTTTTCAAAGATTTTTCAGCCAACCGTCTATGCAATTTCCAAAACCTTCTATTGCAGCCAGTAAAAGACATAGACTTTCCTTCCGAAGCGTACTCGAAAGAGAAAAGGTCAGGTCTTCCAGAAAAGTCTTCAGACTTGTCAACCAAGGCGTCATGTATCGTTTGATACTCATTCAATACTAATGTTGGAATAGAACCGAATTTCAAATAGAATGCATTACCATAAGTTTTTGCCATATTGTACAGAGTCTTATGTGGACTGTTAATAGACAACCACGGCAGGGAGCCAACAACCGGAAAGTTCCATGGTCCAGGAGGTAGTGGAGTCTTCTTAACAATGCTGTTGACAATACAGAGTAGAGCTGTTATAATAACCAAATAAACTGTACTGGATCCAACCATTTCTCCAACGTTCATATCAAAGAGTGAGTATGCTTCCATATTGTCTTTAGCAAGCTTCGGCTGATTGCAAATTTCAATGTATAAATGAGAATTTTTAAGTGTATATATATATGATATTAACCAATCAGCAGCTTGAAGAGATTTTATAGGCCGATTTACTGCTATTTTATATAGAAACGAAGTGGATGATGAAATATTTACAATTGATATCACTGGTCAGGCACGTGAAACGGTTCTGGGGTTAAATGTGAAAAAAAAGTTAGATTAAAAATAAGACAAATCCTTGATACACTTTCTTCCAAGTAGACAGAGTATATCTCATGGTTACTTTTATGCTCATTATTCGATAACCCTTATCTAATCTCTATTAAAAAAAGATATCTAATAGATTTCTTATATAAAAGTTAAAACAATGGAAATTATTGATATTCTTTTCTTTTTGGATTTAAATAAAAAAAGAAAAAAAATTTCCAAATATTTTAATAAGAAATTTCCGTTCCAAAGATTAAAAAAAGAGAAGATAAGAAATAGATAAAAAAATAACACAGAAAATGGGAATTTTTTTGTTTTTTGTATTAACTTGAATACTTATTCCTTTTTTAATGTAAAAGTGCATTTTTTTTTATTATTATTTTGAAAATTCCCTCTTAATTAATTAGTAATTAATTAATTAATTAATTATTAAATTAATAATAATAATAAATGGAAATATTAATAGTTAAAAAAAGTAGAGTTCAGCGAGTTTAGGAGAAAAGTGGGACTCTATTTTAACAGATTTTTTAGCTGACGCAATAGTTGAGAGTATTTCCTAAGCTCTTTTTAATGGTATCCTCCAAAACCCGGCTGCCTGTTTTATTTATCGATTAATGAAACGAATAAAGTATGCACTCGTGTCTCTTTACAAATGAATAAGCATCGATATATTTTCTTTAAAATTAAAATACACTAAAACTGAGGGAATTTTGTTGATTTGAAATTTCATTTCTCCTTAAATTCAGGCCTATAGCTTTCAATCTTCTATTCCAACTTTTCACTATGAAGTATTAAATATATTGAAAAATTATGAATAATCTATACTAAGTTCGATTATTGTAAATTTCTTTAACAGTAATTTTCTTCGCTTTTTCAACTTTTCTGTTATTATGTTTTTTTTTTAAAAAAAATTAAAATGTAAGGTTTAAAGCTCACAGCGGTATTGTTACATATTTTCTATAAGCGGAGCAAAAGTATGAAGGTCTTCGAATGAAGAGCATTGTACTCTATTTCTTTTTTTTTTCCACATACAATACAGTTGTCCAAAGACATGTTGTAATTAAATAGGCTGAGATTACTTAACAGTAAAATAAGGACTATCATCTGTTAAGCATGTAATATATATTTTTAATGTCTTAATTAGATTTACATTTTTAATGATATTAATTTAGAAACAAAGATAAATAACATAATATTGTATATATGTATTATCCAGTAAATGTACTGTACATAGTATACATTCATAAAGAACATGAACTAATTAAAGAATAATTCAAAAGTATTCTTTGCTGCTCTACTTGAAAACAATTTGAAGATATTTATATATTTTATATAGATTTGTGTATTTCATGTTTAGTTGTTAGGTTGTTTTTTAGTTTTTAGAAGGCTATATCACTTTGTCACGATGATTCGGAAAAACTTTCAAGTATTAAGCAAACAGAATCTATTTTGTTATTCATTTCTATTTATATACAGAGAAAGAATAATATGCTTTTTCGTAATTAAATTTTAAAAAGAGAGAAATGTAAAATTTTCTTATCTTTAGAAAGGTTGGATATTTTCCATTAGATTTATCAATTAAATCTTTCTGATTAAATGATAACCATATTTATGATATATAACTTACACTACTTATGTTTGACTTGAATAAGAAAACATCATGTGATTTAGCGATGTGAGCTTATGTTGAATAATAGTCGAACGAGTTATAACCAGTTTTAATTTTTTTCTATCTCCTCCAACTTCCTGTTGCGTTTGTATGAATCATAGAACAGTATTCTTAATCAAATACTTATTCCGCTCTATTTTTAAAGATAGTAATAAAACTTAACATATTTTAATAGAAGAAGAAATGTATTTATTATAAATAATTTTCATTTTTTGTTTATATTCTTTAATGCCTTTTATAAATCTGCATCTCATCTCTCTCTCTCTCTCTCTCTCTCTCTCTCTATATATATATATATATATATATCCCTGTCTTCCTTCAACCTCTTTAAACGTTGAATTTGCCTTGAAAAACTGAATTGTTTATTAGTTGAAAGGTAGAGTATTCTGTTTTTCCCCGGCTCTTTTTTTTCTTTTTTCTTCAACGTTACCTTATTAACCTTAGTTGGGAAAAAAATTGGACATTAATTATTTTTCTGCTTAATTGTATCTTTTTTTTATCGGAATGTATAATTCTATGCTTTTATCCCTAATGGCTAATTTGATAAAAATAAATACATTGAATTCTTGTTAAAATAGTTGAAAATGATGAATAAACAAGGAAAATTTGTTTCGTATTTGGAATATATAAGAGATATTTGGTATATCCCCAAGATGACGCTCCTGACAGTAAAATGAAAACAAGAAAATATAATACGTAATTAGATGTCCACTAGGCGTCGCCTGAGCCAACTAGAGAGAGAAAGAGAGAGAGAGAGTGAGCGAGAGAGAGAGCGAGAGAGAGAGTGAGGGAGAATCGATTGGTGCGGCAGAAAAAAAGTGCAGTATGTACAACAGCTACAACCAACAAAATGAAAAATCGGCTAGTGGGAATGAAGAAACGTGAGAAGAGGTTGGATTAATGGATGATAGATCTAGCGGCGTCTACCCATTCTGCTACGTCAGCGAAACGGTAGCAAATTTGGCTAGGAGGGCGTTCGAACTATTGCAAAAAGAAGACCTGGATGCGCAGGATTTCGACGAACTGTCTCGAATAATCAGCGAGGACAAGGGCCGCGACGTATTAAGCGTCGTCGATTGGCAGGGCTGTAGCCTACTACAAACCGCCCTATTGAAGGGTCATATCAATGCTGTGAGGTTATTATTGAGGAAGGGAGCTGATCCTAATGCGTGCATCTGCTCACCCCCTCTACACCTGGCATGTAGACTGGGATTGATTGAAGCCTGTCAGTTATTAGTTGAAAAAGGATCTAGGCCCGAACTAGCAGCAACAGTGTGTCTGGAAGGACATAAATTGAACACCTACCCGGACAGGATCGTCTGCCTTGCCTACAGGCCAATCCTCACGGCTGCTGGTCATGCTATAGCGGCCGACAACGATGATGTCCTCCAAGTCCTCCTGAATAATTCGTCTATAAGGACGGACGGACTTTTACATGATGCTTGTCGCTTTGGAGCAAAAAATTGTGTAAAATTACTACTTCAGCACCTAAAGGAACAAGTATCCGCAGAGGATTCCCATGGTAGAACTCCTCTTCAGGTCGCCTTACTTTCAACTCATACGGATAACGCAGCTGAATTGGTTCAAGCAGGAGCTAAATTAGCTACGTCCTCTCTGCATGCAGTCTATGCGAATACGACCACTCCGGGAATACTCAGGGCTACACATTTTGCTCTGGAGAACGGAGCTAGAATTCATATTAATTCTAGTGACAGACATGGTGATACTGCCCTTCACATCCTTCTGAAGAATGTAGGCAGACAAGAATCCTTGACAAATCAAACAACCGTTGATAAGGAACGTTTAGATTGTATAGACGTCCTATTAAGATCAGGAGCTAACCCACACAAGGTGAACAAATTGGGTGAGGGAGCCCTTCATGCTGCCCTCGTAGATCATGGGAATAGGCCACTTTACGTCTCAAAACATGGTTGTATTAGGAAGCTACGCCAGGCTCTTACAACGATAGTCGATGGTATAAAGGTCCTCTTGAGGGGTGGAGCAAAACTGAAGCATCCGCAGTACTCGGTTACGCCCTTCGAATACGCCCTTAGGTTCATACGAGCTTTACAGCCTGATATGATCGTACTAATAAGGGGAACGGTTCATGAACTATTACTATTACTATCGCAGTCGGCCGAGGACCTTAGTCCGCTACTCGCTTCCCTAAGGCAGTGGGCACCTTCAACACTTTCGGGTATATGTTGGCACCTTGTTCCCTTTTTATCTGGTATCACCATAGCAATGATAGGGAATGGTAAGATTATTAAGGAATCGAAATTACAGTTGTATAAGGACGCACTATTATTCTTGCACGGAACACCGGCAACGCCGAAAATGCACGATATCAGTAGAATGTTACTACTGAGATATTGCCAAAGGGGACTGGGCCCAGATGACATCGATTGGGCAAATCGCGGTAAGGAATGGCCGGCATCTATTCTTGCATTGGCCCTCTCTAACGTTTCCGCCCAAAATTCGACGAGAGATGTCTTCCAATTGCTCTGCAACGTCCTGGATAATCGCCAATTAAACGAGCTATCTGAAGCTCTAGCTATACTAACGAATCATTCGGTGGAATTGCAGAAGGTTAGATCTTTAAAGGTTCTCTCTCGGCGGAGGATTGCGGCTAGCGTTAGATGGAAATTAATGGATGATAAGAATACCTTAAAATTGCCATTACCGAAACCGCTGCTCACTTATGTTACAAATATGCAAGTGGCTTAGGATTCTTGCAAAAATAAAAAAAAAACACATTAAATATCGTTAAATATGACAAAATTATTTAATTATTAATATATATATATATATATATATATATAGAAGAAGATGGTGGTGGTGAAAAATATTTCGGGAGGGTCTTTCGTTCGTGATGCATTCGGATATTTTAATCTTCTCTTGTATATACTAATATACTCGATCTGAGATGGGTAGGTATACGATTTTCCTATACGACGTCTAGAAGACATCTTTCCTTATTGTGCCATCTGTTTTTGCGTGTCAACTATACATTTTGTACAGTATATATGTATAGTGTAATCTTTGATAGTGCTAGATGGCGTAGCGGAAGTCGAATATCTATTTATCTGTGATCCACTAATTGGATAGCAAGTTTATTAGGAGAATGTCGTATACGGCTTTTGTCGTATAAGTTTTCATCATATTTTATCGAAATGACACCGAAAAAATATTGTAATCTTACGAAAATGTTAACGATTTTACGTGTAATACAGTCGGTTTATGTTCCAGTAAAAAGAGAAAAATGACAAAAAAACTAATATTCTCTCGACTTTTATTTCTTCCAATTAATCTATTACTAAAGCCATTTAATATATTCCTACGTAAAGGATGAATTTAATTAAAGCTTACGGTTTTAAAACGTGTCCGAATATTCGCTTATTTTATTAAGCTTATGCATTTTATAATCTACAAAAAGTATGTTATTAAAATTGTCGTTATGGCTTTGCTTTCTCATTCCTGAAATGGAGAGTAATATATATATATATATACAGTATATATATATATAAATTTATATATATATATATATACAGTATATATATAATATATTCATATAGATTTGTGGCTAAAACATCTGTAAAAGGGGCTAAATATATTAATCTAAAATACGAAAATAATCTTCTACTAAATGCAGACTTGTACTGGGATAAAAGATAAATGGACATCTATTTTAAAATATATTAATTATTATTCATAATTATTTTACAAATTCAGAATACAATTTGTATTAAGAATATTTCGTTTCTTTGTTTTAAACCATGACTGATGGATTTGTAAGGATGGGGAGTAGGTTGTAGAAAGAAAAGAGACTGCATAAAAAGAAAGAGGGAGGGGAAGAGAAGAGAAGAAGAGAGGCGGGGGAAAAACTAAGGGGGTACGGCAGCAAAATGGAATCATATGTAAAAAAAAGTAAGAACGAATCGTTGTATTCGATAATAAAAATCTTTTGTGTAATTAATAATTTATTTTTCCGATATCTTTTTTCATTGCGTAACCCTCTGCAAATCCTTCATACTCAAGGATATCTTCTCCCCGCATAAGATGTCACTGGTGAGTTGACGCTACATTCTCAACCAATATTACTACTAGCGCCATCTCTTATCTGGTTAAACAGTTGATTTTAATATTATCTATGTGTGGTATCGATTCTACTACAACATCAAGAGTAGTAATAAATCTTTCAGAATAAGATGAATTTTTAGAAACTTTTATTATCGAGTAGGTTTCTTGACAACGGATTATTTATATCCAAATTCAACAGGTCATTGGCATTTAAATATTGGTTGAATAAACTTTCAACATACAGCAAAATAGTAAAGTCAAAGTTAAATTTATTATTGAATATAAATGATTTTCAACATCGAACATTAATCGATATAGACACGAAAACTTAAAAAAATAGTCTTTAAAGAATAAATAAAAATAATTTCATTATTCTACGCCTAATATCCTTTTTAAAGTGCAAAATATGTTCCAAGAGGTAAATAGGAGAGAAAAGAGAGACAGAGAGAGACAGAGAGAGAGAGAGAGAGAATGATAAATGCAAGGACAACACTATTAGAATTTCACTGAAGTTTATTGAACAAAAGAAGTCAACGTTACAGTCAATACTTTACGTTTTGCTGTACTTGATGAGAAATTTGATGCGACAACAGTTGAATATAAAATATATGAATCTAATGAATTAAAATTAATTAACTAGTACAAATTAGAACTTTATATGAAGAATATAAATGATATAAATTTCACGATTTAAACATATCTTTAATATTATAGAGATGACTCCTTTCTGAATTAATTTCCAAAAATATTACAATCATTAATTTCCTTTGTATTTACTTATATCATGACAATATAATGATAAACATTTTTTTATGAGCTATTAGACAAAAATATATTAAACAACCACCAGTTTCTATCTGCAATATTGCTTTAAAATATTAAATATTACAAATTTTCAACAGCAAACTTAGGCCCATTTAACAAAAGAGAGAAAAAAACGAACTGCCAATCTGTATTGATAACTTAATTTAATGTACAACATTTATGCTGACCATTCTTTACATTAACAGTTGTGTAAATTCATTAAGACCTGTAATATTTATAGTATTAATTTCTCTCATATTCAAGCTATGTTAATATGGAATCCAGTTAGAAACATTACATAAAATGTTCTAAATTTTCTATACTTATATGACATATCTGTTAATTGATAGAAAAAAGCAAGGCGTGGCATTATATCTTGCTTTCTCTAAGTCCATAATAACACGCTTACATAAAATCTAGGACAAACCGTCGCTGTTGATACGCTTTCCACTTAGGCACGAGCAAATCTATAAATAGGATATATATGAGGTGGGCTAATCACTTTTCAGGAAAAAGTTATGATAGTAAACTTAAGTAATATACGATTTACTTTGATTATACTTTATATTGAGGCAGACAAGATATATATTTATAAAGTTTACTAAAATACATCAAACTACACTTTTTTTTAACTAATTCTTTCAAGTAGACCTTTGCATAATAATCTAATTTTCTTTTATTGGTCAGTAAACCTCTCTTGTTTTTGTCAACATTTGATAGAATTAACTTGTATTTATTTAGGGAAATATACTGGAAATTTTATTAGAATTATGTATAAAAACAAACAATCCATTTAACTTAATAGAAGCTTTATTATAGTGAAATGTTGGAACATCTTACTCAATGAATATAAAGGAAACTGGAGCTTATATAATGTCAATTGATAATATTTTAATCCTTTTAGGTTTTCTAATCTTCTTCATTAATTATTCTTATTAAGATATCAGAATTCGTAAGAGCTTGGGCTTCTATCTAAGAATAAACAGTAATTTAGCACATTTCTCCTTTCAATTCGTAAACTGCTTTACCTTTGATAATACAGCTGAATAAATGGGACAGTAAGAAAAAGAAGTGTATAGCATACAATAGTAATTAATAAGTTACTTTATTCCGACAATGTCCGGCTCTTTTGGAAAAACTTTACCTCTTCAAATTATAAAAATATCCATAAATATGGAATGACGTCTGTTATAAGCTATTTTTAGTCGAATTTGCAATAGTTGAAACATTTTCACTTAATGAAAATGCCATGGATAATTAGTATTTGGGTTGCAAAGGTTTTCCCTAAGGTTTTGTCATCATTTACTATTCTTTTGTTTGCCATCGAAATACATTTACTAGTTAAATTTCTGAAAATGAGATGAAATCTTCCTGGAATTTCAGCTTAATAATTAGTTCTTCAAAAGAGATAGATTAATCAGTTATTCAACAACTTCTATAATAACTGCATTACGTTACTTAATATAGGCTGTGGGAATTTCATTTTGGGAAAATGAAACATTGAAGTTTTCCAAACCAATCCAAACTGTCAATAGTTTACCAATTGCGAACTATTTTCATTTCTGTTGTCCCATATAAGCCTTATATGGCTACAACATGAGTTTTATTCTTCTGAATTTATTCTATGATAATGATTGCAATAACGGAATATTATTATATTTCACTTAATGGTAGGTTTCTTTTTAGACGGTACTGTATGTTTATTTGAAGAACAGACTTGAAAAACTAATAATTATTTAAATTTAGTAGTAATTGGTATAAGAATGAAATAATTAATGTAATTAGTATAAAACATTCTAATTAATTAGAAAAGTTACTGTTTTATTCTTTATTTACTAGTTTTATACTGTAAAAAGAAATAAAAAAAATCACCAAACGATCTTTATTTAGATAAACTGCACTGACATGCATATATGAAAACTATAGTCTAGATATACCATAATTATAAAAATAACTCTATACAAACAATCTATAAAGACTTTTTTAAAATACAAAGGTAAATCATTAATTAAATCACTTTCATTTGTTTTCACTAAACGCCACTACATTAGATAATAATTGAGAACAAAATTGAGAAAAAGGTGTCTTCGTAAAAATTTATAGTGATATTTATTCAAAGGAGAAGAGTCCGCCTAGATAATAAATTACTGTTTAACATAAAAGTTCCATTAATCTATTCTTTTACTAAATAAAATTTTGTACTATATTTTTATATTCGTATACATTATTTTAATATAATTATATTAATAAGTTAATAGATATATAACTAAATTTCCGCCATTTTTTATTTTTGAATAGATAATAGTAAATTAATAGATTTTTATGCAATTTCCTTTTTCATTTTTCTATTATTAAGTTAGAAAAAAGATATACATTTCGTATTATAATATTTCTATTTTATTGCTCAATTTGTTTGCTCTGTAAAGGATGTGCATATCGTCATTAAGAATGGAGAGAAGCAGATAGGAAGTACCATTTAGAGATAGAGAGTGACGATATATAAAAAAAACAAAAGAGAGAGAGAGAGAGAGAGAGAGAGAGATAGATAGATAGACAGATAAATAGAGAGATAGATAGAAAAAGAAGGAGAAAAAAGGATAGTGCGTGTATGTATATATATATATATGTGCGTACCAATCATAAAGTGACTAAAAACTATATACAGTATATACTGTCTATATATTCATTTATATATGTATATTTATATATATACATATGTATGTATACGTATATAAATAATTAATATATATTTATACATATGAAAATAGAGGATGAAACTTACATATTTCTTTCTTTTCACACTGATTCTAATAGTAATTATACCTTAAATATTGTGTGGAATAATAATATCAATATATATTTCTTTTTCAGGTCATTTCCTATGGTCTTTTTGTTTCACCTCCAAGAAAGAAATCAAATTTACTAAAAGCCGTTCAAGCTTTACAATTGGTATTTATATAATTCAATATACTTGTTTTAATAAGTTTATCAAATAGCTTACATAGAAATTTAATTAATAATAGAATAGAAAATTTTTTAAAGAAATAGAAGAAGAATAGAAAATGGACCATTCTATTATCACATTGTATTAGATGACATCAAGAAAAAGTAATCTTAATCTTGCTAATGTCGTTAACCCGAGTTTGATCAATGCAATAAGCAGATTTCAATTTTATGATTAATTTTATGGTGTGTAACGATAAATTGTTTTTTTTTATTTATTTACGTAATTATACCTTGTCAATATTATATGTATATCTATACATATATAGTACACATGTGTTATGTATATATGGTATATTTATACATCAATTAGTTAGTAGACTTATGTGCATTGCAAGCAATAGTTGTAGAAACAATACAAAAACAACTGCACGTATGTCGTTTTAGCGTAATTTAACGACCACCTTCTTTATTTTTTCTTTTGCATAATCTAGGTCGTGTTGGTACAACTTTTATTGCTTTACAGCTTGATTAATAATGAATATATTGTCACCAAACTTCAATGTTATCTCTTTAATCAGCCTGTAAAACTTATGCCACTTTTTTTATTCGACTCTATTTCCTATTAAAACTGAGTATCTTGTAATTATACTAAAAACATATGGATAGTATATATAATAGTAAAATAATTAAGAATGACTTTTAAACAATGATTTAAATACCAAAAGACAGCTTCAGTAGGTATGTTTAAATGTATTTTTAATGGATGTATATTTTTTGTAATGTTTAGACATTCTTCTATTCAGTTCGTGTTAATAAATTTATTTACTGTATGCGAATAAATATTAAATAATACAAGTAATACACTAATCGATTTATACAAGATAGTATTACGTTATTTAATTACGAATAGTTAAATGTTTTTGATAAGAAACTGACCTAAAAGCGTGCTAAATTCCTTAATTAAAATTTTTTTTTTTTAATTTTTCCCCTCTTTTCATTTTCATTTAACTTAATTTGAAAGAGTGTCGGTTTACTTTAACAGTAGTTACCTCAAAAAGTATTAACTTTCGTCAATTAAACACGCGCTGTATCTTCACAATTTATTTGTAATATAAGAGTTTTAATGTTGTAATTAAACGTTAGATGGCATTAGGTAGCTTAGTTTAAAAAAGGCTGCTAAAGTAAAATTTTTCCGAAGCATACTGCTTCTGGAACTTTTAAAGAGTAATGGGAATAGAAAAGTAATAAGGGTAAATCATTTTCTATTTGCCATGGGATTAATCCAGATTTTGATCTGAATATTACTGTAGGGAGCTAATAAAAGGCAAAAAGTTTGAAAAATAATTCAGATATTGAGATACAGTTTCTAGATTTCTAGAAAGTAGGCCATGAAATTTCACTAAAATTTATATTAAATGACAAACACGAAAGCCTTTTGTTTTCGGCTATTGTTCTTAGACAATGGGAAATGAGATATTTTATTATAAACTTTCAAAAACGAGTATGAATAAAGAAATTTCGAAGGAATTTTTGTTATTGAACTATTTTGCTACTTTATAGCCAATAACCATCGTGTCTTTGTGGTGGAATTTAAGTTAGAGAGTACACACTTCGTAGGCAGTTTGATAAATTTTCTCTTGCTTTTCCCATGATGAATATTTTCGAAGAAAATGCTCCCCTCTTATCAGCTTATTGGCCTTTTCTGTTTTTACCCTTAGTTGTCTTTACTTTATTTTATATTTCAATAATGTTTAGGAAAAGAAGGGGTATTGATGAGGAAAGTATAAATGATATAGGAGACATGGATATTAATGATCAATTAATGCTAAGTAATCAAAGTAAAGCTGATAGAATACCGTATAAGTTGCCAAGATGTGATAAAAATGATTTAATTTATAAAACAAAAAGTTTTTATCAAACAATGAACTTAAGGAGAAGTTGTCGTATGTTTTCGAGTGAGAAAGTTCCGGAGATAGTAATTGAAAATATTATTAAAGCTGCTGGAACAGCTCCAAGTGGTGCTCATACGGAACCTTGGACATTTGTTGTAGTTGAAAGACAGGATTTAAAAAAGAAAATAAGAGATATTATTGAAGAAGAGGAGGAAATAAACTATACAAGACGAATGGGAGAAAAATGGGTTAACGATTTAAAACAGTTTAAAACCGATTGGATAAAACCTTACTTAGAAGAAGCTCCTTACTTAATATTGGTTTTTAAACAGGTTAACTTTTTTTCCAAGAAGAATTTAACATAAATTATCATAGCTAATAACATGGTCAACAGACTTACGGATTCTGGCCAGACGGAACTAGAAAAGTACATTATTACAATGAAATGTCAGTTTCCATTTCGGTAGGTATTTTACTAGCAGCAATATCCAACGCAGGCTTATGTACTGTAACCTCTACGCCTCTTAATGCTGGAACTAGATTGCGAGACTTACTTGGTAGGCCTAGTAATGAAAAGTGCGTAATCTTACTACCAGTTGGTTACCCATCAAAGACAGCAACAGTGCCAAACCTAAAGAGGAAACCATTACAAGATATTTTATTTCGTTGCTAAAAGAGAACAGACTTAACTATTGGAACAGAAGGTGAAACAGTATAACCAAAAGACGAACATTGTTGGTTTTTCTTTTTAAAGAATAAATTATTTTACATGAACGAATATAACGGTAAATTGGGGAAAAAATGATAATTTCTATATTACAAAGGAAAAATAAGATAACAGAGACCTATTATGAGGAAAAGCAAACAAACTGTCTGTTATAGGCTGTAAATTATAGACTATTTACCCTTTATTTATTGACTCTCTCCCATTGTTTTCAAGTGTTCTATAAGAGCAATTCATTTCTACTCCCTGAAAGCTTTCAACAAGTGTTTAGGGTTATCGTTGATTTTTTTAAAACACTCTAAGCAGGTAAAACATGAGATTATATTAAGAAAATATTTGATAATATTCTTATAATAATGGATTTTTCACCATATTCAATTTAACTTACATGCTATGTTTTCCTAATTAAAGATAATTTAACATAAGCTTAACCGTCTTTAAGTCTATATGCAAATTTATATTGTTGCCTAACTACAAAGTATCTTTAATTATTTAAATAATATTTGTATTTTGTTAAAAGTTCTTTATAAATATGAATATATTAGTATATATATATACAGTATATATATAGTCTTAACACGTAAATTTGTGTATAACTTCTTCTATTATTTAATAGTTCTTTTAAAAAAGTAACGGAGGCATAAATGAATATTCTGTACAACTTACTGCAAAAGATCAAAGAAGCTTTTTTATCTAGACTTTTCATAAAATAGTGTCATAAAATATTCATTGATTTTTCCCCCTTTTGTATTACAACGTTAGATTTCTATTATTATTATTATCATTATTGTTAATATATTATTATTATCGGTATTCTTAATATGTAAAGTAGTTTGTTAATTTCTTTTATATACTTATTAATAAAACTGTATTTCATAGTTGAACAGGTATTTTTCTTTTTTAGTGTTTGTTTTTATAAGGCAATAATAGAAAAAATATAAGCAAAAAAGTATGACGTAAAAAGTTTTAAACCGCACATTTTCTTATTGATCATAGACAGAGAAGGATTAGATTAATCTTAAACTATGCATTGTTATTTTGCAAAAGCACCTTAACATGGATAGAAACCCTGTTCAGTACGAAGGTAATAACTTGAATTATAATATTTTGTTTTATATAATTTAGATATACTAAATACGCATACAAGTATAAGACATATATATTTGTATGTTATAAATTTTACTTAATTGATTGTTAATAGTCTTCCACAAAGTACTCTTTAAACTTAATCTCTATTCCCCTAGGTAATTATCTCATTCTTGATGAACCAGAAACAAACCGGGGGGTTCAGGAGACTTACTCTTCTCAATCTGATTGTTCGAAGAGACCTTCGTTTTTTGAACGTCTTACAGCTGTTAGAAATCACAAATGTGACGTTTCTTTGGGGTTGAAGCACGCCGAAATTGAATCGGCAAGAGAGAAATCGATGAAATCCTTACAAGATCGTCTACATAGGATCAATTACGATTTAAGATCTCTACAGGTAGCAACTAAGGTCAATGAAATGAAAACGATAAAGGAGAAGGATCCGAAAGCTGATTTAATAGAAGATGAAAAATTAATTGCTCAGTCCATGAAATATTTGGATTTTAATCCAAATAATGTATATTATTTAAGCAAGACCCTAAAAATACCTATAAGAACAGTACTGGATACGTCTACCATTTCACCTCAAGTTGCTAAAGCTAGAAATGCCCTCCGTATGGTAGAGTTAGAGGAACAATTAAGGTACATTTATCAACAATTTTAGTAACTTTCATTAACGAGGACAAGTTATATTTCAAATTTATTTTCTTTAATTCCTATTTGTTCTTTAATCTATTTGCGCTGTTAGTTAAATAATATAATCCAAGTTTATCTTCTTAAAAGCCTATCCGTTAGGATTTATTGCTCAACTTATTTTTCATAGTTTACTGCCTGTGTAACTTTATAATTATACATTTGACGCTTTAATGATAGCTATGTTTACTCTAAAATATAGGGAAATTAAGGAGAGACTAATGGCTCAAGCGGAAATAAAACGACGTTTAGAATTAAATGATCAAGAAGAGGAAGAGGAGGCGGATAAACTGCCAGAAATTGCAGTGAAAACAAATGAATCTAGACAGGAAATTGACAAACTTACGATGTTCAATTTACCAAGTCTAATTGAGGTTGAGGAGCCTTCAAATTCTCCCCCTAGACCCTATCGAATGCATACTACGATTGTTGCTGAACCATTTAATCTAAATCTACCGAAATTAGAAAAGTCGCACACAATTATAGGTTTATTACAAGAGTATGGAGAGCAGAAGGCTCTGGACGAAAGTAGCGACGACGAAAGAGGAACACCAGATCCACAAGCACCAACCGATAGATCTGAAATTTATGATAAATTAAAATCCGCTGGTATAGTACCACAAGAAAAGCATGTTGTTCCCAAAAAACACTTTAAGAAAAGGCAAAGCAGATCGTCAAGAAGGCCTTCTAGTATGCTTAGCTCTTTCAAAGAGAGACCAACAGCTCATTCAATTAAAAGAAATGAACAAGTAATCATACAGAACAAAGTAGATACTTTCTTTATGCATTTAGAAAGGTCAACTGGTACTAGTTGGTCGAGACGCATTGTTATAGATGAGGAAAAGAAAGGGGCTCCCATATCAAATCGTAAAGAGGAAAAGAAAGGTAAGAAACAGTTGCAATCTTTGGCAAAATTAACAGCTCAAGTAAATGGAGAGCAAAAGCAAAAGAAAAGAGAAAAACTATCGACGAGTGTCATTGAACGTCTCTTGTCTATAGGAGCGAAAGTAAAGAATATTCCACAGGGTTATCCTTCTAATTGTGCTGCTAGGAGTAATCGACATAGCGCAACCTTTAAATTAAGAAAACTAGTAAAAGAGATGCTGGCTAACAAAACAACTTTTGAGGAAATGAAATATAACGAAGCTAAAGAAGGTTTACTACCAGATTTAAAGAAGAATATAATGTTTTAAAATTGATTACCATTTGATTATATAAGAATTCATTAGAACTAAAGTGTTAATTTACCATTTTTATTGAAATTGATTAAAACTCTCTTTTTTTCTCATTTTTTTTTTCAAAAAAAAATATATAAGAATAATAAAAGAATCAAATTTTTTGTTCTGCATGTAAGAAGTTTCTCTCTTTTAGCATAGCTTTAAAAAATACAGTAGTGTATGGTTTGATGTATAAACGGTGTATACATACTTTCTTGTATATACCGCTTATACAAAAATATTTAGGTTAAATAATATTTCTATTTTTTAAACGTAACCTCCCACACCCCTACTAATATCAGAACTTTCTCTGTCATCCCTGACCTCATCGCTATACCTATCAACTGATGGTTTTGTTTTGGTACCATTCATTAAGGATGCTGTCTGCTCTGGCATTGAATTCGCCGTTGAGGTTCTTGGTAAGCCATGCGATGATTTTACTCTTACGTTTGTTACTACTTGGGCGTGTTCACTATGTATCGAAGATATTCGGTGAAGAGATCTTTGACGACTAGCTTTCGGTGCAACGGTACAACCTGCTTGCTCTTCTTCTTCGGGTTCAACTGCAGAGGCAGGATCGTCTAAACACGGTACTATTAAATTATCCTTCTCCAAACGTTTTAAAATCTCGCACGCGGACGGTCTATCCTCCGAAGCATATGCCCAACATTCATGTAATAGATTAAGAAGCTCCTGGGGAAAATTTGAAGGAACACAGAGAGTATTGCCGCATTGGATGTGGTCTATAACTTGTTTATTATTCATCCCTTGAAAAGGATAAGAACCGAAAGTTGCTATCTCAAATATAACGACTCCTAAACTCCAAACATCTGATTTACTTGTAAAGATTCCTTCGGTTAAAGATTCAGGAGGCATCCACCGAACTGGAAGCATGGCTCTACGACTGAATCTATAATAACCCTGATCAAAAATCGGTCTTGTCATACCGAAATCAGATAATTTTACAGTTAAATTTTCATGCACCAAACAGTTTCGGCAAGCAATGTCCCGATGGACATAAAGATTTCTAGCTAGATAGTCAACTCCCCGACAGATGTCTCTTGCCATCTTGTTAAGCCTTTCGGTGCTTACTTCTTCGGCATCTGATTTTCCAACTAGGTGGCGTCTCGCTAGTAAGAAGGTTTTCAAGTCACCGTGAAGCATGCACTCCATGGCCACTAGGACAGGTTCTCCTCTTGTGCAGACGCCAATTAGTTTAATTATATTATCATGATTGAATCGCTTCATTAATTCGGCTTCGCTGAGAAAATCTATTTTATCTGTTGTTGACGAACCCGGTTTCAAAGTTTTAACGGCGCAGGCCTGCCAAGAGTTATTGTGATAAGCCTCTCCTCCAAAAACCGTTCCGAAAGCTCCCTGGCCAAGTTTTCTATTATGTACAACACAACTCCTATCCATTTCCCATTGATCTAAACTTAACCAATTAACATCACTTAATATGCCCAGTTCTTTCATTCTATCTTGTGTCGCTTTCACCTTCTTTTCATATCGATTTCTTACAATCATAATAACAACCAATAAAAATAAAACAAAGGCAAAAACTGCTAGGATGTTAAGAATAGTCAAGGCAACGCTACATTCGACGCCCAAGAAGGCTCTAAATGGTTCGATGGTGCAATATTCCTCTTTAGGAATACTATCTCTAGGAACTGTTCCACTTTTCCATTCGATATCTTTAATATCTGTATGATTCAACTTGACAATCGTTTTATTTGAATCACTATCATAGCCAAAAACTCCAGTTTTTGAGAAAGAGCAGCTATATTTAAATTTAGATGATGTGCAGTTCTGATATTTCGAATGAGAAAATTGCAGTAGAACTGAAACTCCTACTCTATGATTATTTAAGAACTTGATGGGCCCAGATACTCCCTTTATGTTGATGGAATTTACATATTTTACTAATCTGAAAAGAAGTAGTTAGAAGTAAGGGAGAAAGAGTAGTAATAGTAAAAGATTAATATACAGTATATTAGATGTATTAATATATTTACCTCTTTCTTTCTTTTCTTATATAAAATCCTAAATTTTCAGTAGCATTTACCAGAAATTGGTCAAGAGCAGTCGCTATTACCCATATAGCGTCATAGCTTTCATAAGCCATATCATTCTCCAAGTCGTCTTTAAGTGACTTTCCCGAATAATTTTTACATTGGCTTATTGATTTTTTCCAATCTTCCCAACTTAGATCATCAACATCCACAGCATTATTTGAATTGGATTCACCGGTAGTATTCTTCCATCTGGATTCTTCCGAAGGTTGTCTTTTCACTAGAAAAACACCGTCTAAGGCTTCGGATAAATCTTCAATGGAGCATTTCGAAATATTATTCATTTTGATAGAAGTAAAATTCAAATGAATCCATGCAGGCAGAAACCAAACATATCCTTCTCTGCTTGTTAATTTCTAACATAGAAGAAAAAATTGTATAAAGAGAATAGGATAACTATAGGTAAATGCATATGTGATGACAAACCTGAGAACGAGCGTAGCACATAACTCTAATTATTAAATTTTCATATGCGCTTAATATAATTATTTTCAGTCCAGATTCTTTTAGCTTGTCAATATACTTAAAAAAATGATAAAAAGAGGTGAGAAGGTAGAAAGTTATTATAACATTAGTACTGTCTAATCGATAATCATTCATTTATAAAGTAATATTCAACTGTTTGCTAAATGATCGGTAAAAGTATAAAGATTATTTTAATCAGTATCATCTTATGAATCTTGCTTAAGACTTTTTTACTACTAGTACACAAATATTTATTGTATTAATTTCAGAGAGAAACAGTAATCCCTCTAAAGAATAGACAAATGTAAACATCTGTTTTGTTTTCTTCTTTTATAAATGAATGAATGAAATTTGCAAAATATAAAATATAAGATTTAGATTATTGTACCTTTTCAACAGAAGCAACGTTTTCAGGTATCTGACTTTGAAAACCAACCTCAATGTCATTTTGTTCGATTGTCTGTCTCAAAGACGTATGATAAGTGGGCACATTATTGGCATTTTCGCCAAGAAGAGCAACTTTCGTCCAGTTATATTTTCTAAATATATAAACGTAAACCTCCCTGTTATAAATAATTAAAACAATAAACATCTACGCATATATTATATGTATTATATAATATAATAAAAATAGACTTTGTTTTTATTAAAGTATTATTGTTTGTGTAAATGCAGCAAGAAATACAATGAAATAGTTATATTAAATAGAATTAGTCATATCTTAGGGATAAAAATAAGAGATATTTTATATCAACTGATCATATTTTTATGGAGATTTATACTTCTACGATTACTTTTTGTAATTTTAAGTAATTTAATATAATGTATAATGATATATTAATATACGTGTTCGTAAACAATTTTAGTACATTTGCTTTATTTATGAGCACGTTTTTCTAAATTTCTTGATTTACCTACAATATACTGTATATAGTATAAAATGTATATTATATCTATATATACAGTATAATAGATACAATATATACACTGTCTAAATTAACTTTTTAATGAAATTGTTTAAATCTTCAAAAGATACTTGGAAAATTAAGGCTATACAATAATTGCAACAAATTACAAATTTAATATAAAAGTATCTGATTTATATCATGTTTTTAGTTCCTATTATATTATTTATACATTATATATAATATATTGTCTTATACTATATACAGAAATATGTGTTCTTTAATTTTTAAAGCTAATTTCTTTGCTTACCCGAACGATGTTGCAGGAGCTAAAATTCTGTAGAAGTATTTACTTTTTATCACGTTATCGTAACTGCTGTAAGTGACTGTTAGGAAATTGAAGAGGTCACCGACTTTGGCGACAACTTCTATTTCATCCTCATCAGCAGGCCCTACAGCAGCAACATAAGTATCCTCCGAGTTAATCCATTTTATAAAATATCTTATGGCGATGTCAGCTTGAGCTTTAGTATCGACAGCGTCTAATACTAAATGATAATCTTTTAGTATATTTCTATTTTGATTAACTTTTTTAACGGCAAACTTAGCGGCTGAAGGAAAAAAAGGGATGAATTAATATTAATTATTTAAATATATGTACGATTATTATAAAATATTAATTAATTAATTATTTTTTACCGCAGTAGCTTAATGGTATAACAAATTTTCTACTGTCTAAAGGAAATAGGCCGCCTATTTTCAAAACTTTCTTCTTCCTCTTTGGTTGCATTAGCCATTCTTTCCATACATTTTTGTAATTTTTAATAAATTCGAACGCTACTCGCTTCGTTTCAGCCTATTTATAAAATAAATCATATTTAGTGATAAAACTAATTTACAAACTCATAAGTATAAATTAATTCGTAATTTTAACTTATGTTATAACTTTACTATTCAATTTGAATATATTTTAGACATTATTCAATGTATAAGTGTGAATAATGTTTAAATTATGCAATTGTATCTGGTTTAAAACAATAAAGGCAACATATCAGTAAAACAACGTAAATAAATAAGTACTAAAAGCCTTAAACCCCTGGATAACTAGGGAAGTAATAATGCAAATTAAAACTCGCTGCGTGATGCTGGAAAAGTCAGATTAAGAATTTCTTTTTAGAAAAATTATTAGATAAAAAGGTTCAATAAGTACTTTTGAGCATTCCAGTTAATTATTCCCTTCTCGTCTTTTTATTAATATTTTTAAATATTAATTAAATATCGTTCCTACGTTTTGTGTTGAAAAATTTCACTATAAACAAGACACTTGCTAATCTAATGATTATAGATAGTTTTTTAATAGATAAGGGAAAAAATTGGTAAATGGAATAAAGCATGATAAAATTGTGAGGTTGCGTGAACGGGTTGAGGAGATCGTAAATAAAACGTAAAAAGGAACAAAAGTGAGAAAGAGATAATGTAATAGAAAATTAACATTTTTAGGTACTGTGAGGATGCTTAAGGTTAAATGAGGATTGTAAAGTATAGTTTAAGGGCTTCTAATGTTACTGTATTCATTACATATACTAATTATACATGTATATATATATACACTAAATACGTATATACTATGCTTATTCAAAAGAGCCGCTCACTATGTTAGTAGAAACTATTTGACCTCGTTAATTTTTTTCAAAGAAAATAAAAACTAATTAAACTTATAAGCTACTTCTTAACTTAATTATATATATGTTTTCTTTTTGAAGTAACGCTTTACCTTTATTATAGTATCATTTAGGCCTAATTTCTCCGGATGAAAAGATTTGAGTATAGTTTCGTAAATGGTTTGATTAAATTTTATCCGACTGACAAGATGCTTGAGTTCCGAGTCAAATTGAATGTTGAACGAAGCGAATTTATTCAAAGATGATTCTCTATTTCGTCTAGAGAATGGTAATTGCATGTCAGTATAATTCCCAACTACTGTTAATATAGATGGATATTCCGATGCAAGAAGGGTCATTCGATCTCGACGATCGTCTTTCAGTAGATATCGCTTTGAACCATAATCCGATGGAATAAGGGCCGTTATCTGACTAATACGTCTTCCTGTTAGTTCCGTTAGATCTTTTTTGACTGACGACGCCTTTTCTGCAACATTGATCCAGTTATATGTCAAACTATGCCTCAGGGTACTGTTAGCTCTCTTAAAGTATAGCCTTTAGTAATATAACATAAAAACAGATATTGTTAAAAGCTTAATGACTTTAATTAGATTTTGATCGATCAATAAATTAGTTTAATAGTATGTTTCCATCCAATTTTTTGCCACTTTCTTTCTCTTTTTATTTGTCTCTTTCTTTTACTATCGATCAACAATTGAATTTTAAGAATACTAAGTTAATAAGAGTACCGACGTTATGGATGTAGTTTACTTAGCTTAATGTAAAACGGAATTGAAAGACCTTTAAGAGAAAAGTTCCGCGAAACGCCTAAGTGTACAACTTAGCTTCCGCTTTCCCCGTGTCTTCCGGTGGATGAACATTAGTAAGATAGAAATATAAAAAGCTTATTAATGTTTTACATGAAAAACGTCTCAGTTACCGATGTAAAATTTATAACTTAATTTATTCAGAATAAAAATAATTTTTTTTATTATCTTTTCTCTTTTATTTGTTCATCAAATTATTTCCGGTTAAATTCTCTTGTATTTGCTTATATATATATATATATATATATTCTATGAAAAATAGATAAACGTTAAAAGAATACTAAAATGAGCTAATTCCGATATTTCTTATTATTTTACTATATTTGGAAGAAGAAAGATGATAAAGAAGAGAAAGAAAAGAAGCATGATAAAGCATTTTTCGTAATAATATTACCAATTTTACTAATAAAGGTTAACTTACCTAGAGTGTATCCATCCACGAAGAGGAATTTACATTGTTTCTTTTGTCTGATATGACACGTTATCTTCTTATCAGAATGGACCATCTCCTTAATATCTTTTAAGTCTTGTTTGTAGCGTTCATGCATTAGTTTTTTAACTGGACGTTCATTTAACGATCTCCAATGATCGAGTAAAATCCTATTAGTTTTATTTTTCCATAGATTTTCTACAACATTTCTATTGATAAACCAGCCGTCCCTGTTTAGAGATTACATAGAAAAATTATAGAACGAACGTTTTTAACTCTTTCAATATACAGTATATAAACATGTAAGAATGTTTTTCTCTACTAGTTTGGCCATTTATTTTAACAAAATTATCACGTTCATTATTTAACTAAAAAAGAATTTTTTTCTTTGATACTTGTGTAACGTCTAAAAAAGAAAAACTTTCTGTTCTCTAAACGCCTCCGAAAACGTCTAAAATAGGAAAGTTTCCAAGAATTTATTAACTTTACAGATTCAACGGCCATTTGATTACTATTTAATTAACAATTATAATATATATTAGTATATGCAGTACATCAACCTATGTACAGTACATATACTACATCTTTTGAGCAGATGTATATGTCATTATAAATATATCTATATATATGAACATACTAATATACTGTATATGAAAAAAAAGAAACTAAAACTAATTACCGCAAAGGAGGTCCCGTAACACCCAAGTGCAGCAAATTCTCATTTGCATATTCGTTTTCGTAACCAGTTGGAAGTTTAACTGCAATGTCGATAAATATTTCTTTTCTGTATGTGGAATTAGGAAAGGGTATAACCAAAAAGACGATAAAAAAGAATATTTTTCTGATATTTACTTATTTTCCTCAGTCAAACGGGAGAGCCAATCAAGACTCGAATAATTCGTAAGTCTGTGATTTAACGTGACAGGTTTTCCCAATTCCTTTTCAATAATATAACATAGAATGTACACTAGAACATTATATTCGATAACCGGCGTTGATATAAGAGTAACGCCATTCTCTTTGCCTCCTCCATCTGCAAATTATTTGTAAAAATTTACGTTCCTTCTATTAATATTAATAAAATAACGGAATGATATTATAATATAGAACATAAGTATATGTTATTACACGTCTAAAGCTAGATGTATTACTTGGAAATGAATTTTTTGGCCTATGTGGATAAAATTTTCCTCGAAAATCATATAATATAAACAGTATATATAAATATATACAGTATTATACAACATATATATATATCATATGAGAAAAATGCAATTTGTAGACTATTCAAAAAGGTATATTGTTTAACATTTATTCAAAAATCTTTGAATATAACAATTGATAGAATACAATAGCATTTATATTCTATCTTTTATTGTTTAAATTTCTAACAAACAATAGAGGCGTCTAAAGTGAAAAGTATAATATTTTTCACTATATGACTATAGGTATAGGTCATTCATATATTAATTAGTTTTTCGTTCCAGAAATTCGTAGTGAATAAACACTTAAACTGTGTAGATTCTCTCAGTCAATAATCTTTTACTATCTTCTTTTGTTACATTTAGTGAAATTTTCATCTAAACAAACAGGGTTTGTAAACAATAACCTCTATATTTTACATTAAAAAAAAAGCTCAGAGAAGGTGATTGATATCTTTGTATTTTCTTTCTCTAATTGTTTTTCTGTTTACTAGTTTAGTATTCCTCTCCACTTTCCTTTCCCCCGTATTCTATCACTTTTGTTATACAACATGCACAGTATCTATATATAAATTATAGCGGGCGGAAAGCGTTACATTTAAATCTGTTAATAAGAGTATTTTCAAATAAAAAATCAGAAAGATATGTGAAACAATAAAAGAAGAGCCTGGAAATATATCTAATAAAATATATTTAATACTTTTTACTTATGTTTTCTATAGAAAAATAACTCTTAATTTTATTCATTTCTTCTTTTTCCCATTCTCTCCTAATGCCTTTTTCAATATAGAAAAAGAGTAAATTCTTTATAATAAAAGAAAGTATAAAAGAAATAAAATTATGGAAGACATTGTTTTTTTTTCTATAAATCAATAAATAGTGTAGAAACACGAATTCCATACTATTTAATACTCTACATTTAATTTATCTTATGCATGACATACGCATCATATATCTCATATTCTGAAAGCTACGTAGGAAAAAAAATCAATTGTTTACTTCGAACTCCTCGAATTAATCTTAAAATAAGCCTCTTATGAATTAAAGATAAATAACTAACAGTTAAAATATAAACGAACCGTCATTACAACTTGCTGCTTCTATCATAAAGAAGAAAAGTATAAGCAACGCATCGCTTATCATTTTAATCACCTCTCCATCCTTCACCAGTTTCTGTAGACAATAAAACGGCGACTAGATGTCGTTGCTGTTGGTGACGTTTTTTATCCTGGGTTCTCGTTTTCTCTCTTTCTCTTTTCTCTCTGTCGATCTCTTTTAACCCTATTTTCTTCTGTCTATCTCTGCCTCTGTCTGTCTGTCTATCTGTCCCAGTTTGCTTTTATATACTTGCTTTTTTCTTTTCCGAAATGGTCCTTTCTTTTTTTTACTTTTCTTTCAAAAATTTTCAATTTCTTTGAACCTGTTCAAAGATTAAAGGTTAAAAATATTTACAAAGTGAGAGAGTCGTTTACCGCAGGACATTTACATCTGACCTTATTTAATTGGGGATGAGCTAATTTATCTATACTTGGATCGGTTATATTGATCTGATTGTCGCTTATGCAGAAATTATTCGTTGCTATGACTACCATCAATGACGTCACCAAGCTTTGAAGCGAGCTGGACAATTAACTAATTAGGCTCTCTGTTTCCCATACGCATTTGAAGTGTTTCTCTTATACTTAAAACTTTAAAACACAAAAGGTCACTAACACCGTTTTCTTAATATAATCCGTGTAAAATTAGTAAAGAAAAGAGAAGTTTAATATAACTCAATGATGAAACTATTATGAAATTCATTCTACATTCATAAAGGCTATAAAAAGAATCCAAAGCAAAATATTAAAAGTATATAGATATAACTATATCTAGCTATTAATATTACATGATATTCATATACAGCTGTACCTATCGTATTTAAAGTTTACGTATAGAGTTTAATTATAATTTATTCATGAAAATCTTATTATTATTCAGTTTTAGCGAATTGCAACCACTCTAAAATATCTATCTGTTTTATTTAAATATATAAAACTCTTTTTAAAGAAACTATACAATTCTATACGATTGAATTAGCAGTGAAATTAACAAATTCTTGGAAAAGCAGTAAGGTCATTGGTCGATTGATGATTTCAAATATTTTTTACCCTAAAAAAGATATATGAAATGGAATTATATAATAAAGGTATTGAAATTAATATAATTATAGCAAAATAGAGGGAATAATAAATAAAGAGAAAGAGAAATAAAAGGGCGCAAGGCTCATTGATTAATTCAAACAAAAAGAATTGAAAGCAAAGTATTTTAAAAAACTATTTTCAAAGCTTAGTTTATTAACCAAATAGAAAGAAAATCTTTGCTCAGCCTCCAGATACCCTAATCGTGATTTTGATTATACAAAGTAAGAAGGATGAGAAAATGAAGGTTTCTCCTTTTAACTTCGTCTTTCCAGAATAAACTTCTCTGTCTATTTTATTGGTAAAGTATTAAGTTGATTTTCATCATTTTTTCATTACTTTAATATATATTAGAAACAAGCGAAGAGGAGAGAAGATAAAAAACAACTTTTGGTGGAAACAAAGCAATTCATAAGTGCGAGAGGAAATATAATGAAAACAGTAAAATCTACAAGCTTATTAAAGTCATTCAAATGAACAATTTCAGATAATATTTCATATGTTAAGATATACAAATAGCAAAGATTAAAAAACTCTGTTACACTGTTCATTTGAGCTTTTTACATAACAATAAACAATGAAACTACAATTGTATTTATTTGCTATTTCAATGAATGAAATTAATTAATCATGCATTGATAATTACGTCTGGTATTATACTTTCGTATGGTATTAAATAAAGATATAGTCAAAATATACAATCGCTGATTAGCAATTACTTATTATTGTTTTATTTATCGCTTGGGATTTATTTGGATGAATTTATATGCTTAGCAAAAACCAGCTGATTTAATCCATAAACAACAAAGATACTCTCTTAATTATAGATAATCAAATGTAAGCATATATATGTGTTTATATAAGTACAGATTTCAAGGTATAATGCTTATTATTAACTAGTCTTTTTATCTGTCTTTTAGTGAGAAAAAGGATTGATAAATCAGCTCTGATTACCATTAGCACTCTGTTAAATGAATCAATAATTAGAGTAGTTAAAGTGGTCCTTAAGAATAAAATGGAATAAGTAAATATCTTTTTTGTTTACGAATATTACTCAATATACAGTATATACTGTATATAGATATATATATATATATCTATATCTAAATACATTCACAGTAAATTTATAAGAAAGTATTAAACTCCCGTAATTTCCGTAAATTTATTACATTATAATAATATATCATGTTTGACTTTATATGATTGATTTATTAACAAATAGTTAAAAGTTTGAGTAGGATTAGATAATTCATTTTCGGCTTTTCACAAATCTAAACAAGTTGGCAATATTTTTTTCAATAAACTACGCTTTTTTTCATTTAATTGACTTTTTTCCTATTTGTTCCGTTTTCTCTAGCAATTTAGTATTAGTTTTTTTTTATAAGGCTTTTCTACAAGCTCATATAACAGTTTTTATAAAAATAAAGAGCTTGATATAAATATCCTATAATAACTGGTATAGCTATTATAGTCGTATTAATATTTCTTCTTAAATATCAAGAAGCCAAAATATTCTAGAATATTTACATTAAAAAATTAAGCCAACCTATTTTTTTATGTCTTAAGATGCAGTATATTAATATTTTAATTCATAGATGTATACTAATAAATAGATATTCTTTGTATTGTATATGAATGTAATTTATTTAAAGGGTGAACTACTTTTAATGTCTTAAAGCTAAACGAAAGTGTTCTAAAAAAGGAAAAATGCTTAGGATTACTTGCGGTAATTTATCTTTAAAAGAGTACATTTTTACCAGTATTCTCTAAATGCAGTATATACTATATATATATATACTGTATATGTGTGTATTGCATATATAGAACTGTCAGTTCTGACATTCGGCTGCTTATTTTCACAGGCTTCCTTTGTCTCTAAATATATTTAATGGATTGAAAATTTTTTAGTGCTTTCTTCAATATATGACTAATTTTGCCCTCTAATACAGTATATTATCTTTAACTACTAGAAAATTCTTCGTAACAGGTTTATAAATCCCCTTCTAGGAAAAGATAAAAAATATACAAGACAATAAATTGCACAGTTTTTATACTTTTTTCCAGTTAATACTTCTATACTTTAACTATTTATGTACTTTTTTTCTTATGTTTAAAATCCACAAGATGGCGCCTCATACTTAATGAGGCAGCAAAATACTGGGAAAGGGAAACCAATGATTTCTAACCAGTTGCAAATTATAATGCTGAGCTAAGTAGTTAAAGTTTAAGTGATATTAAAGTAGAGTGTACCCACAGACAAAATGGATTGTGACGTGAAGCGACAATGTTAATTTTCAAAGAAATCCATTATTATAATATGTAGCCGAATTTAATATCTTCTTAAGTAAATATATTATAAGAAGAGAAAAGTTGATGATCTGGAAAAGAAGTGTAAAATTTAGGGTAGAGAGAGGGAAGAAAAATGACAAACTAAAAGTGAAAGCTAACAGATAAGATTACTAGTGACTGATTCGATAATCGATAACAATAGAAGAATTGATGTGGAAAGAAATTGTGTACAATGTCCTTTTCAGCTAGCCTACTTCTAATTTTCTATCCCTGTGCTGGATAAATATTTGAAAAGGGAAATGCTACTCTACTTGCAAATAGAATAGTTTGTTTTTCTCCCCTTACCGAGCCGATTGATCAGAATCTGAGATTTTATAATGAATAATAGACCAGGTGAGGACGAACAGGCGAAATTCCAATTCGGTAATATTGTATTCTAGTATAGTATGAATTGTCCTGCATAATTTACATGCTTTATTTGGCTAATGTGTTTCGAAGCTTTGCCCATTTAAAGAAGGGGTAAGTAAAAAGAAAGGAATATAAAAGTAGAGGAGAAAATGAGATAAAAGTGCTAAAAGGAGGAGAATTTTGAAAAAAAAACTATTTGGGCTTTTATAATCCGACATTCTTTCAATCGCAATCAACCGCAATGGAATAGCACGCACCTGATGCTTCGCTGAATTGATGTCCAAATTTCTACTATAAATAGAGGTTGTCAGCTTCGACTAGCTGCTTTTGTATGGCTGAAATATATAACTTGAAGAAAGACAACAAAATGGAAAAGAATTAGTTGATGGACTGGTATAATCTATATAAGAAAGTTTTTTATTACCTTTTCCCTTATCGATTCTATCTTTCCTACCCTTCCCTACTCAATTCTTACTCTTACAGTTTCCTCTTTTACCACTTTCATCTTTTACCTACTTTTCTACGCTTCTTCACCTCCTAACCTCCTCCAGCATCTCTTTTAAAGACTTTGAAAATACATAAGATAAACAATATTAAAATGAGGAACGAAGAGTTTTCATGGTTAAAATTCAATTACGAAGACGTTATGTATATTTTAAAGAGCAAATAAAACTCGCTTGAGAGGTTAGTTTTAATTTTTTTCTGTATCTTCAAAAAAGCAGGAGATAGACGAGACGGCGAGAGCACATGTCAACGCAGTCCTAAGCGTCTGTTAGATGACTTCTCTGTCTCTGTCTACTTAACCTATTAGTTTTTTTATATAAAGTATATTTCAGAGTGAAAAATAAAGAAACTTCAAGTATTCTTTTTAATGCTTCTCAACAAGACAATATTCTCAAATAATTTAAATATTACCTTATAGATTATAACTTTTCTATTTTTCCTTTTCTAAGGTTATATTTAATAAATCAAGTAAAATAATTAATTTTATTGAAAGATTTATATTAAGGTACTTTGAGATAACGTCAGAATAATCTCTTACATCCAGAAAGTCGTTTATGAACTATATAAAATCAAGGTCCAGTGAGATTCGTGACAAAAATATCATGATTAGAAGAAACTAAGTAAAATGTAAATATATATATATATATATATATATATATATATATATATATATATATATATATAAACAGTATATAAATATTACGGAAGGAAATGATTGGAAATTGTAGGAGCAGTTGTATTTAAAATTTTAGGAGAATATGAATATGTTTTATGTTGTATTAGGAAAAATTATTATCTGGATTAGTTTGTTAGATACTTCAATACTTTATAGAAGTAAAGCAGAACTTTATCTATTCTTTGCAGTAGGAGGGAACATGTTCGATTTAAAAAACTACTAATTATTAAGGCTAAATCTTATTAGGCCCCCTTTATCAAGATTTTCATTATCATTGATTTCTAAATAAGATGTTTTAAATTAAAAAAGATTATATGCTAAGTTAAGGTTATAAATAATTAAAAAGTAAAGATTCTCTTACTCTTTTCTTTACCTTCATCTTCCCTTCATATTCTTTTTTCTCTTCTTTATTTTCTTGTATTGTTGTACCAATCGTTTTTAATTATGTTTGTGGTCGTAATAAAACTATCTTATATATTCATAAATATCTCTATTAATCTGGTAACATTTTATAGTGTTACGAGCACACAAGTTTGTCTATTCTAGCATATATTTTATTTAATCCTATGAGCTATAATAAATTTTCCATTTTATGGCAGACATTTATTACAAAAGAGCCGATAAATTCATTTTTAGTCCTTAGGTTGCTTTAGCCTAGTTATAATAAAAGGAACGTTTCTATCTATGACAATATATATGACGAGGATCCATTGAATCGTTGCATGTATTAATGTAATAGATGTGTAGTTTGGGGAAAGAGGATGCTCCTCTGGTTATTAGGATTCAGGAAATGGTTTGTGACTTGATAGAATAAGCGATTATCTTTTAAATTATAGGTAAAACTTATGTCAAAGAGAATGAACATTTTTTCCTTTCGTAGTATGTAGAAATCCTATATATGAATATATATTTAGAGATAAATCACTGTGATGTAAGAGTAAATGACATGAATTTATGTAATCCATTCGTCTTCCTTTGGAATGAATAGAGAACTCGTAATGCTTTTAAGCCACGAAAATTGATTAATCGCTCACTATGCTTTTAAAAAGAAAGACGAAAAGACTAAGACGAACTACGAAAGAAAAGAAGGCAAAAAGATGAGGAAGTAAGATCGTATAAGGAGAGATATTAATATGGTCAATATCTTGTAGTATAAAGAAAAATAAATTGATACCAATATCTTGTAATTAAAAGTATCTCTCCTCATATTATTCTGTTAATAATGATAATAAAATGTCTTATTAAACTAGAAGCTACTTTAGAAGACGTGCGGAAAAAAAACTTTGATATAATTGTAGAAAAAGGGATTAAAGCGGAGTAGAGGTAATCTAAATACAGTATCTAAATGAATCAAAAAATCATACCTATGGATATTTTTCCTTTTTTCTTGTGAAAATATACGTTTTGGTGTAATCTGTTCTTAATCTATAATAGATTATAATGTAGGTCGAGTTGCTCTGCACAATGTTATTTTTCTAGTAAATAATTCAAGAATAGTTATTCTTCTCTCTTATTGTTAGAAAAATTCTACTAAAAATACTCGTCTTGCTTATTTTTTTTTAATAACGAAAATAAAAAAAGAGAAATTTTTTTCGTTTAATCTATTCTCTAGATTCGAATAAAGTTATCATTCCCTTGGGGCTTTTAGGAAGGAAATGGGGGATTTTTCCATTCCGAAAGTTAAGATTAATTAAGTGATTGATTATAAAATGTTCTGTCAGCTACTTATTAGCCCTTGCTAAAGCATGGAACATATGAATTTAATTAGGACAGAAGATAACGTATTTTCATTATCATATTTTAAATATACCCTTTCGAGGAATTTCATTTCCTAAACAATAAGCATTAAGAGACTACTTGATAATCGGTAGATTCATAAAAGTTCCATCACACTTTAACTTTTCTATATTCAGCTTTGTTTTTTTATCTTTCTCCTCCCATTCCCTTCTCCCGCTTTTTTCTTCATATCTCATTTGAATTAAGTGGAAAAGATCCCTGTGAAAATATAATGAAAATATACTTTGTAACCGTTAATGTATTGCCTCGATCTTTTGAAAATAAAAGGCGTATTATGTATAAATATAAACACGTATTTTACAAAATACCCACTAAATTTTAAGCACAGTGGAGCAATTTTACAAGATCTGGTTTCTTGACATGTAGAAATTGACTGAAAATAGGCCTAAAATCAGCTGGTACAGCCAAATCACTTTTGGTGCTTAAAGTAAGTAGATGAGCTTAAAAGTAGGTTTTTTCTGCACTTCTTCGAAAATAACTTGTAAAGAAACAAATATTTTTTTCTTTTTTTGCAACATACGGATAACGAAGAGAAAAGACAAAAAGAGTGAGAGAGAGAGAGAGATGCAAAGTTTTCCTTTTCATTTATCCTTTCCAAATAACATTCATATTGAATTAATGAGCTTAATTATTAATCAATTGATTTTTTACTATAATTTCAAAACCTTTATTGTTTTTTATATCATTATTATTATTAAATATTGAATGAAGGTTTAAAATAAAGCAAGAATTGACAAAAACTATAGAATACAATTTCATAGTCTTCTCTCCCTTTTTTTATAAGGATAATATAAGATTTAGGCCAAGCAATCAAAGGCTAAAAAGAATTCTCCTTTGTTTTTACTATATAGCCAATTTGAAGAACAGCAAAAAGGTGTCGAACATGATTAACAAGTTAACTTAGAAAAGAAGAGTTGTTTGCCAGAACATAATTTACTTTTCTAAAGATTTCTTTATCCTAAAGGGATTTGGAAGAGAAATTTAGTCCAATTCAAATGTTACAGAAACGATTGAAAGTTATACCTTACAGCTATATATATATATAGATATCTTTGTATCCTATAATTTCTCTTTAGCATCTTATTACTCCCGTCTAATTTCATGTTTTCCTACAAAGAACTAGCTTTCGTTCGACAAAAAAAATCCTTTTCGTTAATAATGTTAATTATATTAATTAATTTAGGAGAGATTTAAAAAAAGAACCCTGAAAAATTAGTTGTTGATCTAAAATAGACAGTTATGAATCAGAATGTAATTGATGAATACCTAAAATACTAATTCAATTTCTTTAATTAATAATGAGCACGAACAATTTGAGTATCACGTTTTTATAAAACAATTAATAATCTGAAAATATAAAAAGGATAAGAATTTAATTATAAAGCGGAAGTAGTTTCCAAAAAAAAAACAGTTTGATAGCTTTTAGAAAGATACATAAGATTTAAATATAAATGCATATATACTGTATATACACACAGCATGTACATTGAAAATATAGCATATTATTTTATGGTATACGTAAATATATATATATATTTATGAATATATATATACATATACATAGAAAGTCCTTTAGAGAATTTATGAAAGAGTATTGTTATCCCACAGTTTTAGACATTATTGGATAGGATACTAGTGTTGAATTTAAGGACGTACTGAGACTCAGAGGTTGAGCTGTTGGAGGTGGGGCGGCAATAGCTGTGGGTCCCGTATCCAGGTGCTGAAAGATGGGCGGAGCCTGGCTAAGAGTTGGTCTTGCGCCTGCTGGTACTACCAAGTCACTCTTGGCGCTTAAAATAGGTGGGCCGGCGGCTAGCAAGGGAGGTTGGGCTGCTGGGGCTTGTAATATTGAAGGTGCAGGCGTCACTGTTGGTGTTAAAACGTGACTAACGCTAACAACTGGCGGTTGGAGGGTACGAGTTTTGCAGGAAATGAGTCCAGCATTCCTATACCTTGCATTTTGATCTAACAAAACTTCATTAGCAGCGGCTAAATCGGATACCTGCTTCTTAAGTTCTGCTATTTTACTTCGGAGTATGAGATTTTCTTCCTCTAAGCATGGTCGAAAATCAACTGTTGTTTCAATTCTTCTCCTTTTTATAGCAATACTGAAATCATCTTCAGGTTGGCCCAACAAACCTGTTGAAACAAATTGATTCGGTACTGTCGAAGCTGTTAACGGTTGAACGCTTTGATTGATTTGTTTGCCGCTAGTTAGTTCGGCCTCATATTCAGCAGGAGCTAAATGTCTAAATTTACATCTTGCCCCCCTGTGGCATTCTCCTTTTAAATAGTCTTTGCAAACTGGGGGAGCTCCTCCGGGTGTAACGGGCGGTATAGCCGCCGAAGAAGCGGCATGGGCGGGTAATTTTCCAGTTTGTCGAAAAGTTTCTTCTTCTTCCCGACTACAGTGGAGAAATCTGCAGGGCGTTCTTTTGCAACTACCCGTATTTTGGAAGTCATGACAGAATTGTATATCCTGACTAACTCGCTTACCGAGTTCAACTATAGCATCTAGTCCTTCTGGATGTCTGAATTTACATTTTGCACCTCGCCGACAAACATTCCGTAGAAAATCCCGGCAAACGTCGTCAGTTTGATTTGAATCGTCTGGTGGTGAAGAAGAGCCGTCCGACTGATCTAAACCTGACATTCCTGTCTGTAAATAAATAAATAAATAAATAAATATATATTTATATATCTATTAGGCAAATATGAAATGGAAAAGGTTACAAGAAATTGAAGAAAAAAATCTCCGCAAAAAAAAATGGCTATTGATGTTTTTATCAATCTATGATAAATGAGAGACGTATTTTAAATTGACAAATTTTTAATCCAAAGTAAAAGCTTTAGCTTTTACATCTATTTACATTCTTCAGATATGGAGGAGTTTATTCGAATTTCAAAATGACTGATTTACACGATCCGCTGCCACACCCTCCTAGGTTTTTTTTCATTCGCTCTGAACACGTATCCGTGAATAGATGTAAATATAAAGTGTACAATGCGAACATACGTTTCTAACAGTTTATAAAATTTAACAAATGTAACAGCTACAGAAAAATTTTTTCCCTTTGTAATAAATTCTCTGTTCCCTTTGTTTTTATTATAATTCAATAAATTTACAAAATAGCTAAATCACTCTTACCTTTTCATTAAAGACTTTAATGGAATAAAACAAAGGGAATGATTGGAAAACATTTTAAACTGATAGCCTTTTTCATCATTATTTCCCACTTAAAAGCATGAAATTACTATGTATATATGTATATGATATGGCAAATTAATAATTTTACTCAAGTATTTGTTTTCTGTACAATATATAGAATTATACATTCCATATTTTCTGATTACACGTAGTTATTGTTATTGCTTTTCTTAATAATAGTTAGTTTGGTATTAAAAGCAATCACGAAGTTTAACAAAATAGAACAGAATGAATACCTTTAACTACTTTCTAATACAAACTTTTATGAAACAAGTCTAATGATTAATTAAAGATAAAGGAAAATGATCTTTGCAGTAACGTGAGGAAGAATACTCTAAAAACAACGATTATAGTTGGATAGATATAAAGCAAACATATACGTACAAAAGCAGAATAAAAAGCTTACGTACTGTAATAACATTTGACGTTCGTATAGGGTAAATATATATTAAAAAACAAGAATTGTGTGTGTATATACTTGTTTCAAACACGTCCTTAGAAAATACTTTAGATTAAGTTAATGTATTCATAATAGCTGTTTTGAATTATTTAAAAAATTTCAAGTATATGATAAAGAAAAACCTAATCCACTCTGGTAGGTAAATATATAAATTTGTAGTAAATCTTCCAAAAAAGAAGGTTGACAATGTACACAAAAACGTTTAGCATATCAATTTTATACTCTTACTCTTACTTTCTATAGCTATACAAGCTTAAGGTTTTAAATACATACCTGAATGTATTTTGAATAATCCGCTCTCACCGATAAAAGACTGTCAATTGGTTTATAAAATAAAATTTGACCATAAGGCCAATTGAACGCAGACAGTTTCATGCCCGACGTTTATCTGTCGCGCTTTTCAGATTCCGTCATGACAAACGCCACCTGGCGTTCAATGTATGGGACGCCGCGAGGCGTTTCTATCAAAAAAAAAAGGGGAAGAGAAAACGTTTCATGATTTGAAATAGGCCTAATTTTCCAGTTACATCCCCTCGGCTTTCCTACCCACGCTGTAAAGAGCGTTTGTTCTCTAGAGATTCGTAGGAGGGTTTTGAGTTAGGCGGCTAACGAGGATTCATGGTAATTATAACACTGATAAAATAGGACAAAGATAAGGGAACAAATTCCTAAAGCATTTAATCTAAATAAAGGAAATCGGCACATATTGATTGTGATATTCTTACTGATTTTAATTCAATATTTGTACAATTAAAAATACACTGCAAACATATCTAGTGTGAACAGAGAAAAAGAAGGTCATATTCAATAGACAACAATCCTTGGAGCTGTTTACATATATTATATTATTATATATAGTATTTATGCATACATATAGTATAATTATTCTTTTACATATAATGATCTAATTTTATTGCACATACTTTATTTACATCGGAAAAAAGCAACGTACATGTTTACTTTGCGTAAACGTTACTATTACCGCCAGATGTCGTTTAGGTGGAAAATTAAGCCGAGGAAAAGTATAAAACTAAACACTTTCGCTTAACTATTTATAAATAGTCATCAGTTAGAGATATAAGTAATACATTCATATTTAAGTAGTTTATTAACTTTAGTTAATATATTACGTGACTAATTATACACGTATATAATGATAGGTTGAAAATAGTAAAATGGAAAATATAGCTATTTTTATCAAATATAGGAAAAGAAACTATAAGCATAATGCTGCTACAAATAGATAAAAGGAAAATACGGATATAGCTTCTTTCAGTACCTTTTTTTATAAATTGGTTACGTAACAAAGAATTTCGGAACCATATATAAATTGTATTGAAAAGGGCAGATATTTCTGATGCATAATCTCCTTCGGCAAGGTCATTCTTTATCTAACCTTAATTACGATATATGAATCGGATTCAACTAATCTACATTGAAAAAGACACAAGAAAAACCTTTTGAAAGTAGGCTAATGACTAACGTTCTTGAAAAGGTGATAAAAAAGAAATTAAAAGTTAGGCAAGGAGAGGAGCGGTGAGGGGAAACAGAAGAGAAGTTTATCTCAATCTTTCTTTTATTGTTACATTAATCTTCTCTCTTTTTTACTATACAACAAATGGACAATGTAAACACTGTTTGTTCATCCTCTCCTTTCAAACTATTCAGAGAATGCAGAAAATAAATGATTAAAATATAGAAATACAGTAAATACCTTTGTTGATTTTTTCTCTTATATATATGATGTTATATAGTAATTGAATATGTAGCTTACTTTTTATCTATTTAAAGTACTAAAATAAGTTTTAGTACCTTTTAACGAAAACTCGAAAATCTATTTAACTTATTTTATATGGTTAGGGTAAAAATTGATGAAAGATTTAGTTGTTTATCTTAAAGAATAAAGAAAATATATCATTGCTTTTAGACAGTAAAAAAATATCAGTTGCAATTTTAAAACCGAAAGTAAGGTAATAAATAAACTTTTTCGGGTAAATATACTATCTCGGTCAGTAAATGTTATTGGCATTTTACCCTTGCAGAGTCGATTGTGGCTCCATCAAACGTATTTTTCATTGAACGTTTGATTATATTTATTAAAAAGTAATTCTTTATTTTGGTATAGATTTATATCCAACATTTATTTTGATAATAAACTAATACATTTAGTTGAAACGATAAATAATAATTTAGTTTACTTAAATCGGCGTTTCTCTCTTCTTTTCTATGTCTATATTTAGAGAAAAGAACAGATTCACTGTGGTTGTTATCGACCAAATGGATCAATTAATGCGATTTCCGATAGACAAAATATTCGTGAGAATTAAAACACATTTTTTTTATATTAAGGACAAAAAAAACGTCTCTAATATAGTAGATCTGCTACGGGCGTCTCTTTAATGTCAACGATATGTAATGTCACAAGGTCTTTTAAAATAAAAGTCGGTGCTAAAGTCTACCGGCATAATAATTAATTGATAAGTGTAAGCGAAAGATCACTAGGTGGCGCCAGCCTTTTAATTAGTATAATTCTCACCACGCTCCGATTCCGGTCGGTTTTCGTGATTGCAAGGCAGAAGATGGTCAGGTGGTAAAGTTGTTTACGGTCACGTGATTTACTCTAGATGATTGAACGGGGACTTTCCGGTTGGGATATACAAATGTAATTCGTGATACACATAAGCATAATATTGGCATTTCATTAACAAGCATACGTAAATTATATTTTACCCGGTCATTTCGATGACCTTTCGGCGATTGTAGCATTTCAACCTTTAGAAAGCCGAGTTGACTACATAATATCTAGTAAAATCCATCTTGTTTTCATCAATGAAGTAGAATTAACCGGAGAGTTTAATGAAACAAATTGGAAAAATCATCAATAACATAAAGTTAATTTTACGTTTTAAAATAAGGGGAGAATTTTTAAGTAGATTACCAAAAGCTTTATCTCTACAATCCTGGACCAAAGATGATTAAAGACATTTATCAGAAAAAGAGCTTAAAATCGACTTTTCGCAACTAACTCATTTTCCCGTTCTCCGCCCCTTTTCCCCATCTGAAAAGAGTAATCTCTCTTCCTTCGAGATACTAGGCCTCTATAAGAAGCAGTCAATTATTAATAATACACTTGAAAAAGCTGCTATATGAGTTGGACATAGCATGTTATTTTGGCTTTTCTTCGCCAGTTCTTACCTCATTATAATTATCTTTCACTTTGTAGAGAAATATCTAGTTCAATCATATCATTAATCGATTAACTATTTGTGGTATTAACTACAATTGATTAGTTTATAAATAATTGTTACAGAATAATGATAAATTATAAAAATTATAGGAAAAACTGGAAGACGATTGATCTAATTTTTGTTATCCCAAATATTGAATCTCACTTCAAAATAATGATCAAACTAAAAATTGCTAATTAGTAATTTAATATCTAAACAATAATAAAAGAGATAGTGATAAAGTGAATGGTTGGCAACAAACCAATTGACATAAGTTTAAATAGTAACATAAAACTGGAGTATAGCAGCTTATGATCAACTAATTATCTAAGGTATACATCAAAGTCGGTTTTGCTTTACAAGACTGTAAATTAGAATCTAATTGACTAAACTTGTAAAGCTTAACGGCACGATACAGATGAAGTAGAGATGAAGAGCTGAAAGGAAATGTTTCTCTCTCTCTTTACTTTCTAGTTTTTAATTTTCATTTGAATAAAACTCTTAAATCTTTTTCTTTACAGTTGATTAATTACTACTTTTCTAGATAGTTCCCAACCATCTTTTTTCACTATTCATTTCTATACTTAAGCTTAGCTTTTCATTTATGGAGAGAATTGGATAAAAAAACTAGTAGGAAGCATCATAAAATCACTCAATAGGTTTAATTAACCCAACAAAATGATACATTAAATGGAGGCGAATCCAAATTATTCAAATTATCGTACAGTATACTAAATGGTGAATTGATGAGAAAGCATTCTTTATACTGTACAAAAATTAGATACAATATACCATATACAGGTATACAGTGTATATGTTTATCTGTATTTATATAAGTATACCTATATAAATAATCTTTAGAAAGTGATAAAAAGGTATATTTATACATAATCAAAAAATATATAATTGATTCTATTGATTATTGAGTCATTGTTAAAATAATACTGATTCATTACATTCTCATTATTCCAAAAGGGTATATTCCATTTATTGCACAATTACTTCATTAATTATTTATGATTAATTAATTTTTACCTCTATTTGAGGAACAAGCTTCAAATCGTCTAAGAATAATTAAAAACTGTTGCTCTTTCTCGTTCGTTCTTATTCTCTTTCTCTTTCCTCTCTCTTACTTTCGTCCTTTTTCATTTCTTTCTTTTATTTTCTCCCCATCCGACCCCCTTCCCCCACCCTTTTGATAATCGTAGGTTAGATACATATAACAAACTTTTTTAATTGTGGTTTTTTCAAAAACAATAATAATTAATATGAATATTTAATATTCATAATTAATATTTATGGATTATTTTTTTACACGCTGAGTCATCGAGTTAAATGGATTCTAAATGTATAATATTTATGTATTATATACTTTATATATATATATATATAATTTCATTGCATTTTTCATTGGTATACTTGAAACGAACTGTATCTTTTTTTATTGCATATCCTTAACATATCTATTAAGTTATGTAAAAAGATTTGCAATATTCTATGAAAATTCTATGAAAATTCTCTTTTTAGTTGAAAATTGTAGCTTGTAAATCGCATCTAGAACCGTTTTTAACGATACTCTAGCAATCAATAAAACTGTTAGTTATTTTTTTTTATCTGTGGGAAAGTGCTTGGATGGAAGGAACTTGAAAAACCACAAACCCTAAAAGCATATACAGCTTGCTATAATCAAGATTAATGACATCCGCTGTTTTGACCTTCGACCCTATTTAATTCGTTTCACTTATGGTAAAGCCTCGTACAGAGAGAAATAAATACCCTGAAAAATTTCCCTTGCTAAGCCTAACCTTGTGGTCGTATCTTACAAGAGCTGAAAGATACTGATTGATCGGGCCGACAGGAACGTTACGAGAGGCAATTTATCACAGCTCGGGCGACTGTATTATTCCAGTGTAAATTAGCGCTTTGCCCAGCTGAAAAAAATTCTTTGAAAGAGAAGAAATGTAAGAAGAGATGTCCCTCAAATAATTGTAGCCAAGGTCATGAAGGGTCACTATACCCCATGATCATCGAGTTATCACAGTATCTGGTACTCATCAAGGAAGAGAAAAAAATTCACTTCACTTAGAAGCAAGAAACATTTATGTATCTCCCTTATAAAATAATCACAATTTCTTTACCCCAATTTCAGTTTCACCCGTAGAGAAATTCTTAATTATAACTAT